AAGAGGACTGATGGCAGTCTGGGAACCATCTCAAGTGGCTGTCATGTACTACAGAGGCCACCAAAGGGGCACGGACAATGTCAGTAGAGATAACCGCTTGTCTGACCAGGGAGCAAGAAGGGTAGCAGAAGAGCTAAGCTCCCCTGAAGCTGAAGCAAACTGCCAAACCTCTGTTGACTCTGGAGCTGCCTCCCATCCCGAATTACACCAAGTACCTCCTTGTACTTCCAAGGAGGAAGAACAATGGGCAAAAGATGAAAAAGGAATAAAAGAAAAGGGAGGCTGGTGGAAGTTGCCTGACCAGAGACTCTTTGTCCCCAGTGCTGTAGCAGCCCCTCTGGTAAAACAACATGAGCTAATGCGCTTGGGGAAAATGGCCCTGGAAAAAACTATTGAACAGATACTATTTCATCCCCAAGCTGCTCACCCTATGCGCCCAAGTAAGTACTAGATCTGCATTACATGGGCACAAAAACAATGCAAGTCAAGGGCCTCAGCCAAGCCCCGGGATACAAATAACAAGCACCATGCCTTTTGAGGACTTGGGAGTGGACTTCACAGAGGTCAAGCCCTGTCAAGGATACCGGTACCTCTTGGTTCTTGTCTGCACTTACTCAGGGTGGGTTGAGGCTTCCCCTGCTCAACCTTGCCCAGAGAAAGCACAAGAGGTAGTAAAGGCCCTTTAAAGAGAAATTATCCCTAGATATGGACTCCCCCTTTCTATCAGATCAGACAATGGACCAGCCTCCCTGGTGGAAATAATCCAGGGCCTGGCTAAAATTTTAAAATAAAATGGAAGCTCCACACAGCATACAGACCTCAGAGTTCAGGGAAAGTAGAGCGCATGAACTGAACCCTTAAAATTACCCTAGCCAAACTCTGCCAAGAAACACAATGTCCCTGGATAGACATGCTACCATTGGCCTTGCTCAGGGCATGCTGTACCCCTAGACCCTCCAACTACTCACCCTTTGAGATTCTCTATGGCAGACCCCCTCCCTTCATAAACAGGCTCAGAGGGGACCTCAGGCAAATTGGAAATCTAGACATGTCCCGACATCTCCAGGCCCTAGGAAAAATCCTATGCCACATTTCCCAGAAAGTCTTAGAAAGGACCCCAATTCCCATGGGTAACTGGGCCCATCCCCACCAACCCAGGGATATGGTATGGGTAAAAGATTGGAAAAAGAAACCACTCCAACTCAGTTGGATGGGTCCCCATCTAGTAATGTTAGCAACTCCCACAGCTGTTAAAGTTGCAGGTACCACTCCCTGGATTCACCACTCCTGGATAAAGAAGGCAGCAGCCCCCACAGAGCCCAATGATTGGCAGGCTGTCTGTGATCCAACTAATACCCTCAAATTAAGGTTCCAGAGGATGTCACAACAGCACGCCATCACCCAAGAGAGCTCCAGCCCTGCTCCAGCCACCTCCTGGAAGCTGGTTCGTCAACGCATGGCAGAAGCCTGAGGATTCGCCCTCCAGGACATACATGTATCCCCTTTTCTGCCACCCATACCTTACCCTGCTGATTAGCATTGTTGCAATAGTGTTCACACTAGGACTGGCCATCACTGCTCCCAGGATTGGAATGTAGGCCAGAAATTACTGCTGGTCTTCTATTATCTCCTCATAGTAGGAAGTCTTACTGATGTTCGGTGCTATCTGTAGCCCAGACCCCAGTCTCAGGCATGAGGTCTCTGATGTGTTTTTGCCTCCTGACTCTATTACATTTTAAGGTTGTCCTAGCTAGAGGCTGGGATGACTGCTCAGCTTGTGTAAAACCTCTCTCCTTCCAGGGAAACCTACGATATGCCTTCACCTATTACCAATACCTGTCACCTGCATGCAGCACATCAATTTCTGAATGTACCAGAGGAGGGACAATTTACTATAAGGGAAAACTGACAGGCCTGACAGGGTTCTGCAAGAACAAAGGCACTATAGGGCAGACGGTTTGCTGGAAGAAAAATGGGGACCCCTTAAAGGCATGGAATGACAAAATGACAGGGGGAAGAAATAAGCCTCATTATGTCTGGGCACCCTACCTTTCACCCCATCCTCATATCAATTTACTAAGGGAAAAGCCACAGATTTATAGAGGCCATCCAGAAGTGATTACCTACTGGCTACAAGCCTTTAAAAGACATTGATCTGCCACCACAATGACCCTCTTAAGGCTTCCTTCTGGGACAGGCTGGAATTCCAACTGTACAACCTGTTAGATGCAACTCACTGCCTCCTTAACCTTATGAACCCACCATTGGTGGGTGATTGTTGGCTCTGCCTGACTTCAGGTCCCCTCCATTATGTAACAACCCTGGTGAGTCTCTTTAACCAGAGTGTGCATGGAGCTATTCCCAACTCCACAACCACAAAACCCAAAGTAAAAAATATACAGCTATCTCAGAGGGCCCCTAACTGCATCTACAATTCAAGAGGATACTATCCAGTGGGGGAACTGGCTGCTAGCCAATGTGCCCAAATCCAAAACTGTACAGCCACTACCATTAGCTGTACAGTTGACAGACCATTGTGCAGCAGCCCAGGAGCCTTCTTTGTACGTGGGCCCCTTGCTTCTCAGTGCCTGCCAGCTAACTGGAAGGGCATTTGCACATTAGCACTCCTCACTCCCCAGATAAACATAGTGCCTAACAATCAAACCCTCTCTATACCTTTGATGGCCCACACATGATCAAAGAGAGCTATCCAAGTCATACCTTTATTAACTGGATTAGGGATAACAGTGAGAATAGGAACAGGCATAGGAGGAATTGCCTTGTCAGCCTCCTACTATAATCAATTATCTGCAGAACTAACAAATGACATAGAATGAGTGGCTAGGTCCATAGTGACCATGCAGGACCAGCTGGACTCCCTAGCATGAGTGGTCCTCCAAAATCGGAGAGGGTTAAACTTACTCACTGTCCAGAAAGGGGGGCTCTGCTTTTTCCTAAATGAAGAATGTTGTTTTTATGTGAATCAGTAAGGAATAGTCAGAGATATGGCTCAGCAATTGCAGGACCAGGTCACACATAAGAGGCAGGAATTAGTGAATTCCTGGAACAGAAGGATCAGCATCTCAAATTGGGCCTCATGGCTACTCCCCTTGTCTGGTCCTCTTTTCATGCTCCTACTGGCACTGGTATTCAGCCCTTGCATTCTTCATGCCAACTCACTTCATTAGGTTGCGAATGGAGGCAATAAAGTTGCAGCTCTTGGTAACCCAACATAGTTCTTTAGGACAGGAGGAACCTTATGGAATCAATGAAATTTAGGGTCAATGCTTGTCCACAAGTAGCAAAAGCATCGAAAGGGGCAAATGAACAAGATTGTCTCATGCACAGCCGCAGGACATGAGAAACTGCTGGTTAGGTCATGACAAATGGTACCATGTAGAGATAATTGACCATTACTGCCTTCCTTTTTCTCCTTCTGTAAATAAACTTTCCAAAGCAGACTCCCCTGCTGCTCTTATCTAAACAACCCCAGGTCTCTAGCCCAGCACTGGCTCACCTATTAACTCTAACACATTCCTTATAACCTGATGCCCTGCACTGTGAATTCTTTGTTTGGGTCCTAGAATTTTGAGTGTGAGCTCATCTGGGACTGCCACTTCTCTGAGTGTTACTTGGTTTCTCATCTGACAATATTTTCCACAACAATGTTACCTGTTGTCATCCTTCCTGTCTTTTGTACTACCTTTAAATCTTGTTATGACATACTTCATTATATACATAATAAAAAATGAAAGTGGCAACTCCTAAGCTAAAGGAGAATTTATATCATAAATTTCTATAAGCATTTACACTTCTTTAATGAAATTAAGAATAATCACCTGTGTCAGAGACACCTAGGTGCCTATCCAATACCCATTTTTTGCCTATACATTAATGAAATCCTGATTTTAACTGGGTTATAGTGGGCCCAGCTTGAAAAAAAATCACATTTCCAACCACCATAGCAGGGAGAGAGCTGATCAACAAAATGTCAGAAGTCACTGACTGTGGCTTCCAGGAGAGACCTGTAAAGGGCTCACTCAGAGCATACACAGGGTTCTTTCTCTTGCCATTCCCTTTCTCCTGTTTGGAATTTGAACACAATGGTGGCAATCAGTTGCTGTCTTGTCATCACAAAGTGACAAGCAGAAAGCTAGAGAGAACTTAGTACAGTAGAAGATAGGAGCTCCCAGTTACAGCTCTGGACTGCCTACATCCAGACTTCTTACTGAGGGAGAGAAAAAGAAAACTGTCTCATTCAAGACAAAGCTATCTTGGCTGCCTGTTATGCACAAGGTCATTCCCTATGTCACCTGTGTAACAGAGGCTTAAAAGCTGCTTTTGCTGAAAGGCAACTGACCCCTTTACTTGGGCCCAGGAATTAACTAAAGGCAGGAAACAGATGATTGTGATACTTCTTTTCCACAGAAATGGAAGCAATAAATCGACAGTGGGGAAAATGTAACAAAGACCACAAAATTAAAAAAAAAAAAAACTTTTTGTATAGCCAGCTTGCCTGCTGGCCATTTTACTCTGTTGATTAAACAAACTCTCTTTCCCTCTTTGTCTAATTGCTGGAGAGTCCAGTTAATGAAGAGTAACTCCCTTTGCTCTCCAATTAGGCCAAGCAGCTCTCTCTCCACCCCTTATCTCTCTCTGACTACCAGAGCAGTAAACCTGCCAGCCAAGACGTTCAACTTCTGAGAAGTGGCACCAGATACCTGGAGAATGAAGGCCAGCAGCCATGGGGAACGTGCATCCGGTCATTCAGCCACGCTGAGCTCTTGAGCTCCCCTTATAAGGCAGCCATTGTCTCTCGGAAGTGGGACAGCAGTGCTTTGACAGATTTACTTCCCCCATCTTCTTCGTCTGACAAATAATTAACCTTATTTCCTGTCCTCAAAACTCTGCTCACGTTATTTGTAAATGTGATTTGGCACTGAGGCCAGGGGACCCATTTTCTGGTAACAATGGTATCCCAAAATCCAAAGCAAGCCTACCTTTGCGGAACAGGAAGGGGCCGACTGTGCCATGAGTTTCTTGGGACTTTTCTTGCATTGTCTGGAAGGTGCTCTGGGCTGAGATTGTTTGAATCTTCTCCCCAGTTAGAGAGAATCCAAAGAAGTCAGCAATTTGTTGTACTCCAGCACCCAGATCCTGAAAACAAATACTTTAAAGGATAAGCATCTTTCCATGGGACTTACACTAGAGCAAAGACTTTCTCTTAGACTTACCTTGATACTTTGATATTAGTATGTGTTATACCACTATAAGATATTATGTATTGAGTGTACTTTGTAGCGTCAATTTATGACTTTTACGAACTAGGTAATACTATTTAGGGCATAAATAATGATAGTAGCATTAATTTGTAGGTTAGAGTTTTATCATTGTGTTAAAAAGCACCATCCCAGATCAGTTAGGGAAATTAACGTATTTGCATGTGCTCACTCAAATTCTCTTTTCTTCAGAATCCTATTTATAGCTAATGTTTAATTCCACCAAGAACGTCTAATTTTTAGAATCACAAAAACATACAGGAATTTTGAAATTTACCTTGTCTAAATACCTTTGTAAATCATGAACCATCCAACACTGTGCCCATGGAGATTCATAAAGGAAAATGATGAGTGGGGTGAACTCAACTATGATATATTGTAAGAACTTTTTAAAATGTCACAATGTTGCCCCAATACAACAATAATATCATTCAAAAAGGAGAAAAAGTCTTCTAGAACAGCTTCTTAAACTGTATTCTACAAAACACTAATTAACCTTAAAATAGTTACAGATGTTTCATGGTAAAAAAGGAGCAGGAAGAGTTGCAGTCAAATAAGTTTAGAATCCTTCAGATTAAACAATAGTAGAGATACTGTCTTTTTATGTAGAGTAGCTCAAGTTGGTCTCAAACTCACTATCCTCCTGCTTCAGCCTCTGAAGTTCTGGAATTACAGGTGTGCACTACAATGTCCAGCTTAAAATTTCTTTTTTATACAGCACCTATCAGTCTTTAAATCCCAGTGCACCATGTGAACCATCAAAGGAGTTAGCTATATAATATAGTGCTTCCTAAATCTATTTATATAAGCCACATCCTCCCAGCCCTCAAGAAATAATTATTAGCATCTGGGACAACTCTGATATTCAAAAATACCCTAAACTAGAAGAAAAGACTAATGTAGAATGTTCCTTCATGCTTCCTATGAACAGAAAGCATGGATGAAATTGTACTTGCCTTTGATAAGAATGTCACAGGAAGCTGGCGGTAACTCAGATTAGGGAGCATTTGACACACTTTGAGACAGAAGTCTCATTAACACACTTTCTTCAGTGGGGATTCAGGACTCTGGTGTCCCTCCCACCTCACTAGCCACTCCTCAGTCTCATTTGCTGATTTCTCCTCTTTTCCCCCAAATTCTTTATATTGCAGATTTCCAGGACCCAGTCCTTGGTCATCATCTTTTCTCTATATATATACCTAGGTAGTAATCTCGTGACTTTAAATACATGTAGGTGTCAATGAGTCCCAAATTTTATCTATAGCCCATAACTCTCTCTCTCTCTCTCTCTGTCTTCCTATTCATGACATTTATATGCAACTGCCTGCTTGACCTTTTCATATCTTAATGTAAAAAACCCCTGATTTCCCCCACAGTCCTGCTTCCCCTAATGACTTCTCTTTCTCACTCCCCTCCTCACAGGCACCTGCCTCAGGGCCTCTGCTTCAGTTGGTTTCCTCTGCCTAGAAAGCTTGTCCCCCAGCTACTTACTTGCTTTTCTCCCTCGCCCCCTTCATGTGTTTGCTCAAATCACATCCCTGTGGTGGGTAGTCCCCTGACCCCTTATTTTATAGAGGGATTTATTCAGCACTCTGATCTGCCATGCACTGGCATTTCCAATTTTTAACCAGCTATTTCTTGTTTCTCACATACTACAATACATCTAAATTTTTATTGCATTTGTTATTCATCTTTCTGTCTCCCTGACTTCTTCAGCTAGAACCTAAACTTCCCCAGGGTAGTGAACTTCATCTGTCAGATCACTGATGTATCACCTGAACCTAAGACAGTGCTGAGCAATCATTCACTCCATGTTTGTTAAGCAAATTAACAATTTTTAAAAGAACATTACTTGGAAAAATCAATACACAACCAAATGCATGTTCAATTAAATCAACTGAGACTTACCTATTGGTTTTCCATTATTAATTTGGACTATCCATCAGAAAGGGAAAACAAAGTAGTTACTACTAAGTTGTCAGGCATTATTTTATTTCTATTAAGTAAACAAGCTAAGCATTTGTGATTGGTTGGTTTTTTCTATTACTGTTTTGCATATCTGGCATTTTTAAAACTGAAGACCATTTGTTTATACAAGAAGACATTGTTAAGTTTACACATGATATAGTTTATAATAAATCTTAATTTTGATATTAATAATTATTAATAGTAATTATAGTCTCACCTCTTTCAGGTCTTCATATAATATGAACTTAACATTTTCATCATCAAGGTGCTTGTTCCAACTAATTGCAAAATCAAAATAGCTTCCCCAAGAAACTAAAAACATGGAGGAAAGAACTTATGTAAGTTGTTTTACATGGCTGAGGTAAAAATGGTAGTTATCTTATGCTGTGAAATATAAAGCATACACATGTGTATATGGTCAAACAAGATCTGCTTATAAATTACTACAAATCCTTGCTCTCAAAGAGGTGGTATAAACTGATCCTGTTGTCCATTTTTATTCATTTTCTTATCTTTTTGAACTTCTCCCATAAAAAACACAACTGAGAAATTTGTGAAAATGATTTAATAAAAACTAGCAGACATTCCTTAAAGTGGCAGAATTAATTCAGAAAGAATTAATGTGGCAGAAAGAATGATGAGAAAGACATAATCTAGAATAGTATTGTTCAACAGAAATGTAAACTATATATGTGATTTAAAAAAGAAACAGGTAAAATTAATTTTAATGTTTTAATATTTCCCAAAATATCATTATTCTAACATGTAATCAACAAAAAAAATTAACAATACAAGACACATTATTTTTTATATTCTGAGTCTTCAAAATTGGTGGGTATTTTACATATATATATAGACTCTCAAGTTGGATGCTAAACTTTTGTTGGAACTACTTGGTGTGTATTTAGATTTTATGAAACTTATAGTTAAAAGAGCATATTCACACACCAAACTTATTAAGAACTTAATTAAAAGCTTTCCAATAACTGAATTTAGTATCCACTTTTACTTTAAATTTCAATTAATTAAAATTAAATAAAACTAAAAATTCACCTTGTCAATTACTCCAGCCACATTTCAAGATTGCAGTTGCCACATATGTCTGGTGGCTGCCACACATGTCTGGTGGCTGCCACACCAGATGGTGCAACTCTTGACTTTAGTCACAGCAGCTGTGTGCGTGCTGTGTGACTTTAAGCTACAACTTAAACCTCCATCCCTTAGCTTTCTCATGTGTGAAACGGGGTCGTTATGAGGCTTACATGAATTAGCACACATCAAATGCCTAAAACAGTTCCTGTTTCATAGTACCACTCAATAAATGGTAGCCATTATTATTATTATTAATGACAGAATTGATTATTATCATTGCCATAAAGCCCTTGCATTGATGCAGGCAGTTTGTCATGGCCTCCCCAGGAATACTCAATATGTCCACTTCTTCACTGCTAACCAAACCCTGATTATTTGAATCGAGGCCAATCCTGAGAATGTATGCCCTGCTTTGCTGCCTCCCTGAGCCCTGTGATTGTCCACATGACAGGTTCTGGCCAGTGAAACACCAGTAGGATTTGCTGGGAGGTTTCTGACAAAAGTACTGTGTCTTGAGCTAAGACAAAACTATTGCTATCTGCTTCTTCAAGAGTTGGAGGAGCTCCTTAGAAGGACAGTAGCTAATATGAGAATATATTGCAAAAAAGTATGAGAGTGGTCAAGGGAATACCAGAGGTGGTACCCACATTTCCCTGGGCTGCTGAAGCAGTCGTCTGCCTTCTGACTCCTAAGAGAAGAAAACAAAAATCAACCTGACCAGGCCACTAGAGCCAGGTTTTCTGTTCTTTCAAACAAATTCTTAATTGAAGCACATATTTTTTTATTCTTTCATCAGAGCAATTAAAGATTAAAGCACTACTAACAACAAGTACACCAAGTATAAAACAACTCAATGTCATAGGTACAATTCTTATTCCCACTCTGATGATGCAGAAATAGAAAACCAGAGAAGCTAAGTGTGTGTGGCTAAGGCCACACCATTAGTAAGTCATGGCATTGTCATCATTCAAAGTCAGTCTGACTTTGAGAGTTGGTGCTGTCAAAGAAAGTTCATGCTGTCTCACCTCCAGAGGATGTATGCATACCTTCACTTTCTGGTTAAGAAAAACAAAATTCAGAGAGATCAAATTGGTGGTGGAAGGCACATAGGTAGCAGGTGATTTTAACCTGGGTTGAAGTTTTAGCTCTGCTACTCAAGGGCTCTACGACCTTTCCTCTCCTCTATTTACTTCTTAATGAAATAGGGATGATAATAATATTATCCTCATAGGTTCTTATGAGAATTTAAATTAAATTTGTCACAGTACATAACATGAATAACTGCTCAATAAGTGGGAGTTATTGTATCTTATTTAATATCAATGATTAATATGTAATAATAAATGATAAAGCCCAAACAAGGTCTTCTCATTCCAGATCCTTTATATTTTCTGGTACAGTCAGCTGCCTCTATATAGAATTTAAGAAATTCAATCCAAGTTATCACGCCACGTCTTATTATTGCCAATCAAGTACTTAGGCTGAAACAATAGACAGGGTGACAAAGATTTCCTAAAATAGATTGTCCCACTGATAGTGAATTTCTCATCATCAATTGTTACCTTGTGTTATTAATGGAGTGATGTTTCAGGTTTGCCTTACCTGTCTCTATACAATCTTAGCAAACTAGAACATTCTTAGTGGTGCTTTGTAAGCATCTTCTATGGGCTTTTCTTTCTGCTATGCCCCAATCTCAATATTTAATCTTCTCTTGTGAGCCAGTATTATACCCAGTGTCCACGCATGTGGAATGTTGTGGAATTTGTTGTGCTGATCACCTTTTAAAAGGGCCTTTCCAGGCTGGGTGCTGGTGGCTCACACCTGTTATCATAGCCACTCAGAAGGCAGAGATCAGGAGGATCACGGTTCAAAGACAGCCCATGTGAATAGTTCTCAAGACTATCTCAAAAATACCCAACACAAAACAAGGGCTAGCAAACTGGCTCAAGCAATAGAGTGTCTGCCTAGCAAGCGTGAGGCATTGAATTCAAAGCCCAGTACTGCCAGAAACAAAAAAAGTGGGGGGAGGCTTTCCAAATTGTGGTGTACAGACAGTGGAATATTATAGAATATTATTCAGCTTTCAAGTGAGATACTGTTATTTGCAACAATGTGAATGAAACTGGAGGACATTATGCTAATTGAAAGAAGCCAGAAACAGAAAAAAATACTGCATGATCTCACTTTTCAAAAAAAAATACAGACAGACAGACAGTAGAATGGCATTTTCCAAGAGGAAACAGGGAGGTGTAGGTCAAAGAGTACAAGACTTGCAGTGATATAGTTTTGCATTACTGAGTTATCAATAAGTCTAGAGATCTAATGATCATCTTGAACGCTCTGGTTACTAATATTTATTGTAGACTGAAAATGCTCGCTACATACACAAAAAGGGTAGCTATGTGACATCATGGATATGTGACATGATGGATATGTTGATTTGCTTAATTGTAAAAATCATTTCACTATGTGTATATTATTAAAACATCATGTTGTCCACATTAAATATAATAAATAAATAAATATAATAGCAAAACAAAGTTTGTTAGAAAAATTGTCCTCTTAGAGTGACACCAGGCTCATCTGGTGTTAATTCTTCCTTCTACAACACTGGAAAGACTCAAAAAAAGCCTCTCATAAAACAAGGTATTCACTCTTGGGGATATACCCAAAAGAATGTGACACAGGTTACTCCAGAGGCACCTGCATACCCATGTTTATTGCTAAGTTATGGAAACAGCCAAGATGCCCCACTACTGATGAATGGATCAAGAAAATATGGTATCTATACACAATGGAATTTTATGCAGCCATGAAGAAGAACGAAATGTTATCATTCTCTGGTAAATGGATGGACTTGGAGAACATCATTCTGAGTGAGGTTAGCCTGGCCCAAAAGACCAAAAATCATATGTTCTCCCTCATATGTGGACATTAGATCAAGGGCAAACACAACAAGGGGATTGGACTTTGATCACATGATAAAGCGAGAGCACACAAGGAAGGTCTGAGGATAGGTAAGACACCTAAAAAACTAGATTGCATTTGTTGCCCTCAACGCAGAGAAACTACAGCAGATACTTTAAAGCAACTGAGGCCAATAGGAGAAGGGGACCAAGAACTAGAGAAAAGGTTAGTTCAAAAAGAATTAACCTAGAAGGTAACACACATGCACAGGAAATCAATGTGAGTCAACTCCCTGTATAGCTATCCTTATCTCAACTAGCAAAAACCCTTGGTCCTTCCTATTACTGTTTATACTCTCTCTACAACAAAATTAGAGATAAGGGCAAAATAGTTTCTGCCGGGTAGCGAGGGGTAAGGGGGGTAAGGGGAAGGATAAGGGAAGGGCTGGGGGAAGGGAGGAGAAATGACCCAAGCATTGTATACACATATGAATTTAAAAAATCCAATTAAAAAAACACACACAAAAAAACCCAAGGTATTTATTGATCTCTGACCACTATACTAATGGATGGAGAATCACTGCCACTTAGAAGCAGTGGGACCACGGGCACTTGATCATGCTGTTTTCCTTTTTGGCAAACAAACATCTTACATTGCTCAGGCCTCTCTCTCTTTTTGTTTTTTAAACTTTTTTTGTTTTTGTTTTTAATCAGCATGTAATAGAGTGACTTAAAGGAAACTAACTGGAAGTACTTTTGTACAAGAGTCTATGAAAGGTATCTTTGTCCCACATATGTTCTGTGGCCACTCAATACTCGCAGTCAACAACTGTAAAGGTTAATTTTTAAACCAGTAATGCCTTAACTGCTGGATGCCGAGAGCTATATGCAAAAAACCTTCATTTAAATGGAACTTTTAGCTTATTATTTCTTTCTACACCCTAAAACACATTTGAATTTTCATATTCACGTGATCATCTGTTGAAGTAAATAGAAGTCTTTTGCCAACAGCCATACCTTGTCCCTTCATGAACTGTCTGAAGAATTCATCCCATGAGGCGTAACTTGGAATATCTGGGACATTGTTGTGGAAATAGAAAAAAGATGCTGCTGTATCTTTAGGGTTTCGAAATAACACCAATATCTAGGGAACAAAAACGAAATTATTTATGTAGGTCTATGTTTGGGACTTTGGAAAAGTGAAAGGGAGAGCCATGGCATTGTGTCCACTTGCATATTACATAACTGTGTTACTCTAGAAGAAAGAGTGACAGTAAGAAAATTACTCCTGGGGAAGTCTGGGGAAAGGGGAGGAAGACAAGAAAAGAAGATGGATGTAAGAGAGGGTTTTAGCTAATAATGAAGTTAGGCAACAAAAATGTACATGTAGAAAATACAAAAAAGAAAATCAGCAAGTTCTTTATAACAGGCACAAGAGAACAATCTGAAAGGTGAAACTTCTAGATAAAATGCAAAATAATGTTAAAGGGTCACAAAAATGAGGTTTGGAGGAGGTGTGAGCTCGTGGCTGATGCAGGTGAAACAGAGCTTCGGATTTGCGTGTCGTATCTGTCTTCTCCTCCCACCAAAGCGATCCTTTGGGTGTAAAGTGTGAAATAAACATTGTAAAGAGTAGACTGAAACTGAAGGGAGCTGACAGACTGCAGCGGAGTGCATGGCTGTCCCCTGAGTTCAGGCTGTGGTCTGAGGCTATTTCCCTCTGAGGACACTTAGAGAGGACATTACTGAACGTGTTACTAAGCTCTGAGAATCCTGGGATAACACTGACCAAACCAGGCAACTACAAACAGGCAGAAGTCATTTCACTTTCAGAAAGGGGGAAGATAGGGATTCGCAAAGTTCAGATTTGTTGATCTTGACCTCCTTTGGGGAGAAGCTTCTCCAATTGATGAAATAGATTTGAGGCCACAGAAAGGAGGAACCAGCAGGGGGCAACATAGGTCCTCTAAGAAGGATTTTTGGGGCATGATTTCTAGTTGAGAAGATCAAGTTGCTTTTGATCTCTTCTACAAAGAATGGAAGAGTTAAGCAGGAAGCAGGAGCAATTTGGCATATAAAACTGGGCACTCAATGCAAAGGAGGCTAAATAATTAATAACTGCCTGGAGGTTTTTATCCTGGGGAGGACCACAGCTAACAAGTTAAGGAGTGAGTGATTCAGGTAAAGATAACGGAGCTATCCTTATCACATTAGTAGATGAGCTGAAACCAAAAGGGAATTGGGATCCCCAAACACCTGTGCATCTAAAGCGACAAAGTAATGCAAAAGGATGAAACTGAACAGATAAAAGTGGGCCGGAGCCTTGCCTTGCGCTCTGATTCACTTACTCACCCTCCCCCAAGTCCAAATAGAGCAGATTTTTATCACTTGAAAGTTTTATATCTGAGGCTTTCACTACCACTCATGAGCTGCTCTGACTCACAGCAGCTTATAATTTCAGAAAGACAGAGGTCTGAACTGCAAGGGCCAGTTGGCTGGAGCGTGTTCATAACCCCAGCATCCACTCTTAGCCTGAGACTCTTTTCTTGCCCTTGTAGTCTTGTGAAAGTGGTACCCTATTGGAAAGCCTGTGTGCTCCAAATCCAAATGCTTTATGAGTTACTTCAGCTGTTTCTTGTAGAGTCATCGAGAGAGAGAATCTAGATTTGTGATTATGTTAACTGCATTAACCAGGGGGAAGGTATATGTTAAAGGATTGATTATATGTTATTTCCAGATCTGTAGATTCTCAATATAAAGAACAGCTGTCTAGCAGCTGTACAAAGCTGGCTCAGGGGATCAAGGAGTTCTCTTATAATTGGAGATCTGAGTCTTGCTCCAGAAAGCCACTCAGTGGAATTCAAACACCTGGTGGGAGTTGCAGCAGACAATCTCTAAGGGGTTTCCAATTCTAAGCTCCTAGAATTCTTGCACCAGGGCCACAGGGCTACAAAGCCACTGCTTCCCTGATGTCCCCCTTCTTCCTCTTCCTTTCTTCTTTGTCCTTCCTACCTCTTGCCATTGACAGTTAACTGATTCCTCCTTTGCCTTTCTTTGCTTTTTTGTCACTATTCTCCTATTCTTCTTTGATGCTTTCAAAATTTAAATCTTTCTTTTTTTCAGTACTGGCTATTTGAACTCAGGGCCTTGTGCTTGCAAGGTGGGTCTACCACCTGAGCCATACTCCCATCCTTTTTGCTTTAGTTATTTCTTCAGATAGGGTCTTGCATTTTTCCCTGGGGATCAGCCTCAGACCGGGATCCTCTACCTATGCCTCTTCTGTAACTTAGATAACAAGTGAACACTACCATCTCCAGCTTGTTTGTTGAAATGCATTTTGCTAACTTTTTGCCTTTGTAGCTCGAACAATCCTCCTGATCTCTGCCTCCTGAGCAGCTGGGATTACAGGTATGTACTACCATTCCTGGCCATAAATCTTGACCTTTACTCACTCTAATCCTTTCCTTGTGAGACAAAGAAGCACCAAGAAATAAGGAATGAAACTGGAGAAGACCAGGGACAGAAAACAAAAAGGACTGAGTAAAAACTTAGCCATAATAGGAAATATATTAATTCTGACTAATGAAACAAGATTTTTAACCAAATGACAAGAGTAGTTAAAGCACCATGTAAGTTCTGTATGGATGACATGAAGTTTGTTGTTATATGTGAAATTCATAAATAAAATTGTTTCAGATCTCAGGCAAATAGTGCTTATCAAAAAGAACCAAAGGAAAATGCTAAGCTTAACTAGGCTATATTCTTGTTTGTTTTTGTTTGGTGATACTGGGGTTTGAATCATCTGAATTCTTTTGTTAAACACTCTAAATAGCCTAGTAGGATTCTTCAATGTATTAATTGCAAAACAGATTATAAGATACTGTATCTTCGCTTCTATGTATATGTTTTATAGCCTAGTTAAAATATTTTTCACTTGACTTGAGTACAACCACAGCAAATATACCTAGGCAGGTGCTCTCCCACTTGAGCCATACCCCTAGCCCAAGGCAAATATATCTAAAGACAGACACAACAAAATGTCACAGTTCACTTGCATCACAATTTTATGATGAAGCGCAAACTCACCACATACTTCAAAGAGCCAATAACTAGAGTTGGGGATGTAACTCAGTGGTGGAGCACTTGTCTAGCATGTGTGAGGCCCTGGGTTTGATCCCCAGCACAAGGGGGAAAAAAAGAGTCAATATCTACACATAAAATTTTGAAATTCTAGTGCCAGTAGGAAAAGACACTCACCTTGGCTTTGTTCTTAAAGATGGATGCAGGTAACTTGTCATAATGAAGGTGAGTTGTCAAAATCCTTGGAGATGGAAACTGTTTCATTCTCTTAAAAATATACACAAATAGAAGTGAAAAGTCACAGTGTGTGCATGTGTGTGGTGAGTCACCTCTAAAGTTAGTATCTAAATGGTACCTTCAAGCTATCACTACTTTGTTCTCCTCCTGCTTCCCCTCTAATTTTTCTGGATGAGTAATAAGAAATCATAAATAAATAAATCAGTGAAGATCATGAACTTCCTTGATGGATCCTGCTTCCCAAGATCTTCCCAACCTTTTTGCCACTTAAAAATGTTTTTTTACATGTCCTGACAATCATATCAGATCTACTTCATTCAGGACAGTTCATAATCTGCAATTCACTGTTCACAATTTGGAAATCTTCTACATTCAAGGTCTTAAACTGAAATATTCAAGTCTTCTCATAGTTCTTGCAAATTCTTTTTCAACATCTAGCTCTATTTTTGGTTTATCATCTAAATTTCCATGCAATGAAATATCCTAAGAGAATCTGAAAGTCCACAGTGTCACTTAAATGTCTTAGAAATGCCTTTAATGAAATTTTTGTCGGTATGAGGACTATAAGGTGACTGATTCTTTTCCTGCTGTCTATTTCTACTGATAACTTTTAAGATGAAGGTTTCTATTCAACCTGCCATGGTAAAAAGTTTTAACTTAAAATCTGCCCTGTAGAATCTGTCATGTGGAATACCAATTCTTCAATTGAGTGACATTTATAGAGGTCACTCAGTACTTGGTCTAGGTACAATATAACTATTCATTTCAAGTGATAAAATGATGAGTAGATGCCGATAGCCAATTGTTCTGTAAAAATTTAGTGAAAGCTCTAAAAGCGATGGGACAAAAAAATATAAAAAATAAAAATCAATTTAAATCAATTGTATGGGTCCAAAGTAGTAGTAGTGATTAGTAGTGACAATATCTGATTTCTACCAAACTGTACTTTTTAGTATTTGAAATACTTTTATGTTCACGAGTTCTTTCGGGTAGATATCAGAACCCTCATTTTAGAGATTAAGACCAGACTTTGAGGTTTTAAATGCTTTGTGCAAAATCTCACAGGTAGTAATTTTCAGATTAAGGTATAGAGAGCTGTTTATACTAAACTACATAACCAAAAAAATCACTCAACACCCCATGAGCAATAATAAAGTCACTAGAAGGTTTGAAACTCATCCAAGGAGAAAATGAAGTTAACTACCTCAAAACTGGGTACGAATAAAATGCTGTGTTCATGAACATGTATGGTATACCTAAACTGGAAGCAATGTGAAAGACTGACGACAGACACATCTTGTTTAAGGAAACTGTGCATTCTAGAAAAGTTTTCTAGAAATTGAATTACTATTAAGTGGAACTTATCTTCTCATTGATTTCCACTTAAAAATAAAAGGCATAAGCTGGGCCTGGTGGCTCACACCTGTAATCCTAGCTACTCAGGAGGCAGAGACCAGACAGATCACTCTTCAAAGCCAGCCCAGGGCAAATAGCAAGACCCCATTGCAAAAAATACCCAACACAAAAAAGGTTGGTGGAGTGGCTTAAGTGGTAGAGTGCCTGCCTGGCAAGTGTGAGGCCCTGAGTTCAAGCCCCAGTATTGCCAATGAATAAATAAATAAATAAACGTCACATTGAATAAAAAATATCTTGTTTCTAGACATTACGAAATTATAATTAAAATACAAAAAGTCTTTTAACATAGCTGAAGAAAAAACAAATAGTTGTGATAAATTGTGTATATCAAAACCCAAAATACTATACTATACTATACCAAGTTAAAACATTTTCCAGACATGTTTGGACCTAGAATCCTATGTCTCATTCACTTTGTTCAACATTTTGAAGTTAGTTTCGATGCTTCTAGAAGACTCCCTTGTCTTCAAAAATAATGTCTAGCTTTTTACTAAAACTGGAAATTCCTTTAACAGAAAGTACACGTATGTCATTCATAATTACAGCTGAGACTTAGAATGCAAGGATCTCGAATCAGGCAATCTTTGCTTTACATTCACACTAAAAGAGCTGCCTAAAAAGCGAGATCCCCAGCTGAGGAACAGGAGCACCATGTTTTCTATGAGGGGAAAGAGAGGTACTTAAGCTCAGAGTGAAGTATTGGCATGTTGAAAAACTCGGTCAGGAATAAAACCTCATCCCCATATCCATAAGCAACAGCACAGAATGTTCATACTTTATAAATGGCTTACATTACAAAGTTTTATTTGAGGTCACTTTTTCAAAAATTAAGACAGACTTTCCAGGAGAAATGATTCCATAAATAATACGAAAACTTACCAGTCAGCATCCCAAACCATATTTCAATCATAAGAGAAAACTGTTTATCTCAGTAACATGTAACAGGCAAATGCAATAAGGAAGGTCAAAGGGCAAGGTAAAGAATAAGATATAAGATGGAAAAGCTATTAAGAGAGAATTTGGAAAGATCACTTCTGGAGGTGTTGTTACACACTCTTGCTAGTAGAAACAAAAACCCGGAAAAGGAGAAGTCAATGGGGCTTGTCATCTGTTCCTCCATTTCTTACCTCAGGAAAAGCTTCTTAAAGCTCCCGTCCTCCCATCCTGACTGCAGGCCTGAGCCTGTGCTGACTGAGCCTCCATCGTGACTGCTTGAGCACAGATGACCCTCCCAGGTGTGGGACCCGAGGCCCTGATGTGACTACTCACCTGGCTGAGGCCTCCCGAGGTTCCCTGGCTGCCAGCCACGTCCAGGATTCAGCCCTTGGCGTCCCCCACCCCCCTTCTCCAAGTCCCTGAACATTTCCCTCATTCTCTGTAGGGTTTTTCTATTACTTTTGCCCAGTCCATAGAAATGGGCTTTTGTCCCCCTAGGTTCCAAGCTTCAAATTTGTATTTGTCATCATGCTAACTATCTCAATCACTTTCCAGAAACAGCTCCCTGTGTCCCAATCCAGTGCCTTTCTTCATAGTAACAAAGCTGTCTACCTGTTGGGAGTCTTTCTGGGAGACACTTATGAAAGTTTTACTGAGGCTGTGGTTCCCCAAAATACAGCCTCCCCTCCTCTCTGTACTCTGAGGTGTCAAGGGTGGGTGTGACGCTTCCTCTCTCCTGTCCTCCTGTTCTTTCATGTCCTCCTGTTCCTGGGACGCAGCCTCCCTCTCACCTTTTTCTTATCTTCCCTGGGCAGGGAGCAGAACACCCAAGTCCCCCCTTCTACTGGGAAGGTGAGTGATAATTTGTGATAACTGAGTAATAACAGGTACGGTGACCAGTTAGCACCTTCAGCCCACATCAGCGACTCACTCGCTTAGCTACTTGGTCATTTCTCATCCCTCACACACACACATACACCAGAGTCACAATTGAGACAAGGAAACAAAAAACAATGTCTCTTGGAAAAGACGAGTGTCCTGCCCATGTCTGTGTCTTCAGAGAGTAAGACTTTTTGTTTTCATTTCATTTTCTGAAGTGTCTCATCTTACTTTTCTTTCTGCTTAAAAGGAATAATAATGAAGATGGCTGTACAGTGTAGGCGTTAGGAGTTCAAATTAGAAACCTGGGTTCAAAACTTGACTCTGGCATTTATTATCCCCTTGATCTTGGGCAAGTCTCTAACAGTTTCAACATTTGTGAAATGGTGATAAAAATGAGATAATACCTGCAAAGTACTGAGGACATGGTAAACACGTATCAATTACAGTAATTAGTAATATTATACTTCTAAACTCAACACTGAAGAATCTCCAAAATGGAAGACAGCCTTCCCATGATAACTTGCTCTAAGTTTACAAACAGATACTTAAGAACTGCGTTTGCTAAAATACACTGACTCCTCATTTGGGCACTACCCATGTAATATCCTCATGTGGACATTACCCTGTAAATAGTCGCAGGGTAACTAAAAGCAGAATATAAGCCTGACATCTCTATCTCCATTTGACCTGAACCATTATCTCCTGCAGTTACGTTGGAATCTAGGAAGAACAGGACTGATGGATAAACATCTGTGATGGGAGAAGAAGCTATCTCCTGCCAGACAACAATGACTTCTTATTGTAACAAGGCCTCATCTGACTAATCCTGAGATCATGAGCAACTGGACCACCTCTGACCAGTAGTCCATGCCTGTGACCCCCAGACCTAACCTGTAATCAACAGACCACACCTGTGACCTGGCCTGTTAAGTAGTTATGCATACCTTTCATCCCTGCCACCAGTTCTCTCTCTATTTAAACGTGAAGGCCATGTCTGTACCCTGAAGATGGGCTGAAGGGCTCACTTTGCCTGTCATGTCCCACCCCCCCAGGTACCTCCGTGCCCCGCCACAGTAAGTCTCTTTTCTCTGCCCTTTACCACTACTTGTCTCTTTATTTGGTATTTGGGGTGAGTGGCTGGACCTGACATGTGGAACCCCTGGACTTGGGCCTGTGGCCTAGAACTCTGGTGATAACTTTAAAGGCTATTTGTACTAACCTGATATTTTTCTGCATCTCCACATTCAAGAACTGGGAATTCTGAATATTCATATTTTTTCTTAGAAATAGCAAATATTAATTCACTGACAATATGGAGAATCCAATTTGAACCTATAAGTAAAAGCAGAAAATAAAAGCTCATTAAGAAGTCTTGATATGCCAGGTACTGGTAGCTCATACCTGTAATCCTAGGTGCTTAAGAGGCAGAGATCAAGAGGATGGAGGTTTGAAGCCAGCCTGGGCAAATAGTTCAAGAGACCCTATCTTGAAAAAACCCATCACAGAAAAGGGCTGGTGAAATGGTTCAAGGTGTAGGCCCTGAGTTCAAACCTTGGTACCACAAAAAAAAAAAAGAAGTTTTGATATAATTGATATATATTTTAACATATAAAAATTAAAATCTACAGCCATTCCGTGATGTGTACATTTAGTTCTTCTGTGTTTGAAATGACTAGTCTAAAATTCAAGTTCTTATTTCTCAGATATCTCTTTTATTGATTGAATGATTGTTTTTCATTTTCTTTTTTTTTACAACAGGGTCTTGCTATACAGTCCAGGCTGGACTTGAACTTGCAATCTTCCTGCCTCAGCCTCCTGAGTGCTGGGATTATAAGTGTGAACCACTATGCCTAGCTCAGGTGTCTCTTTTACTAAGTAAGAGACAAAGCTTCCTTTTTCAATCTAGAATATGTTTCTTAGCGAAAAAATGTTATGCTATAGAAATGGCTGTTTATTATGTATCATATATATTATCTTACCTTAAGGAGTATTTCCTATAGAAGTATATAAGTTTACTTTTATAAAAACCCAGAATAAAAGAAAGATCAATATTAAATGAAAATGGCTTTACTAACCAACAGCTGAAGGGGTTGAAAGTAGATGGATAGTACGTAGCCCAGGTACAGTGGTGCACCCCTGCAATCTCGGCACAAAGGCTGAGGCAGGACGACACAGGCTCCAGGCCAGATGGCTACATTGTGAAAACTCTTAAAATAAACAATACAAAACAAAGCAAAACAAACAAACAAAAAAACAGACAGCGTAAAATAGGATAATTTAGAGTCTTAATGTCATCTCCTCCATTGATGAAGGACCTTTGTAAAAATGATTTGAGAAACTGCAGGATTGACATTTGACGCTGAAAAATAATCTATTACATGGAAATCATCATAGGAATGATACAGAGTACATGCTTTTGTCTTTGGTCAAAAATGAAGATGAAAATCACTACTATTTCCCACCATCATGTTTCATCTTTCCAGTGTCACCATCTGCCTCCTTCCTATACCCACCATAGGCTTTCTACCCAGACCTTTTCCCTCAGACACTGAGATTCCTAATTTAACAGTTCTGGTTGTTGATTTTACAGTCTACACACTTAACCACCCGGGCCGCCCTCTCACTGATTTCCAGCTAGCTTCCTGCAGAGATGAGCCACCTTCATCCGACTTTTATCCTGCACCCTCCCCAACCTACTCACTATGAAAAGAGCAAAATCATAGGAAATGATTTGTTATTTACCACACTTTGGGTAAGATGCTAGCACGATGTCATCACTTCTGGCTTCAAAGGTGTCCAGTGCTTGGAAGGTTTCTGAGGTGCACATAGTAACTGGGTAAGGAACACCCTGATAGGTAAAAAATAAGTGAGAAAGTGCAGTTTCTTTAGATTTTTCTAAAGCATCATCAATGTACTCAATAAACTTGGACTTAGCCATGCTAACTGCCTGCCAATCAATCCACGCTGCTATTACACAGGTGCAGAAACTGCTTTTAATGGAGTCTTCCAGAAGCTAGAATAAAGGGCTCCTCCCACTCACAGGAAAAAGAAATCACTTAATTCTCATCCATTCCTGCCCCCCTTTTGCATATCATCTGACCAAAAGCAAACCACAGGTGCAAAATGGATCAGGAATTATTATACCAACAGCTGATTACATTACCAGTACACAACTCACCCCATGAAAGTAAGAATGAAATCTCCTAATAGAAGATTAATCGACATTAAATATCTAACAAATAGGTATTTAATGTACTCAGATGTGCAGTTTTCCTATCAGCAATTCACAGAATGAAACTTTAGTTTTCTTTATGGATGGCAGCTTTCCAAAACATCCTTCTCAGTATGATAGGAAGCAATGAGGCAACGGGATAATTTAATGAGGTGCTAAAGAGCCTGATTTGGGGGAATCCTGAGCATCAGGCTCCAGTGATCTGTCACTTATTGGTGCGATAGGTTTGGAAGTCCCTCTTTACCTCCTTAACGATAGAGCTGTGTGGGTCACAGAAGGGAGCTTCTTTCTGAGGGGTGATACAATGTGGTGTTGTCTCCAGTTCTCTGGGCTCAGTTCCCTGCTGGTCAAGGTCTTTGAGTTTCCCACTTTCTACCCAGTCTCCCCAGCAGCCACTCTCTCCTTTTTCTATCCCTCGCAGCTTGGTATGGCCCTGGGGTTAGTGGGAAGTAAGCCTAAGGGATGGTCCAACTCCTGGGTCCTGTCCTTAAGAAAGGAAGTTGGCAGTTTTCCAATTCTCTATTCCCTTTCCCACATCTGAATGGCAGACATGATGCTGGGGAGGCAGACTTGTTGACTGAAAGGAAAATAGCATTCCGGGCATTGTAGACCAACAAAACTGGTCTACCATGGGAACCTGGCTACTGGACGACTGGGGAGGAGGGGGATACAGTTCCTTTCTTATTTCTTTCCCATTCTCTTCTCTACATCATTCTCCTTATGATAAATTTTTTTCCCTAATCCTAAAATAAAATCATTTTTACTATATTTATGATTCTCTAAACCAGTGCTAGCCAGTGAAGAAGTTAACTGTAGTTATGCATAATTACCTAGCTATAAAGTAGTCGTTCACTGGCATTGAGCACTTGCAGGTACCACACACTAAGATTACAAATGATTTAATAAACTTCATAACAGACTTATGAAATTGGTGCTACTTTAGTACAATTTTACCATGGGTGGTTTGAGACTCACGGGGGCAAAATAATACTCAAAGTTGGACCTTTGGATGAGTTGGAATCGGACAACTCAGCCCAAGCAAATAGATAGCTGAGGTGAGACCTCAGGGGTCACAGGCTTAGTCATAAGGGTTGGTATGTTCTTTGGTGCTTCTTTAGCTGCTGTGAGAAACAAGGTCACCAGACCTTTGCCCCACTTTGTAGGAGCAATCATCTCATGATGAAAACTGAATTGCCCCAAGAGGTCTAACTACTCCAGAGCTAGCAGGATCTCACAGAAGCTGACCTGAGACAGTGATCAACATGACCACAGTTTGACTGGGACTGCTTAACTATGTATAGCTCTGTCCTCTGCTTTTGTTCCTTACCTATTCAAACCAGAAGCTCTTGTCAGTACCACAGGAGACATGGCCTGAGACTGCCTGGTCACCTGGTGCTTCCCAGGTCACACTAAATATTAAATCCCTTTCCTACTTCAATAATACTTTTTCCATTTGATTTTTGGGGTGAGTGGTTGGACCAAGTCTGTTGGGATTCCTTGAAGTCAGGCCCCACCCACTGGCCTAGGATTCTGGTAATACTTTCACTGGAAGAAAATGCCTTACCTTTTGAAGAGAGAAATTTTTATGACTATAAGGGAAATAAATTTCCTGGGTTCTAGAACATTTTATTTGAAAACAGCATTTTGGGACAGATACCATGTTAGATGTATATATTAATTATAAGATGTATTCCAATTTCAGAAATGTAAACACAGGGAAACACTTAGAACTGGGGACATTTTGTATGTCAAAACAAAGTACCTGACTAGCAGAGCATTTGCGTAGCCATGTGCAGGGCTCTGGGTTTAATCCCAAACACTGAAAAAAATAGAAAAAAGATAAAAAAGAAAAGGAAAGAAGTCTATTGAGGTAGGTGTGGGAGAATAACTTTTAACCTTCATTTTACAGAGGGGGAAGACTGACCAGAGGGTTCCTAGCTAGGAATTAGATTTAGTTATATTTGTTAATATAAAAATCATTTTGTGAACAGGTTGCTGGTGGCTCACACCTGTTATCCTAGCTACTTGGAAGGCTGGGATCAGGAGGATTGCTGTTTGAGGTCAGCTCAGGCAAGTAGATAGAGTCCAAAATAACCAGAGCAAAGGGACTATAGATGCAGCTCAAGTGGTAGAGCACCTGCTTTACAAACATGAAGCCCTGAGTTCAAATCCCGGTGCCACCAAAAAAAAGGTTTGTAAAAAGTAAAATCAGAATAGTTGAATATCTTCATATATTTCCATATAGTACTCCTACCTAAAGGCCTTATTACATTGCATAATAATGGGATGATATTCACTATGTTCAGAAAGGTATAGTTAGTAATCTCCTGTTCAAAAAAGAAAAGACGAATAGGACTGGACTCCCTGCCAATCTGCTTAGTGGGATTATCCCTCACATCACAAAGAGGCCTTGTTTCCCTGGAGCAGGCTAGAATTCATGACACTGATTCAAACTCAATTGTTGTTTGCTTGCTTCTTGGTGAATAAAACATTTAAAAAAAACAATGGTCTGGATCATGTTCTGACATTAATGTATGTTATGATATGAGGATTATGGAGACTTCAGAGATCTGTAATGTGAGCTCTGATTCTTGTTCGTTTCCCTAAGCTCAAGTCACCCTGTCACTCTGGCAGTTCTACACGCTCAACTCTCAGTAGTCTAGAGTGTACAAAGAAAGGCAACGCATGAGCAAAATAACCTCCATTGTATGACATGCAGGTGGGTCTCACACTATGTGAAATCCCAACTTCCCATTGTGCTGCCTGTATTGTTTCCATACTAAGGATGGATGGCCACAGACCTTCCAGCCTGTTTCCTGTGGCCCGACTCAGGTCCTGGAGCACAGCTGCATAGGAAGCTCATTTAAAGTTCCTTTCCTTGGCAGTAAGTAGTTTGTTCATCTTTTCCCCCCTCTTTTCTAGGCTATAGATTTATACCCCCCAAATGAGAAAAAGAGATGAAAAAAATGTCTAGGGTGATCAAAATCAAGTCGGATTAGGAAAGCAGGGTCAAGTAGCCCAGGGTTCATGTGTCCATTGGACTCGCAGCTGGTTTTGGGGCCAAGTGGTTCACCCCCTCTTATACTATCCTCCTCTCTATGCAACAGGCTTCCTTTTAGGTGAAGTTGTGTAATTTTTCTTTTCTGTAGCAAGACATTAACCATTTCACAATGTAGTTCAGGATAAAAATTTACAACGGAATCTCTTGTGTGGGGAGCAGGTGTAACATCTTTCATTTGGGGAATTTACTAAAAAACCAGCTCATCCTTTAGAAGTTGAATGCCAGGAAGCAGGATCGAGTCCACGAGACAGTGGAGCTGGAGGCCTTTGGGATCCAGGATGGTTTTTCTGGTGATACTTTGCCCTCTGTAAAGGAAGAGAAATATATTTTCCTCACCCATCCTATGTTATGACTGAGGTTCCTAAGACAATAGACAAGTTCACAAGAGAAAACTGTACTAGGACTGGTGTCATGGTTTAAGTGATAGAGTACCTGTCTGGCAAGCTCAAGGCTCTGAGTTTGACTTCCAGTATTGCAAACAAGACAATATAAAACAAAACCAATACTCATTTTTAAAATATAAGCTTTACATGATATAGGAGCCTTAATTAGGAAATGAAAACTCCCAAAGAAATAGTCGAGCTTGTGTATTTTTATGTCATTTGATGAACAGTGAACAGTTTTGCAGAAATATAACTGGACCAAAGTTATGATGTAAGGGTAGTACACTTAGGGGCACTTAGCTAGGCATATTTGCTCAGATTCTTTCTTGTGAACCTGTGCTTTAGGGTAAGGATGCCTCTTTCCTCATGTACAGAGAGGACACCTCTCTAATGAGGATTTTATGACCTGTTTCAGTGGAAAGTCAGCAAAATCCTTCCTAGGTTTTATGACTTGCCTCAAGGGCTGGGGAAAGGTGAGAAAGACCTTCCTACATTGGTGTTTTTCTCAAATGCCAAGGTGCCATAGTTCCTGAATGTTTCCTAGACTGAGGATAGAGGACTGCTCCATTCCATCACCTGGCAGCTGGCAGAGCAGTGGTCCTATCCACCTCTCACTGTCCCTGTGTTAGGGACAGGACCCCACAACTTTCTACTACTTTGTGTCCTGTGGTCTTCTATGGGGAAAGTTCAGCCACCACCAAGATCCTGGGCACCTCCTGTTCAGTAAGATGTCCTTTAGTGTCTAGCAGCAATGAGTCATTTCTACTTCATATTAGGTAATTGAAATGGCTTTACCTTGAGGACCTGGGCCAGGCTGAGTGAGGTGAGCAAGGGAGAATGGATAGCAAACCTGCCATGTATTTGTTGACATGGAGATCTCTGTGCCCTACAGGCCACTTAGAAGACAGACATTAGCCAGCTTCTGGGCCTCTGGCATGATGCCACAAGGAGAACTTCTAGCCATTTGCACCCCTCTGCCAGAATTAGCAAATCAGGATAGGCCCAGGAATGCATAGCCCCCAGTGAGCCCTTGGGAGAGGTGCTGGAGACTTAGAGGAGGACCAACTGGATTTATGAACTAGGGAGATTGAATATTTGCGTTTTGGGGTGGGGATGGAGGTTGAGTCGCCTACTCCCCTCAGTTATGTAGGACAGACCTTATACCTGCTACATGTGAGTCCCTGCACTTGACACTTGTGAGAATCAGCACCACTTTGAAAATCTCTCTCTTCCATTAGTGTCTCCCCATATGCCCCAACACCTTCTGCCCAATTCTTTGATCAAATCAACTTGGTAAGAGTCTCCATTTTCCTTCCCTAAAACCTGGTGACCAAATATTTGTTGCCTTAAAACATGTTCATGAATCTATAATGAGGTCCAGGATATATAAGAAATATATATAAAAAGAGGTTAAAATTTGTGTGAGACTAGAGATTTCCCACTCCAGTTAACAACTTACCCTTAGTTAGCTTATTATATCATAGAAATGATTAAATTTCTATAATTATTTGTCTTTGTCAATCAATTTTTAAATTCTTTGTTCTTTTTCTATCTGAACCATTTCAATGACCTTTACATCTTGCTTTGACAGCCTAGTACTTTTAACACTGCTTTCCTGGCATTTCAAAAAAAAAATGTAGCAATGTCTTGCTATGGTTTGAATGTTTGTGTCCCCCTAAATTGGTGTGTTGAAATCCGCCAAGTTTATGATGTTAGGAGGTGGGGAGTTTAGAGGGGATTATTCTGGAGGGTAGACCCTCTCATGAATGGGTTTAGTGCCTTTATAAAAGGAAATCTAGAGACCATTATCCATTCTATTATGTGAGGACACAGGGAGAAGGAACAACCTCAGAAACCAAGAGAGCCAGCCCTTAACAGACTGTACCTGCCAGTGCTCTGTTCTTAGATTTCACAGCCTCCAGAACTGTGAGATATAAATTTCTGTTGTTTAGAAGCCACTAAGTTTATGGTATTTTATTGTAGCAGCCTCAATGGACTAAGATAGGCCTCACATAGAGTAAACTGAGGCACGAAATAATATAAAAAATGTTTAATGGCAGTCATAGGGATTGCTTTTAATATGAAAAATATTTGACGACAAATCTTTGAATGAGAATGATTTTTTTCAAAGATTGTGGATGTCTTAGATTCAAAGGAAAGAGGAACGGCAACAGTGCAGATGAAAGGGCAGCATAGTGTAGGAAGAGACCTTATAAAAAAAGTTTGAGAGAAAGTAAGGAATATAATATTAAATAGAATGGAGAGTCAAACAAGAGATATTTCTACAGAGCAGATAGATCAAGAGAGTGCACAAAGCCCAAACTTTAAAAGATCCCAGAAAAGTTGACTCAGTGGAAGAGATCTGGGGCTCTGACCTGTGTAGAGCTTAGTGATCTTGGCTAAGAAGATATACTTTAAATGAACATAGTTTGTGCACCAACATTTCTCACAATTTATGATGGTTGTGCAAATGAACCATATGGGCTGGACTGGGATGGAGCAGAGTTGGATAGGAAACCTGGAGCTGTCACAAAGCACTCCTCAGAGCTTCCTTTACCTGACATTGGCAAAGACAACTTCATTTGTCACCCTTCTAAACACTTCGATGGATCCCTCACATCAGAAGCAAGGCTCTAAGCATTTTATTAGTTGTTTGTGGGATATATGTCACTTTCATTAGATCATACTTGTGAAGGTAGGTTGGGACATTTCAGGCTTTGTCCTGCACATGCCATTTCAATAGGCTATATATTCTTTTCTTTCCCCTTTACTCCTTTCCATAGGGAGGTTCTCCTGCTCTTTTTATCTAGCTAGTGCTCAAATTTTCAGTTTAATTGTGTAGAGATCTGGCTAAAGTACTGACCCTGAATCAGTGGGTCTGCATTCCTGGCAAGCTCCCAGGTGTGCTGATGTTGTTGATCCTCTGTTTTTGTTTTCTTTTTCTTTTTCTCTCGGTACTGAGCTTTGAACTCGGGGTTTCCATGCTTGCTAGGCAGATGCTATACAGCTTGAGCCAGGCCTCCAGTCTTTTTTCTTGTTATGTTGGAGATAAGTTCTCGAATTTTGCCCAGGCCAGCCTGGACGGTGATCCTCCTATTTTATGCTTCTCGCCATCGCTGAGACGATAGGCTTGTCAGTACGCTCAGCTTTTATCTTCTGGGCTAAGTTAAATAACTCAGGTAGCCCGCGGTCGCAGTTAAAGCACAGGAGCAGACAACCAGGATGTGGGGGCGGGGTCAAGGTGGGCGGGCGGGGCCAAGGCGAGGAGAGGGGGCGGGGCGAGCCGGCCCTGCGCATGCGCCGTACGGACGGGCAGGTCTCAGGTAAGACAGCCGTGATGGCTTCTGCGTGACGACCTTTCTAACTTGGGGACCCCGTTGGGGGAACCTTGCGAAATTCTGTAATCATGCGAACACTCAAGCGTCACTGTCTCCAACTAGCGCGAGGAGCGTGGGCCGGAAGTTTCCGGGCGGCGGGCGACCTTGGCCGGCCAAGCGCTGCGGACCGAGGCCGGGGAGCGGGAGGTGGTGGAGCGACGCCGAGTCCGGGGCGGCATGCTGAGAACCCCGGCTCCCATTTGTACACCGAGACCTTGCCGTGGGGAAGCACGGTGCCCACAGATGCCTCGAATTCCACCAGGGCACCCGCTGCCCACTTACCTGCTTTAGCCTGGTGCAGCCCCGCGGGAGGCCCCCCGCGACGCGCACGCCTGCTGCTCTGCACTTGCACCCTCACCCGGGCTGCCCTCCCGCAGGGCTGAGAGGTCAGAGGCCTCTGGCATGTCTCCTTTGGCCACTTTGGGCAACAGGCGTGTCCCTGGTGGTCTTTACCTTTTTATTTTTTTGTCGGAACTGGAGTTTGAACTCAGGGTCGCGCTCTTGCTAGGCAGGCGCTCTGCCACTTGACCCCCGAAATGGGCTTTCAATCAGCAGAAACTCTGTCCTGAAGCTCAGTGTCTTTACTGTACGGTATTTGGACTTTCTTTCTGCCCCGTGAACATTAAAAGTAACTTAAAGCTTTAAAAAAATCATATTATTATTGTGCTGGGGGTACACTGTGACACTTACAAAAGTTCTTATAGTCGAATGCACTCCTCCATTATTTTCCTTTCGCCCCTACCCCCATTCCTGGAATAGTTTCAATATGTCTCAGTTTTCCATTTTCACACGTAAGTACAGCCCTCTGTACAGAGCATGACTTATTTTGTAGTAATGTACAGCATGGTAAGGAAGAGCAAGACAACTCTCCCTTCTTACCTACTCATCTGCCTTTTGGTTGTATGTAAGTTCTCTAACTTTATGCTTCATTTCCAATAATAATAATAATAATAATAATGTGTTAATCTTTTGGTCCTGGGCGATCACATTATCAAAATGAGAAACGAGAATGTTTGGAGGAGGGACACCTGGTAAGGATTGAAGGATAATCCTACAAAAGGAAGGTATTTAATTACCTCCACTCTTAGGCATTGTGAAAAGGAGGCAGAAGTAAATGCAGTACTAACTGCCTGGCTGTGAACAGACCTCTAGGACCAGAGAGTATTAAACTGTATTTGATTTGACAAAGAACAGTGTGATAGCACACGTGTGGAAGAACCAAAATCTGAGATGAAAAATTAGTGGTTCTCTTGCTTTTGAGGTTATAGGGACAGTAAAAACTTGGGCTTACATTTCAAATATTCAGTAAGTCCATATTCTAGTTTATTGCCATATGGGCCTTTTCCTTGTTTAGCTTTTACTTTAATTAGAAAAAGAACCCTCTCAGTTTTTTAGGTGCTAGGGATTGGACCCAGGGCCTTATACCTGCTAAGTGTGCACTCCTACTGTACTATTGAGCTATATTACTAGTTTACTAAACACCCTTTCTTGAGTGGTTTTTCTTTTCTTTTTTTTTTCACTGGGGTTTGAACCCGGGGCCTTACACTTGCTGGGCAGGCACTCTTACTGCTTGAGCCACTCCGCCAGTCCTCTTGATTACTTTTTATTTTAATTACAGGAAGAGAATCAAGATCTAAACCAGCTACCACTTCCTATCATTCTGGTCCATGGGCCTCTTGTGTAGTTATTTGGAGTGCCTGCTAAAGGACAGATTATTGGGGTGCCAACCCTAGATTTAGTGAATTAGAATCTGGAGGGGGGGCATGGAAGAGGCTCAGGAATGTCTTTTAAACATCTCGAGTGATACAATCAAAGTTTTAAAGACTTAGAAAAGTAGCATTTCTGGAGCAAGAATTAACCAATTATTTTTGCTTAATTTTGTATCCTATGTCTAGCAAAATGAACTGTAGTTCATAGTTCAATATTAATAATGAAGAACTCCAGTCATGAAAAAGGTATTACCACTTATAAAACAACTTTACTATTATAAGGCACTTTAGCTAGAGCCTTCACATAACTGTGCCCATTAGAGAGTATCTTAGGTTCTAGGTCAGGTAAAAAGCTCTCCCACGATTCTGTATCCTTGAGAATTTAAAAATCTGTGTTCTGTAAACTGTCAGTTCTTTTTACAATGCCTTCTTGGGTTTTCTTTTGGTACTTTATTCAATCTTGTGTCTTTGATTCATCAGGCTCCTTAGGCAAGGAGATTGAAAACTAGGTATGTGGGACACATCTACAACAAATAAATATACAGTAATTTTGGTCTTATTTTTGTAAGATAATGTGTTCAAACTATGGGAATGGAGTTCCTTTTATAGATGTGGCAACTGAAATTTAAGTATGCTTATTCAGGTTTGCACAAATTTGTTGTTAAATTCAGGATGGCCCGTACCATGGAACCACTGGCAAAGAAGATCTTTAAAGGAGTTTTAGTAGCTGAACTCATGGGCATTTTTGGAGCATATTTTTTGTTTAATAAGATGAACACAAGCCAAGGTAATCATAATTCAGTAGTTAATACTTTCTAGAGAGTGATAGTTTGTTACTGTATTTTGGGTACTAAATGCTAGTGACATTTCTGGACAAGATGTTTCTTCAGATTCCATGTATTAGATGTTTTTATGGACAGAAGGGGAACATGGGTAGTCATTATTATAGGTGACTCACACTTCCCCTTAAAAATGTTGTTTACAGATTAGAGAAACTATTTCACACCTCCATGGAATTTATTAGTGGGGAAGAGTAGAGCCAGGGTCCTTGGTGAGGCTTAGTTTGGGAGCACAGATGGAAGAAACTTAGTCTACCTGCTACACTTCCTGTTGCCTAGACAGAAGAAAGAGGTACATAGAGGTAACTTCACTGCATTCTCAGAGTAAGTTTCCTCAGGCTGCAGTATTTTTCCACAGCTTCAACAGTGGGCACTAAAAACCTTTTCCAGGTATTACTGAAAGAGATTTAAATGTTCTATTAAGTTTTACATTAGAGCTCTCAACTTTTTAAGTTAGGAAATTAGTTTCTTTTCCTAACTAAAGCAGGAAACAGCCCTGAGATAGTGGTAACTATCTTTGAAGTTTGCACTTACCTTCCTCAAAGTACTTGCTATCTCAGGGTATAGTCTGTATTTTTAAACTGTAAAGGTATAAAGAAAACATCCCAACTTTTTTTTTTTGATGGGTCTGGGGTTTGAACTCAAGGCTTTGCACTTGCAAAGCAGGCATTCTACTTCTTGAGGCACACTTCCAGGCCATTTTGCTGTTATTTTGATGATGGAGTCTGGCAGAGTATTAGCCTGAGCTGGCCTCTAATTGTGATCCTCCTGATGTCAGCCTCCCAAGTAGATAGGATTATAGGTGTGAGCCACTGGTGCCCAGCTCCAACAGTTTTTAAGAGCAAACTGAAGTTTAGTGTCAATTTTAAAAACTAGGTGTGCTCTTATTTATACTTCCTGTCAAGGTAAATGACATCTATAAAAAACAATTTGTAAGATCACACTAAGGAATTTATGTATTAATACTGAAAATGTGCTTTAGGATCACATTTTTTAAATAAAATCACATCATTACATACATGTCACACTTTAAAACTTTAAAATAACTCTAAGAAGGCTGCATGTTAAGGCAAGTATAACTTAGATCCTATCCTAAAAGATTTAGTTCTTGGATTACCAGAAGGACTTCAAAACAAATGTTTAATGTATATATGTCTTCCATCATATAGACCTTAAAGCACAAAATTGTGGCTCTGTGTGTTAATATAATGAATTTCTGATCATGTTTAATCTGAAGACTTTTTTTTTTAACATCAGATTTCAGGCAAACAATGAGCAAGAAATTTCCCTTCATCTTGGAAGGTATGGTTTTCCTTAAGTAATAAAGTATAAATTTTTCAGATAACTTACAAATTCTGAAATAATTTTTGATTGGGGACTAGGTAAGTATTTTGGGGTATGTCAATTCCCAACAATACTGTTCACCCTATCTTAGTTTTCTGATTGCAGTGTGGAAGATTCTTACTTGGAGTTATCTAGATGAGAGCAGATGATGGTAATGGTCTGGATTCTTATTTTTTGGTGGTGACTGAACCTAAGGTCTCAAACACACTAGGCAAGCGCTCCACACTGAGATACACCCCTGCCCCAAGAGGCTGGATGACGGGACTTCAGACTGAGACCTCTAGACTGTTTCTTGGCAATGGAACAAGCCATAGCTTAAATTTTCATTTTGAAAAGATTGTTTTTATTTTTTCCCTCAGGTTTGCTAGCTTCTCAGACCTATTTCTTTCTCTTGTCAAGTAGAGTTTTAATGCCTACCTCATGGGATCATTAAAAAATGAACAAGATGCCATTATTTACTTAAGGATATAGCTGGTATAATGTAATAAGCAGTGTGTATAACAATAATTGGTAGAATGGCTAGGGCTTACATGTGAATTACGAAATCCTGTTGTCTTTTTCCTTTTATGATGTAGCAAAATGAAAAAAGATTTTTTTAATGTAAGCTTAATCTTCACATTTTACATGACATTATAAATGACAGCTATTTTTATTTATAGTTTATTACAAATCTATTGAACAGTCTGGAATGTATGGGACCAGAGAGCAAGACCAAGAAAAATGGCTGGGTAGCAAAAATTAAGAGTAAGTAGAATCTCAGTTTATATTTTTACTTTGAAGTTCTCATTTTCTTTGCCTTTTGATGTTTTTGAGTGGTTTTCAGTCTCTTCTTTTTGAAATTTTTCTTTTTCTGTATGATACTTTTCACGTCTCTGTTGTGTAGCCAGTCATCGCGTTCAGCCTCCCATTTAAGCTGTTTGAGACCTTTGAAAGGAGAAGGATGAGGCTATTGTAATGTAGACACGAGATTCCCACAGAATGTCCAAATCCAGGTCTGCCATTGCCTCCAGTTTCCCACCTACTACGCAAACCCTGTTGTTTGTTTGCTGCTCTTCTAATTTTATTGTCAAAGACTAATGCTTTATAAAGTGAAAGAATAGGGGAGGGAACAAATGCTACAAAGATTTCCTTTCCCCTCAACACTTTTACTTGAGAAAGAATAGAAACCAGTAACTATTAATATCAGAAAAAATTAAAATGTCTTTAAACATGTTACTTTTAGCAAACCCATACTATATAAAAACAGCCCACCTCCCTAAAAAAACTTAATTTTTGTAGTCTGTAGCCTTTTTTGATGTGGTCTAAATACTTTTAATCCTTCCTCCAGAAGGGGGAGATGAAATGCCAGTCACCCCCCAGACCAAGACTATTTTGACAACTTCAATTAATAATTCAAGTTACTTACTTGCATTATCTTTGTTAGCCATGGCATTCATGCCAATGTTATCAAACTTGGACCCCACATTTTCATCCAATAGGTGGCCAAACTTAAAGGGGGGAGGGGAGGTAAATGGATTAGAAATCTTAAAATAATAATGTAGAATATCTAACTTCTTAAATCAGTAAATTAGCCATACCTCTTCAGCAGATACAAATAGGCTAGAGTCATTGAGGTTTCTTTTCTTTTTTTTTCTTGGTCCTAAAAAAAAATGTGACTATATTTTTCAGTTCTAAATTCAATCATTTTGGAAAAAAAAGTACATCTTTCAACATGATATTATCTTAAAAATTACATTTTGGCAAAAACACAATGACACTTATCTTCTAATAGTGTAGGTAGTAGGCATTTAAAGAAATACAGTTTAATGAGTTGGTATACAGGATTTTAAAAAAAAGCTGACATTTTAATAGAACTATCCAGATGACAGTAGTATATTCTTGTTTTTCAGAATTGGCCACTGACCAGATTAGAAGAAATACCATAGTATCGTTTCCAGATTAAAATTCCAAAGCTGACACGGATGGGGTTTGGAATATTTAAGACAAAATGTCAGTTTTAATTCAGAGGCCTTATTCTTTGGACTATGAAGAAGTTGACTGAAGATATGATTACTGTTTTTTCAATGAACTTTTGTTGGTGGGTGTTATGAAAATAAAGATGTGCTTGTTAGTTCACCTATAGTTTTGAATCTTAAAAATAGACATAGTAGTAAAATGTTTATATTTAATATTTATTAGCTTAAATTCGCTTAATAGTATCCTAAAAATATAGTAACTAGAAATACTGCCTTTATTCATTCTCACCCTTCTTGAAGTAATTCACACTGCGTCTTTGACGACAATGTCTCTAGCACTACTAGAGGCTACTTTTAAAAACTGGCTCAACTAAGAAATAATTATGCTGTAATATTCAGCTGTAATAATTCAGTGTTGTTTTAATAAAATTTACACCGTGCTTCATCATGACAATTTAGTTTTAGAACATTTCTACCAATTCCGAAAGATCACAGTGCTTACATGCAGTCATAACACCCTATTCCTGATTTGCCCTTCCTGGCTATTTCATATAAATGGAATCATATGGTATGTGACTTCCTGTTATCTGGATTTTTTCATTTAACCTAACATTTTGAAGCTTAGCCATGTTGTATCTTGTATTAGTATTACACTCCACTGGCTGAATAGTGTCCCATTGTAGGGATATACTATACATTTTGTTTATTTATTCAACAGTGGACATTTGGGTTGTGTCCATTTTTTGGCATTAATGAATAATGCTGTTATGAACAATTATGATCACAAGCAAGTCTTTTGTGTACACACATAAGAAGCCACTTTTGATAAGATAGTAAATAGCCGTTGGCATAGCACTGGGAGATGATTTGATTATTATTCATACTGTAGGTTTACATCTGTGATCTCAATCAATAAGCATTTTATACCATTTTTTCAAAGTTTATTGCTAATGACACACAATACCTCTAGACAGACGGCACTATCCTTAGCATCAATCACTAAATAAAAAGTTCACTGACATTAAAAAAAAAATCTGAGGGATGATCTACAGAAAAACTTTCCCTTGATTTTAAGCGTATCTTCTTAATAAGATGTGATCTTATAGAATTCAAAGGGAAGACAAAATTTGGATATAACAATATAAATATTTACCAGTTAAATAATGCTAGCAGTATTTGAAAGAACTGATAAAACTGTTGTAGGCATAAGTATTTTAGAAACTACTATAAACATGTAAAGAAAGCTTTTCTTTAAAGAAAAATTTTTGGATTATTTTTATTTAACTTTGCAAATTTATTTTTCTTCATCAGTATTTACCAGTAAGAGAAAGCTACATTATTAGAAACAAAATATGTAGTGCTTTTTACATTTTTATCAAAACTTAAGCTACCTCCTGGTAAGGCACTGTTTTCTTTTATTAGCACTCTCGGGTTATACTGTAAAACATAATCTTACACACTAAAAAGAATGGCAGAACAGATTACCCCAAAGAATGAATATCTTTATGTTAGCTGTTTTGGAGATTAGAATTATATGATGGCAGCAAAGTGGCAGATATTTAAGAAAATGAAATTAACGAAGGAGCAAGGGTTTTTATAAGGGTCAAATGGCAAAGAGCAAGGTTTGAGTAAAGAAAAAGGCAACAGGTATTTGAAAATTCACTTTAATGACTGTACTAAACATGAATGCAAAGATTATCTAGAGATATTTAAATGCAAGAGGAAGGAACTTAGGAAGATAAATAATGCATGTACATGTGGGAAATAAAAATTTTCACATTGGAAAAGACCTATTACAACAACATCTTTAAAAAAAACAATCCTAATCATAATCAACCAATTTATAAAAGTTTACTTTGAAAAATGAAAGTAAGACTTTTTACAGAGAAACTGGTATTAAGTGCACTTCCTTACCTTGAAATGACCCAGCAAAGTCAAAATCATCTGTATTCGTTCTCTTGGTTCTTTTAGTATTGACTTGAGAGCTGTCTTGATCAAATTCTGTTATCCAGAAAAAAACAAAAAAACAACTTGCTTTTAAACAATTTAAAAATAACAGGGCTGGAAAATAGCTTCAAGGTATACAAAAATTTTTATTCTAGTGGCAAGGCACTACGCTACTCTTCCACGTGGGTTTTACAGCCGTCTAACTCCACTAGCACAGTTAGAAGACAGAGTGAGGTCAAGACTAACAGTAATTGGTATTATTGGTATAGTTCTGTATTTTGTGCGAGTACACTAAAACTTCTTAAAGCAAGGAACTTTTGCTGAGGTCCAGAATAAGTAGCAGGGATGCTAGGCAGGTGTGTATACATACAATTTTGGGAGCTCTCTGCTAATCTACAACAAAATAGTTATCTTCATCTATGCTCTAGGGGTATGATGAATACTGATTTTTAAAAAAAGTTTAGTTTCCTTCTTAAAAAAAATCTGCAACATTGGAGCTTGAACTTGGGGCCTACTACCACTTGAGCCATGATCCCAGTCCTTTTTTTTTTTTTCTTAAAAGTACTTTTCAGATATAATCTCAGTTTTTTTGCCCAGGCTAGCTAGCTTTTAACTGTGGTTCTCCTGTTGCCTCCCAAATTGCTGGGATTATATAAATGATCCACTGCACTCCTCTGCCCCCCAACTTGTTTTTGGTTATACTGGAAGTTAAACTCAGGGCCTTGAGCCAGCTGCTAGGCAGGCGCTCTACCACTTGAGCTACATTCCCTAGTCCTTTTTGCTTTGGTGATTTTTGAGATAGGGGCTTGCCTTAACGCCCTGTCCGCCTTAAACCATGATCCTCCTGATTTCCATTTCCTGAGTAGCTAGGATTATAGACATGAGCCACTGTGTCCAGTCTATGTGAGTGTAAGTTTGAATGTGGGGTTATATTAAAAATATTTATTAGAAAAACTAGCCTAAAACTGAGAACATACAGTTTGAGTATTGTTTTTTTAAATGCTTACCTGGATTGCCTTCACCTTCATCATCTAATATGTCCATGAATGTGCCTCCATCTTCATCAATTTCAGTGAAGTCTTCATCATTCATACTTCCTAAAGAAATTTCATCATCATCCAAGTTACCAAATTCCTCACCACTATCCTCTGAGTCTTCATCTTCCAAGTCATTCTTAGCCCTTTTTGTTCCTTTTTTCACATTGCTGGAAAAAATCAAAACTTGAAATGTAAAAGAGGGCAGTGGTTTCTAAAGTGCATTATGGTGATTAGCAGGGTGCAAGGCTGTTGACTTAAAAGGAAATTACAAACTGCTCATGGTGCACTAATGTGCAATGTAAAGGTCCAAAAATAAAAGTGCTTCCAAAACTCAGCTGAATAATTTCCCTCATACATCACAATGTAGTCCATGGTTCTGAGGGACAACAATTTGGAAAATGCTGGGAAGAGGGTAAACAGAAGAATGAAGAAAAATATTTTACCTGGCAAAGTCAAGATCATCCTTTCCAGAGGTGAAGCAATTATCATCTTCAAATGTATCTGTCAGAGAATGAAAGATTTTTGAGCGATAGCAAAGAATAACAAGGTTGACATGTTTTATCTAAATCAGAGTCATAGAGTCATGATTCTGTTTACAACAAGCACCAAAATGATATAAATGTGACTACTGCTGGTGTGTCTTATGTCTGAGCCTATGAAACACTGATTTTAATGAAATCTCCTAAACTAAAATGGGTTCCAGTTAATTTCCACTTCTTTCTACAGTTCTTTTATGGAAAAAAAATTAAATAAAATAACATTTGGTAATTGCAGTTCTTTTTAACTCTACAAGAACTACTTGTTTATTTTTAGTAGATATAATATGTAAAATACATATATATATGTGTGTAATATATGTATAAAAGTGATATCACTAAGCCTTTCCAATTTTCCATATATTTTGTTTGTTTTTTAAATTTCAATGAAAACTGCTTAAGCTCTGTGGATTATAAAAAAGATGCAGCAGCAGACTATAGCTATCGGTAGTCTAAGGAGATTATGAACAATAAAAATGGATTCTACTTTTATGAGAGTTTTAATAATGAAAACATTCATGTAAGTAAAAATTTTCTCACACAGTTCAAAGCAGTCATATATTTTTCTAGAGCAAATGTGGTGAGTTACCATATGCCACCACAACATTCTGTAATCCTTCACTGTGATTTACACGATGCCCTTAGCTAAATGAGTTCCAACAACTCAGCTCACTTCTGCCACTCACATCCATTAACATACAGTAATAGATTACCGACTCAAACACTTACCAATCATCTTCTCAAACTCCTCATCATCCACATCTTCTATATTTTCTTCATCTGCATTTCGTTTTTGTTTCTCTTTAACCACAGCAAATTTTTTATAATACCTAAAATAAAATGCATGTTATATATTGATTGTTATTAAGGGTATTATCTTATTATGTATACAATAATATTGGCTGCAAATGAGTGAAATTTGTATTTAATATATTAAGAGTAGTTTGAATTCAACAAAATAGCTATGAACTTCTCAAATGTGAAGGGTAATTAAGTCTGAGTTTAAAGGTGATAACAGCATCTGCCTAGCATGCACTGAGGACCTGAGTTTGATCCTCTACCACAAAAACAACAAAATAAAGACACAGTAACAGGAAGTTTCAGCTTCAACACTAATGGATCTGAGTTTATGAATAATGTGGTCCTAACTGCAAATCATTAACAATTCATGAGTTAATTCTATTATTACATTAGGATATAAAACAGCATTTTCAAAATGTCATCATACCTTCAAAATTATTCACACTAAATATTTTTAAAAAGTAAACCAAATTAAATCTAACCAACTAGATTAGTTAATTTTTACTATTATAAGGTACTAACAGTAATGCCAGTAGATTTAGAATTTGTTTCTGTTGTAGCAGAATGAATTTTGATTAATTCTACTCTAAAAATCCATGGTCTGGATAAATTACTCATGAGTTATCACGGAATTAAATTAAGAAGATTTAAGCCTATAAAAAGTTACTGTATTAAAAACAAAATGGGGCATTGTGCATGCCTGTAACTTCATCTCTCAGGAAGGGAGGTATAAGAATTGTGAGTTTCAGGTCAGCCTGCATTACCTAGCAAGAGCCTGTTTTTTTTTTCCTTTAAAAAACTAAAAGATGCTGGGTGCTGGTAGCTCATGCTTATAGCTCCTGGCTACTCAGGAGGCAGAGATCAGGAGGATCTTTGTTCAAAGGTAGCAGGGCAAACAGTTTGAGAGACCCTATCTTGAAAAAAACCCACCACAAAAAAGGGCTGGTGGAGTGGCTCAAGGTGTAGGCCCTAAATTCAAACACCAGTATGCAAAGAAAACAACAACAACAAAAAAACCTAAAAGAAATTAAGCCTAACTTCCACAAAGTCAGACTGATTAAACCAAAACTGACTTTAGGGTCACTAAGGTAGCAGAATGAGTAACTTAAACTTTTTTCACAAAACTGGACACACAGACATCCTCTGTACTTTACATAATATGCCAATGTTAACAAAGCTTTTTATAAATGGAGAAATTTAAAAAGTTCCCCAAGGAAAACTATATTGAGTATATTACCTGTAGAAAAACACTTCATCCACTGGTATTTGGCTTTCTTCTTTTGCAAGGAACTCCTTACTATTCACTATAAAAATATATCAAAGCATTTTATAGTCATTTCCTTTATGTTACTCAAGCTTGTAAGACTAGAATAGCATTATGAACAATTCTAAAATCATAAAATGTGAGAAAGGTGGACGAGGGATTCTGTGGTACAGAGGACAATCTTTGGAAAACTGTGGAAAAGACTCAACATTCAAAACTAATGACTGGTTACAGAGAAAGGCAGGATAGAACCCCATCATAGTGAAAGAACAGGTTTGTTCACTGTTCTCCAATTGTATTCATGATCCATATTTCAAGAGAAAATCGAAAGAGTTCTTTCAATGAATAATCACTTTAAACTTGCCATTTTTGTCTTAGAAGAAAATGACAGTAGTGCTTGCCATCCTAGATCAAGAAGTAAAGGTAAGAAGAATTTTCCATAATTGTACTTAATTTCAGAAACAAGAATAAGAAACTATAAGAATATTAAGTTTCCCTCTTCAGAATTAAGATTTCTGACTCATCTAGACTGAAAGATTTGATTTTAAATTCTAATTCTATTTACTTTGAGTGATAAGCCCTTTTTTATCTCTGGGTTTCTATGAAGTAAGTCTATCAGAAACAAATACATAAAATCTAACTTAATCCTAACCTCTGAACAAAAATGAGGTAAGATTTGGTATGGAAAGAAATGTCTGCTCTGAAGAGAAATGCAGAATAGGATTCAGAAGATAGGTACTAAATGTAGAAAAATATCAACTATGTTTAAGATGATACTGCTTGGGTCAGATATGGTGATATATGCTTGTAATTCCAGCAATTCAGGATATGAAGACAGGAGGACTAAAGTTCGAAGCCAGATTGGGCGAAAAGTGTAAGACACTATCTACAAAACAAACTAAAATAAAAGGATTTGGAGACATGACTCAAGTGGTCGGCAAGCTCAAGGCCCTGAGTTCAATCCCTAGTACTGCCAAAACCAAAACCAAAACACACACCATGACAAAGCCAGCTGTCATTTTTTGTTCTGCTAGGCCTATAATACAGAGTTTAAGATGGTCTAAACTATAAAAAATAATAATTACATATATGGGGTCATTGGTGGACCTATAGATGATACAAGAATGGCAAAAGGGGGATAAATGTTTAAGATGGATGATGGTTACGTTACAAAATGTCCATCATACTATCATTTCCTTTGGATATGTTTGCAATTTTTATGCTTACCAGCGAGACAACGAATATCCTTTATAAAATGTTTCCTCTTTGGCTGCATCACGACGCTATCAGTATTTTCTGAAATGTAAAATTATGACAGTCTAATTTAAGACTTAGTTATATACTCATATCATTTACTAAACATCAGCAGTGAAAACTAAACAGTTCAGTAAATGGAAGCGTACCTTTGCCTTTACGTGGCTTTGGATTTCGGTACACAAATCGATCTAAGAATCTCATTAGTGTGAAATCCTGCAGTGGGTCCCCTGAATACTGAATATAATTTCCCTGAAAAGTGGAAAGGGGGGTAGACTTAAGTACTGAATTAAAAAATTATATAAATTTAAAAGAAGAAAAACATAAGCTATTACATTGTATCAAAGACATAAATAAAATATAAATAAGCAATAAGTAAAATATCCCTCTCATGCATATTATACTAGAAAAAAATTAAACATATCAGTACATACATATTCTATGAGGCGCTACTTATTTTAAGAATAGATAAATACCATTAATAATGGAGGGCATCTAACCATCAGCCAGGAATCAAAACCTAAAGTGGCAAGCACAGGAAATGGGAAAGAGGAAAGCATTCTTTCTCCAGAAGAGCCAGAATATGATAGCTACTGTAGTTCTCCCATGTCCTACATTTCCACCCATCTTAGAGAATGGGAAGACCTATTTGCTGTTCTTTATTAAAAAAGTCACTGCTCCTTTACAAGGGCAATAAAGCATAAATGATCTGGTAAAGAAAACACTATATGACCAATTACTCATCACTAAAAAGTACGATACTTATTTTTTCTTACTTTTTTACACTCACCTCAAGGATAGTCTTTGCAAAAAGGGCCACAGAGGGATGAAAATGCTCAGATAACTAAAAAGAAAAATGTGAATGTTAATATTTCTAAGGTCAACTCTTCATGCAATTATAGTTTATTTGAGGACATTTAGAGTTGAAACTTAAGCTAACACATCAGAAAAGTGACCCACAAACAATCTGGTCTCTAGACCATTTTATACTTACAAATTAAGGATTCCAGAGTTGGCATGGCAACACATGCCTATAAAATCCCAGCATTTAGGAGACCAAAGCAGGAAGCTCCCAAGTTGGAGGCCAACCTGTTCTAGACCAGCCTGGGCTACAGTGAGACTATATCTCAAATGATTTTTTCAAAAAAGGCTGGAATGTGGCTCAAGTGGTAGGGTATCTAGCCAGTAAAGGCTATGAGTTCAAACCCCAGTACCAGGGAGGAGAGAGGAATCAAGGATCCCAAGAGCTTTTATTTAATTGGGCTGTGTCTATTTATATTTTCCTTTATTAGAAACTGCAATAGAAAAATTTAAACAGTTCATTTAAAATAAGTCCATTACACATTAATGTAAATAACATGCTTATGAAGAACAACTTTTAGAACCAGAACTATTAATGAGAATAGCAGTAGTATTTTATAGTTTTGTTTATCTCCTTAATGTCTGGTTTAACAGAGACTTCTCTGTACTCCATGGCATTGTAATGTCTATGAAGAAAATCTGGTCTCACATGGATGTTGTTTAAAAAGGATTTAATAAGTCTTTCATGTAAGTGTGGGTTTTCTTTCATGCTACACTGAAACTCAAGTTGAACGGTTAAGTGTAACCACTGATCTCATCAGTAGTTTTTACATATTGAGATACCGCCAACCTCAAGGTACTAGTTATTAGGTCTCTAAAATTTTAATCTTTGCTTGAGCACTCAAATTTTGTCACTGACAACAAATACGGTCAGTTGTTTGAAGTAACAGGATCGATTCATTCATTTTTAAGAAAATGTCTCCTAAAGACCCAATTCTAAGTGAGCAGTCTGTCAGTCTGGTTTCATGATGCAGTGGCAGACGGGTTTGGAACAGCTGCACAAGCAACTCTTCCTTGAAACGTGAGACAACCTTTCTACTTTGAGCCCAGCAAAAGTATGCATGCATATTTGTTATAGGAACACATGGAATGCTTGAAAGACATGTACTTGAAGGTCAAGAAAATAAAATCGGTAACTGCCTACTTCATTATTCTGAAGTGACAGACTTTTTTTTTTTTTTACTGCAAATACAGGCAGTGAATAATATAATGGTGAATATAATGGCTACCAGTGCAGTCTAGCACTACTAGTATCTTTTATTTGTGCCCTGGGATCAGCAATTTTACCCATCACTTCTTTCACACTGTCAGTGCCACTGTGAACACAGTGACAAAGACTAGTAACATCTTGCTATCACAATGAAAGTAGCCGTGACCTTGCAGCCTCACTGAAAATGGGTCAGAGATGGTAAGAGGCCTATGGCCACACTTTTGAGAATAACTGCATACTGGCTTTACAAAGGAAATCACAGAAAGAGTATTCTCCTCCTGTATTTAAAAAGTAACTTTATTTGCAAAAAAAATCTGTTATCATTAAACTGCAGATATCTAATGCATAAAAACAAAATATATCCATTTTACAGCAGCTAGCTGCAATCACCTACCTATAAAAAGTAATACTGTTATAAGTTAGGTACAACACGAATGCTATTTTTCATAATGAACACCTCACACTCTATCTTTCCCTAAATGTGGGAATTTCATGCATGCCAACTCCTGTATTTACTATTTGAAAAAAATTAAAATTTCAAGATGGTAAAGCCATGAAAGCAAGAATATATAGCACAAATGAATTAAAAAAAATTATTTTACCTTTTTGAGTTCCCAAAAACTTGTGTTTTCAGCTCCACAGAACAAAGGATTTCTATTGAATGGATCATATGTTTTTAACTGTTTGCCACCTAAGAACAACAAAATGAATTTTCAAATGCTGTATTCCTAACCCAAGAGGACACTAAAACTACCCACAACTAATGTTATCATAGAAAGGTATAATCTTCAACATTCATGGTTAGCCAGGCATGTTAGAGTAAAAACTCTAAGCCCTCTCAAGAATTTATCTTGATGTCTAAGCTAACATTTATTCCTGAATAAACCAGACAATGCATTTATCCCAAGTACTAAAAGATTTCTTCAATCCTTTAAATAGCAACTAAAAGTATAAAAAATAGGTCATAAATGAAAAGATGGACTATGTTAAAGATCTTTTGGAGGTGTACAGTGCTCCAAATATCTATCATCAAAAGTATGCCAGAAATAATTCTTACTTGGCATACATTTATGTTATTTTCATGTTTTCAGAACACATTATGAACTGTCTCTATCTCTTAACATATGCCTGTTATCCTTCTAAAAGATGACTCTTTGTCCTCAGGGTAACTGATAAATTCTTACGAAAACATTCTTGGCCATTACCAGACTTCTCTTTTATACTTTCCAAACTGAAATTTGGAAAATTAGTCTGACCATAAGTTCCACAACAAATCTGAAGAAATGGGTCAGGAACCACATTTCTCGGTCCTCAAAGGCTAGTATTCTTTGTAGCTACAAATAAAGAGGTTACATTGCTAAGATTTCTTTTGGCTCTAATATTCTATTAAGACTTAATTCAGTTTGTGTGTGTGTAAAACCACTCAAGGTTTCTATTTCACAGGTTTTCTAACCTGAAACGTTGCTTTAAGAATCTGTACAGGTTGAATATGATGGTCAAACAAAAGGTTCACATAATCCACAATATAACCAAATACTTCTGTTCAGAAATCAAACTTGTGCATATACCACCTCTGGATATCTTCACGTGTTCCGTGTTTGAGGTTTTTACATGTAGAAATACAAGCCAAGAAACTAAAATCGTTTCAAGGTATAAACTCATACTGCTGAAAGGAAATGAGATTTATGTGCAACTAACATTTCCATAGTTTCTTCATTCAATCTTCACAGGTCTAAATTGTATTGACTTTAATTTCTAAGATTTATTTTTAAAATATGTAGTTTGGTTTATAAAGATATAGGTCACTTGCACTATTAAAAATGTACTTCTATGGCTATGGTAGAGTACTTCCTTAGCATGCGTAAAGGCCAAAAAAGAATTTTATTTTTGAAGATCAAGAAGAAAACTAATTTTCTGGTTTAAAAGTTTAAGGGAATAGTTTAAAGATGAAAAGAAACTCACCTTTCAAATTATCAAAATGTACCCAGGAAGCAGTCTTTGGTTTTTTAATGTCTGTATCACTTTCAGACACAGTTTCCTCTGCCTCAATTTTTTTTATTGCATCTATTTCTACTTCTTTGTCTGCTTCATTGACTTTTTCTATGTCATCATCATCTCTGATGTCAACAAAATTTTCCTCATCATCAGATTCCTAACAAAAAAAATGGTTTAATGAATCTATGTTAATCAACGGCAAGTTGCAAATAAAGCCTGTATTCAATTTGCAATGCAGAGTTTTGAAGGCATTTGCTTACTGCAGTTCTGGTGAAACACGAAAATACTAATAAAGTAAAATGATGGCCATCAGTGCTATTTAGAATGAGAGGAGATTGCACTCTTATTTCTAAACATAACAAGTCTGAGTCAAAAGTTCTTAAGACTTTGAACTGTATTACTTGAAAGCACTTAGACTTCAAATGCATACCTGATGTGTTGTAAATAAACCTATGAGCCAGGTGCTATTATTATTAATTTTATTTCAAAATTCCAGAAATGAGCTTGAGAGATTGACTAACTCTATAGTCTCTCATAGCTATCTCATAATTGTAGTCTCTAGTGTAGTACAGTTTATTATAAAGAGAGGGGCCAAGCAACCTGCCCACCTAGTTAACTGTACACCTGGCACTAAAAACCAGGTTTGTCAAACTCTAGAACTCACAGTATAATATGTTCTAGAAAATTAAGTTACTGTCACTGAAGACAAAAATGGTAAAACAATACCAACCAATATATTTCAGAACCCAATGTATTTAAAAAGCAGTTGTAAAATATATACCGGGTGATCATCTAGTTGACTTCTTAAATCTGGTTTTGCCTTAAGGATCTCAGACACGAGGTACAAAGCTCCACATATGAAAGGTGGCATCTGTGCACAAGTGACTTGTAGCAACCTCTTCAAAAAAGCCTTCACCCGGCGCAACACAATATCAGCTTTCAGGGATTTGTAGACAAGGTTAAGAAACATAGCTTGTTTGGAACACAGCATCAGCCCTGGATCCAACATCTTTCTATAAAATAAAACCATGGTCAAGTATTTATTCATAAAATCATCCCACAGCCAAGAAGTCATATTTTAGAGACTCTACAACCTGTCACAACCTCACCTTAGTCAGGGCTAACTTTCCTGCTTATGTTAGAACGAGACCATTTCTGACCTATCAGGTAAAATGGGAATCAGTGATCTGTATATAAAGAATGATGATGGCAAAAAAGGAAAATAAGGTCATAGGAACAAGACACTTTTTTGTGAGTGATTTCTTTCTTTTTTCCAACTGTTTTATAAATCAGTAGGGTACAACCCTAGCACTGTAATTTTTATACAAATACTAAACCCCACTTGAAAGCTAACTGAAAACCAGATAATGAAAACTGACCTACAAAGCAGTGGACTGTAAGATGTGGATTTTTGTTCTTATATTGCTACATACTCACTGGGTGACCAGAGGCAGCCCTTGCGATAGTTCTAGTAAAGACCATCTATGAACAATAGAAAATTAAATCATGAGGACTTCAGAGAATCTCTGGTCCAATGTACCAACTGCATAGTACCCTTTCTACATACACCATTCTCCAACTCTCTGCACATCCACAGTACGTAAAACCGATTTATCTATAATTCTCAGTCCCACTTGTAAGTATTTCAGTTTCACAAACTATTTCCTTGGCTTTCCTGCCTTTTCTGCCATGGTCTAATGGAATAGGGATTTTGTCTATATTAGTCATTGCTGTTAATCCAGAATATGAATTTAATAAGTACTCAATGTTGTAAGTGATTGTGCATCACTCGGTCACTAGTTATCCACTGCTACAAATCCCTTCTCTCTTGGTGATAGGGATCGAGCCCAGGGCCTTCTGCATGCTAGATAAAGTGTTTTACCACTGAGGTATACTTCTAGCCTCTTGAAATCCCTTCTTTGTCCACAGTTGAATCAACTCCTGTGTTCTTTCCAACTATGAGGTCATTAGGTCATTGGGCCCCTACTGTCCCCTGAAGCAATACAACCTAATTAGACTTTTATATCACAGCTTTCAAACACTTGAGTCAGTATAGTTATTATGTGTCCTTCTCTCCCCAATGTCTCCTGCAGGCTGCTCAACTCTAATCTCATGTGTTACTTTTTATTTTGGGGCAGGGTGCCAGGTTGAATCCAGGTATGTGCTCTACCAGGTATGTGCTCTACCACTGGGCTGCACCTGCAGCCCTCTGACTGAATCCTAGAGATGCCTCAACTGGCCTGGACCTTCAGACACGAGGACAAATACAACCTACCACATTAGTTTTAATATGTGGAATCATTACCTCCTTTGTTCTAAGCACTTCCACTGGTTTTTCTCCATTACTACCAGAAATGAAAACACTTATGTTTTCATATTGTTCTACATACCCATTTTTCCCAATTGTCAATTCTGTAATTGTAAAGCCTCTTGGTGATACTTCCTTTTCAATACTTCTAGGCATTCAATTCAGTTTTTTTGTCACAAACTCCATCCTATGCCCACACAAACATGTTAGAAGAATTTAGATAGGACATATTGCTAAAATTTTTGATAAATCCTATTTTTGTAAGCCAAATCATGTCATTTCTATGATCCTTCATTTAATTAGGGATTTAAAAGAATTTAAAGGATCTTCAGTAAAACCAAGAGCAAGCAAATATTTCAAAAGAGTTTATAAGCCTTTTAACAAAATCCACCCATTGACTAGGTGCTGGTGGCTCAAGCCTGTAAGCACTTGGGAGTCTTGAGATTGGGAGGCTCAGTTTGATGCCACCCAAGGCAAACACTTGGCGAGACCCCATCTCCAAAATAACCAGAGCAAAATGGACCAGAGGTGTGGCTCAAGCAGTAGCGTGTTGGCTTTGCAAACTCAAAACCTTGAATTCAAACCCCAGTCCCCCAACCAACAAAAAAAACCCCCAAATCCATGTGTGAAGGTCAACTATGGTGGCTCATGTTTATACTCCCAGCTACTTAAGAGACAAGACATTGGAGGAAAAAGTGAGACTCCATCTCAATCAATAGGCTATTGTGGTGGTGTGTACCTGTCACCTCAGCTATCTGGGAGACTATAGGTCTGATGCCCACAGGGCAAAAAACTTGACAGTCTATCTGAAAAATAACTAAAGCAAAAAAGGCCTGGGGGCATGGCTAAAGTGGCAGAGTGTCTGCCTACCAAGTATGAGGCCTTGAGTTCAAACCTCAGTACTGTCAAAGAACAAACAAACCAAAAAAATCTCTCTCTGAGAGCTGCTGGCAAACAGAAATCAAATGAACTGGTGAATGAACACATTCTCTCTCTGAGATGTTAAGACTGCTGTGTTAAGTAGATTGTGATGTTAAATGGACATAGAAAAATGTTTTCTAATAGATTCCAAATGTTTTCTAAAAATCAGAAATTCTTGTGACACTCAAGAATTAAAATAAAAACCCCTCAGGACCCCAAAGATTGTACATTTTTATCTTTGTAACGCTTCCCAAACTAAAAACATTATTACTTTAAAAACTGTAGATTGGTAAGAGCTGCGGGAAGGCCTTTGATATTCTTTTTGTGTACCAGAGCAAGAGTGCCAGGACACACCGTGAGCTCTAAAACCAAGAGATGTGGACTTGCCACAAATTACTGTACCTCAGACTGGAGAGGATTAAACTGCAGAAACGAGTAGCACTAATAATTAGGGTAGAAGCCAGCACTTACAATGTGTCAGACGCTGTTAAGCATGTAACATACACAGACTACATGGGCTAATACACATATTGCTACAGATTGGATGTTAAATGTCCCTCAAAGGTCCATGTGATTTAGGCCCCAGTGTGGCACTATTGTGAGATGGTGGAAACTTCTGGAGGTGGGGGCTAAGTGGGAGGTCTTTAGGTCACTGGGTGCATGTCCTCAAAAGGGGACTGTGAGACCTGGTCCCTTCCTCTTCTTTCATTCCTGGGCATGAGGTGAATGATTTTGCTGCCACCATGATGTGCTACCTCCTTAAACAATGAGGCCAGTCTATTATGGATTGAAACCACTATAACTATAAGCCAAAATACAACTTTTCTCTAAGTTGAATATCTCCAGTATTTGTTATAGTAATGGAAAGCTAACATATATATTAATCATCTATTTCATTAAAGTTTACTGGCTGTGTAACTTTGGGTCATAATCTTTATCATAACTGCACAGCACAAGACAGGTGCTTTTTGTCTGTATTTTACTACTAAACTGAGGTAAGATACAATGAGATCATTTCTACTGATAGGGTTTTAATGAGAATTAAGTAATTTGCCCTAAGTTACATAGCAAACTAGCAGCTGGGATTCAAACCCAGTGTGGCTTAAGTCTAAGCTATTAACCACTGTTTTACATTTTTTTACTCACAAGATATATGTACATACAATTACAAAAACAAATTAGAAGAATAATTCTTAATGTTACTTGTTGGCCTACTTAAACAGTTCCAAAGTGTTTATAAATTGTTCAAAATATCATACTTCAATGGCTGAAGTGCAAGACAGATGTAAAGCTCAGTAAACAAAATCTTAAATGTTAAATAAGAACTCTGAAATTGCAACCCCTCAACACTCCCTATTTAAAATACTTTCTGGAAAGGCCACTAAGTGTGAGGTTTCTGTTTACTGTGCTGTATTCTGAGCACCTGGAACATGGGCAGCATATATAAGAACTCAAAAGACTTGCTTTTTTTTTTTTTTTTTTTTGAGATAGGGTCTTGTTATATAGCCCAGGATGGTCTTGAACTCAATTCTTTTACCTCAGTCTCCCAAGTGCTGAGATTATAGGTACACATTACCATGCCCAGTTTAAAAAAATACTGGTTGAATAAATAGCTAGATGACTATATGAAAGATAGGAGGGCGGGCAAATAAAACTAAGGTTGAGGATGAAGCTTCATTTATACCTACAATTTTATTTCCTTAGTATTCCAAATTATTTAAAAGGCTGATTTTGAAATATTAGATGAAATGATGTGATTAACTCAAAATTGAATACCAAGTTGCTGAGGGAGAACTAAATTCCGGCCTCTAATTCCTCCTCTTGGCCAACAGAGGGGCACCACATTACATGTGCTATACTAGACCCACTTATTCCTCACATTTATACATTGAAAAGCTATGTACTTACTTGTACAATGCTGAATAATATCGATCCGATATTGTCTGCTGAGAATTCATTACTTGGAAAAGTAACATTAAAGCTTGCACACTGGTATTAAAGTTTACAATATGCAGCACTTTGAACAATGTATCTACCTGCTCCCTCACTTTGTCATCACCAGTCTGGGAGTACGGATATGCCCTATTCACACCTGTTAAAAGAGCACTAAGCATTTTGGACTCAATATCTTTTTTCTTGATACAAGTCCGAAAAAAACAAAAGTAAAGTGTTATTAATTTGTTAGCCAATTCACTTTCTTCATGGGAGAGGACCATTTGATTCAAAAAGCAAATTGCGTAATATTGAGCTTTGGAGCTGATATTTGAGCGGAAGAGTAGCCTTTCTACTTCACCACACACAACTCCTTTCATATTGGGATGCTTACAAAGCAATGTCTCTAATAGATGAGAGGCCTTTGTGGCTATTCTGTTCTGAGGATCTCCCAGTTTATTCACCACCTGCACAAGAAGAGCCTTTTCTTCCTCAGGCTTGTTGCAAAGAAGCTCATGAGCAGCCAGCAGGGCTCGGATTTTAGTGGCCACTAAGGAATCATGGCTTAATGAGTCTAAGACCTGCACAAACTCAGCTACTAAGTGTTTCAGCTGGTGTTCAAAATACCACAATATCAGTCTTCTATCTCTTGAGTCTTTGTTGCCACTGCACAACTGTTCCAGTTTATTGAAAGGACGTTGGCTGAAAATGCGCAATTTCCGACTATCTGGCAAAAGGTCTGTAATGAGCAACTCTTTGAAAGTATCCAAAGCCATAAGACACTGCTGTTTGCTGCCCTTCTTTTTAACAAGGTTCAGGAGCGTTTCTACAAACTGGAGTGTGTGAACAGCATCATCCTGGATGAGAAGAATCATGGCTGCCATCCTGTCACCTAGTGTTCCTGATGATACAATTGCCTTCATCCAGGTAGAAGAGCCTCCCTTTTGATTATTTGTCTTACTTCTGAATAAGTTGACTTCATGTTCATACAGCTTCTGAGCCAGGATTTTGTACTTAGACACAGCATCCCGAGACTGGGTTTCCAAGGAGTATTCACTGCTATACTCCAGATCATACCATTTGCCTCCAGCCTTGAGTAGCAATGTCTGTCTCTCAAAAAATTCAAAGATGTCCTGTTGTTTACCTTTGCTCTCTTTCACTATGGGACTGCTGTTCTTATCAGAACGCTGTTCCGGCTTATTCTTATTTTTTACCTTGCTGACCAATGTTCTTTCATTCTTTTCTGCATTTTGCTTTTTATTATCTACTTTAGATACTTTTGCTTCTTTTTTGCCAGCATTTTCTTTTTTAGCAAGCTCATCTTCTTCAATTAAAGACTTCGCATATTTGGCCAAATTAAGATTTTGGATAAATGCTTCTAATTCACCTTGTTGAAGATCATCAACTATTCCTTTTTTGCCTCCATCCACCACTTCCTCATTCTCATCCAAAGTAGCCAGCATAAGGTAATCTTGCTGTGTAAAAAAACATAAGAAAGTTAAAAATATATTACAAATCCAGTACTTCAGGTAAAACTTATCTTTGAAATCAATGGAATAGAATTATTACAGTTTTACCTGGGTTTCCCTCCTACTAAAAAATACTTGATGGATCGAACACTTGAATGTGAAAAATAAAACCATAAAATAACAATAGAAAATATACCACAACCAAAAAGGTAGTTTCAGAACAGGGAACTTTTTCAAATTTAACATAAACTCAGGGTTCACAAAGGACAGGATCAGTACATTTATCCGTATATTTGTCTCTTTCATAAAACACAGCCAAATCAAAAGACAATAAACTGGAAAAAAAAAGTACCAACTCATATCAAAATAATTGGTTTTAAAAGCTCAATATGAAAGTTCCTGCACATTGGTAAGATGTGCACAAGAGAAAAATGTGCAAAGGTCATGGACAGTACAGAGAAAATAAGCTCTTCAACCTCACTGGCATTTATAGAAATCCCAATTAAAACCAAAATGATACACCCATTTTTTAATGTCAGATAAGCAAAGATAAAAGTAGTATTTCGGAGAGGGTAGGGTAAGAGGTACTTTCATATCTGGTTAAATGTGAATGCAAACTGGCCCAACTCTATGGAGGGCAATTTGTGAACTTCTATCAAAACTATGGGCTAGCATGCATGGTTCAAATTCACTGAGGCACTGAGTTTAATCCTGCTACTAAGACAACAATAAAGTCCCAAAACATTAATAAAAGGCTTATATCCTTTAAAAATGTCAACAGTGACATTTTTACAAATTTTGACTACACATACACTTAAAAACGTGAGGAAAAATATTTGTTTAGGGTTATTTACTATATGACTTAAAATACCAAAATAATGTAAACCGAAGTATCCTCAATAAAAGACTCATTAGTTAAAATTAAGACAGACATATTGATTTATGCAATTATTAAACCAGTGACACAAAATTTTATACACTGATACAGAATGATCTCTAAGGGGGGGAAGATGCAAAATATATGGTAGTATCTGCTTAAAAAATAACACACATTCATACCCGTAAGTGGATGCATTTGCAGACTATCCCTGGAAGATATAAAATATACTTGTTAAAACTGCTTACTAGAAAGGAAAGTGGATGGCAGGCGATAAAAGTGGGAAGGAAGAGAGCAAACTGCCCCTACGGCTAATATTTCTCTTGTTTCTGATCTTCACAAAGTCTGGACTCAAAGAAATGAGTATTTCTAAAAATCTGGAAATTAATGTGGCATAGTTGCTTACAATCTTCCAACAGTGCAGCAAAAGCCTGTTCTCTGACCTCCTATGTCCCTATTCTCTCCTTCAATCTGCTTCAGCTGCAATGTCATTTTTGCGGTTCGTGGGACAGGTGAGGCACAGTCGTGCTCAGCATTTGCTGTTCCCTCTGACTGGCACTAAGCTCATTCTTTACTGTCCTTCAGGCTTTTGCTCGAAAATCTTCTCTGTGATGCATTCTCCGATGATCTCACTGAAAACCGTAATGTCCTCTCCGTCTCCCCCTTTGTCCCCCTTTTCTCCATAGCACCACCAGTTAGCGTTGGTCGTACCACGTACTTAAGGCTTATGAAAGGATTCCAGAGCGAACAGTGAGCATGCGGAAGGCCGCAGTGAGAGCAGAAATTCAAGTTCCAATAACACTGAGCTTAGGACCACACCGCGTCAATAAGAGGAAAGGATCACCTACATTTAGGGAAGGCCACAATATAAAACGCTCAATCCCTTTTTTTCCCCCTCCCCCAAAGAATAGTGGAAAGTAGTGCGGGAAGTGCACCGAACGCAACTCGAGGGTGGGATCTAGGTCCGTGACGCCCTCTCTCTCCGCAGCGTGGGTGCCGCGAGCCATTTGCCCCAACACCCAAGGAACCACTTTGGCACCCGCACCTATCTCCCTTCCCCGGGATTCTACAGCCGTTACCTTGGTGCCTCCGAGGCGTAACACTTCCTCCAGGGAGAAGCCATTCTCGGCTTTACCGCTATCATTCTCATCTTCCTCGTCCGGATCTTTTATCGCTTCCTCCCGGCGCCAGGGTCGCTTGGCATGGAACTCCAGAGGTTCCTTGGCCGCCGACATGGCTAGCAGAGCACGCACGCAACAGCCCGCAGCCCACTTCCGCTTGAGCAGTGTCGTACTTCCTTCAAGGGCGGGACATTACCAGGAAATGCTTGTGATTCCCGCCCTTAGGGGGCGGAGCCTGGCCGCTTGGAAGTTCGGCATGATGGCCCTGGTGAGGTCGGCTCACCGGCCACTGTGCGGAGTGGCACGCGTGGGTAAACACCGGCCCGGCCGAATGCCGGTTTCCATGGGAGCCGCCTGGAGCGCTTTCTCAGTTCCTCAGTTGGGAGATTCAGGGATTTAGGAGCTCGCTTCCAGCCTGAGGGCGCTCGGGGATGGCGACAAGAAAGGGCTGTGTGGTGTAGGACGCCGCGCGCGCCTTCCTTGCGCCTTGTGGGTGTGCTGTGCACTTTAGTCCGCGTTCTGGCCTTGGGGCAAAGTTAAGCTGCCCTGAAAGCGATCAGGCCGCTTGCACGCGTAAATACTGAGATTTATAACGAGAGTTGGTTAATCTGTGTTTTTCAGTCTTTCCTTGTATTTGGAGAGGGAGATACTTCAGCTCCGGGAATGAGTCGACAGAAAACAACCGAGTGACGCCGATGCTGCGGCATCTTATGTACAAAATAAAGTCTACTGGCCCCATCACTGTAGCCGAGTACATGAAGGAGGTGTTGACCAACCCAGTCAAGGTATGGGGGCGGGGGAGCTCGAGGATCGGACCCACTCTGGCAGATTGACAGGAGCGAGCCACTAGGGGTGTTTGCGGAGAAAAGAGCCATAGCCATCCCGAAGGCATGAGGCAGCTTCACCCGTAAATTGGTCAGGGCTGGATCAAATCAGAAGCAGTGCCAATAAAGAGAGGACAAATTCCTGTGTTGTTTACCTGGGTTTATTTATTTATTTTTTGCGGTACTGGGTTTTGAATTTAGGGCCTACACCTTAAGCCACTCCACCAGCCCTTTGTGATTCCCCCTTCTCCCCACAAGATAGTGTCTCGCGAGCTATTTCCCCGGGTTGGGTTTGAACCGGTATCTTCCCGATCTTGCCTCTTGAGTAGCTAGGATTACAGGTGTGAGCCTCAGTCCCCGCTTTAGCTGGATTTAGGAGCTGAGGGAAGGATGACTTTCTATCTCCGTTTATCATTGCTCAGCCAGAACGGAATGTAGGAAGAAGAAAAGCAGCAGCTGTTTTAGGAGTCAGGAGAAAGATGAAGAGTGTAGTCTGGCCTAGCCTTTCTGAGACCCCTCCCCTATGGGGCTTTTCTTCTCTCTTCCTCTTAGCTTAATAAACCTTTGCTCTTTCGCTTAAAAAAAAATTCATCATCTGCCATGGTATATGAATTCAAAGTGTGTATGGAACCTTTACATGGAACTCTGCAGTAAGCACCTGGAAATAAAAATGTATTGCCTGGAAGTTAATTGTGTTGTGATTACTTCAGTAGGCATTGGAAGCATGTGCTGGGTTTTATTCTTCACAATGAAGAGTCAAGTCTTCAGTGTTCTAGGATTAAGAACTGTCAGTTTCTGACCTGCATCTCTTTGTAGTGCTGTATTTTACAATATTTTACCTTTTGTGGGGTTAAATATGACATTTGTGGAATTCTGGGATACGTTTTGCCTATTGTTATTGAATGTTGTGGAATGACTCAAGTGTCCAGAGCTTTACTGAAGGCAGTTTTTGAATACTTGTGAGCAGTGCTTCAAGATAAGTAGATTAGACTAGTGGTGTTAGAAATGGGATAAGAAATGGGTGGTTGAGAAACAGGTTTTGGACTCACAGAATTTGCTGATGGATTAGGTGTGGAAGGGTTAAGGAAAGAAAAAGGAATTGAGATTGATTACTAGGTTTTTAGCTTGACATTTGGGTGATGGTAGTGTCTCCTGTTGAGATAGGATGGAGAGAACCACGTTTGGAGGAGTAAAGGGGAAGAGGTTCTACATCAGGGCCTTGTATGTATTTTGTCAGTCATGACATCCAGGTAGAGATAGTAAGTAGGCAATTGGGTATAGAAGTCTGGAGTTCAGGAGAAAGATTGAGTATGTATATATAAATGTGCTTGTCATCAGTGTATAGATAGTATTTAAAGCCAAGGAATCAGGGACAATATACTTAGAGAAGGGAAGGTTTCCCAGCCTTAAGAGTTGAGGATGAGCTGGGTACTGATGGCTTACAACTGTAATCCTAGCTACTTGGGAGACTGAAATCTGGAGGATCATGGGTCTAGGACAGCACAGTCAAAAAAAAAAAGAAAAGTGTAAGAGACCTCCATCTCAACAGAAAAAAAAAAGCTAGGCATGGTGGTATATGCCTTTTATCCCATCTTTGTGGGAAGCATAAAATAGGATTGTGATCTAGGCCTGTCTGGGCAAAAGTGAGACCCTATCTTCAAAATAACCAGAGGACTGGAGGTGTGGCTCAAGCAGTAGAGCACCTATGTAGTAAAAGGGAAGCCCTGAGTAAAAACCACAGAACTACAAAAAAAAGGAATGTAATTCTAAAAAAATGTTGAGATTTTTAACCTAAAGACCCTTGAATAAAAATCTAGGGGTTTGTAAACTTGAATCGCACAAAAAATTACTCCTTAATCTTCATTAATTTCTCACTGAAATTTACATTTCTTCAGTTATGAAATAGGCATCAGCCAGTAACTGTGACTTTGTCACCAGTGGAAATCACTGATATTATCATGTCATAGTATAGTGATCACAGGTATCTCAAAACACTGCTGTGCCCTACTTTCTGAAGTAGGATCTTTGGCTTGAGTTTTCTTTTAATACATTACAAAGAAGTATATATGTCATCATATTTTTTAAACACTTGATAAATATTTTTCAGTTTATTTTTTAATTCTGTGTGTTTTACGTTTTTTTTTTTTTCTTTATTGTGCTAGATGGGGGTACATTGTGGCATTTACAAACGTTTTTACAATGTATCAGCTATATCAAACTTGCATCTCCTCCAGCACTCCCCTTTAATCCCCCCTCCCTCATTCATGGAATTGTTACAACAGGTATCATTATTGCATTTACATGTATACGTACATATAAATGTACGTATACATGTAAATACAATATTTATCCTTCTATCCCCTTTTCCCTGACACATCCCCCTCCCACTGGTGCCAACCCTCCCTCCTGGGCAAGACCTGTTCCGTCCTCCTGTTAATTGATTTTGTAGAAGAGAAAAGATAAAAAGAAAAACATGACATTTTTGTTTCTTTGAGGTAAAGGTAGCTATACAGGGAGTTTACTTGTGGTATTTCCATGTTATACCTCCAATTAGTTTATCTCCTCTAATTATCTACATTCTACCTTCATCCCTTTTTATGCTGTTTTCAGCCAGTTTGAGATTTCTACATTCATTCCTGTATAGAGAGTATATTACCCATATTCAAGTTCTTAGTTTTTCTTGTACCCTATCCCTTGCATGTGTGACCAGTGTTTCATAACATTGCTCTATTTGTACTAGGTGTGTAGTCCACATATGAGAGAGGACACGCAGCTTTTGGCCTTCTGGGTCTGGCTAACTTCACTTAAGATGATGTTCTCCAGTTCCATCTATTTACCTGCAAATGATGAAATTTCATGCTTTGTGGCTGAGTAAAATTCCATTGTGTATAAATACCACATTTTCTTAATCCATTATCAGTAGTGGGATATCTTGGTTGTTTCCAAAGCTTAGCTCTTGTGAGTAGTGCTGCAATAAACATGGATGTGCAGGTGCCTTTGTTGTAAGCTGAATCACATATCTTTGGGTGTATCCCTAGGAGTGTTATTGCTGGGTAATGGCAGATCTATTTTTAATTTTTTAAGGAGCCTCCATACTGTTTTCCATAGCTTACATTCCCACCAGCGGTGTATGAGGGTCCTTTTTCCCCTGCATCCTTGCCAAGGTTTGTTGTTTGTGTTTTTGATGGTAGCCTAACGGGTGAGGTGGAATCTTAATGTGGTTTTGATGTGCATTTTCTTTATGGTCAGGGATGATGACCATTTTTTTTAATTTATTTTTTCTTTTATTCATATTGGTGACCATTTTTTCATGTGTTTTTTAGTCATTTGAACTTCTTCCTTTGGAATGGTTCTGTTTGGTTCATTTGCCCATTTCTTCATTGGGTTGTTTTTTGGGAATTTAGTTTTTTGCGCTTCCTGTATATTCTGGTTATCAGTCCCTTGTCTGATGTATAGCAGGCAAAGATTTTCTCCCATTCTCTTCAATTTAGAAACCATGTCTTTTGTTGTGCAGAAGCTTTTTAATTTCATGTAGTCCCATTTGCCAATCCTTTTCCTTAGTTGCTGAGCCAGTTGAGTTCTGCTGAGGAAGTCATTTCCTATGCCTATTGTTTCCTGTATATTCCTTGCTCTTTCCTGCACTAGCTTCAAGGTTGTAGGTCTTATTAAGGTTCTTAATCCACTTTGAATTGATACTTGTACAGTATGACAAACATGGATCTAGTTTCAGTTTTCTGCAGGCAGATAACCACTTTTCTCAGCAACATTTGTTGAAGAGGCTATCTTTTCTCCATTGTATGTTTTTGGAGCCTTTGTCAAAAATTAGGTGAGTGTAGCTGTGTGGATTCATATCCAGGGCTTCTATTCTGTTCCACAGGTCTTCATGTCTGTTTTGTGCCAGTACCATGCTGTTTTTATTGCTATGGCTCTGTAGTATAGTTTGAAGTTGGGTATCGTGATACCGCCAGCATTGCTGTTTTTGCTCAGCATTGTCTTGGCTATTTGCAGTCTTTTGTGTTTCCCAGTCAACTTTAGGGTTGATTTTTCAATCACTTTGATGTATATCATTGGGCTTTTGATGGGAATTGCATTGAACATGTAGATTGCTTTTGGTAGTATAGCCATTTTTACTGTTAATTCTACCAATCCATGAGTATGGGAGATCTTTCCATCTTCTGTAGTCTTTGATTTCTTTCCTCAGTGGTTTGTAGTTTTCCTTGTAGAGATCATTCACATCTTTTATTTATTCCTAGGTATTTGATCTTTTTTTGGAGGCTATTATAAGTGGAATTGTTTTCATATATCCTTTCTCAGTCTGTTCATTGTGGGTGTATAGAAAAGCCACTGATTTTTGTGGATTGATTTTGTGTCCTGCTACTTTGCTGAAGCTGTTTATAATGTCTAGGAGTTTTTTGGTGAAGTTTATTGGGTCTTTTAGGTATAAGATCATGTCATTTACGAAAAGGGATAGTTTGACTTTTTTCCTAACCCATTTGGTATTTTAAAGTTCTGTGCATTTAAAAACATTCTATGAAGTCATCTCCTGTAGGCTTCACTATTACTACTAGAGTGGCTCATAAAAAAAAGGTTAACTACCTCTGAAATGCCTACTTATGAAGTAAAAGAGAAAAATCTAGAAGGGGGATATTATATGGAGTGAAAAAAAATTCTTTTTAAAGATGAGAGTGACTTGATTTATTTCTAATGCCTAAAGGGAAAAGTTGAAGCTGTAAGAGGAAGGGGATGAAAAAAGAGCCCACGGAAGTTGTGTAAGGAATGGCAGTCCACAGCACAGGTAAAGGGATTAGGATTGGCTGAAGAGAAGGGAAAGGCATTTCATCCTTTGAATTCCAAGGAAAGAATGGGAATAAGTGGAGGATAGGTGGAGTCAGGGAGCTGAGAAAGTGTATTTTATAAAATGCTTTAACTTGGACAGGTGACCAGGTTTACCTGCTTAGTGTGAGGTGGCTGAGTGAAGGACTGGAGGAGCAAAGGGGAGATTCTAACAGAAAATTCTTGCATCTTTCTTGAAAGTCAGGCATTATACTAAAACTTGGGATAAATAAGACATAGTCTCCCCACCCCCCCTCAAATAAGTACACCTTGTGGCAAAGAACACAGGAAAATCAATAAACTCAGAAAAGGAAACAATGGATTGAGTTTCAGGTTGGAGGGCTGGAGGAAGAGGTCAGCAAAGGTGATATTTGAGCAGATGGGAAAGCTAGTTTTCAGGGAGAAATGAAAGGGGAGAAGCATGAGAATGTGTAATGGCATGGGACATGGACAAGCAGGATTAATTAAAAAAAAAAAAACAAACCTAAAACTCTACCTTTTTATTGAGATACAATATTCATACAGAAGAGTGCAGATGTCCCAAGCATATAGTCCTGATGAATTTTCACAAAGTGAAAACTCCCATGTAATGCACACCAAGGACAAGAAACAATATCACCAGCGGGCAGGGTTAGTCTGGACAGGAGGGTAGGCAGGGTAGTGTTGTGTTGGATTGTGGGAACAGGAAGAGGTGAGGGAGGACAGAGATGAATGGTGTATGGCTCCTGCCTTTACAGTTGAGGAATAATTGGTTTTCTCCCAGTTGTGCAAAATGATTACTACTTTGTAAAATTTAGGGAAAGATACTGTTTTTATCTTGCTTATTTAGAGGAGAGAATGTTCATACAAAATAATTATTCCAGTCTTTACATTATATAAGATTTTGGTGTATTTTAAAAGGTCTTATTTGAAAGTTAATTTTTTTCCATTTTCTCTTTTTACTCAGGGATATTATATGCACCATGACATGCTGGGAGAAAAAGGAGATTTCATTACTTCACCTGAAATAAGTCAGATTTTTGGGGAGGTAATATGCAATATACAAAAGAAAGTAATAACGTTTGGGAGCAGATCAAGCTGTATTAATCTATCTTTAATTTTGTTTCACTTCTTTTGGGGGCGGGGTTTGAACTCAGGGTCTTGAGCTTGCTAGGCAGACTCTCTATCATGATAGAGTCTACTATCCCCTCTCCCTCCCTCATCTTGATTTTTTAGAAGAATAGAAAAGCAATGGAGGAAAATGGTAGAGAGGACATTTAAAAGTTTATATTTCAGTGTAGAAAGGAAATGGAGAGATAAAAGGGACAAAGAAAGAGAAGGAACAGACAAGTAAAAAATTGGAAAAGAGAATCAGGTGAAATATGAGAATAGAAGAAGAGAGAAAAACTAAAAAAGAACATTGCAGAATTAGTGGAATCAAGATGATAGCTAAAACTCTGAACCATGATTTAACCAAGTTACAGAAGTCTCCCTTTAAGAAACAGAATTTTAGTTCATTTATTTCCATAAAAGTACCTTTGATGATTTAAAAATAGGAAATTGTATATAAGAGAAAGTAGAATCCAGGAACTGAGAAACTTTTAATTATATTTAAGGGTCAGGTAATTATTCCAGTCATAAGAATTAAAGAAATTGCATAATTACATTTAGTGTCTATTTCCTTTCAAATACTTATCCCTTTCTGTTAGTGATATCCTTATATCTGGGCCTTTTACAGAGGATATTGTCTTACAACTATTTTCTCCTGTTACTAAGCTTCCTACATGGTATGTGTTATGACACAATCCTAGTAAAGTTCCTGTATTAGTGTGATTTATGTGAATTTTATACTGTGCTATATTTGTACTTTAATATATGTTTTTCCTTGTCATAGCTAGTAGGGATATGGTTCATTAGTGAATGGATGGCCTCTGGAAAAAGTCCAGCTTTTCAGCTAGTGGAACTGGGCCCAGGTCGTGGTACCCTCATAGGAGACATTTTGAGGGTAGGTAATAAAAGAACACCTGTAAGTCTCATGTAGGTTAATCTTACTACTTCTGACTGAGTTTGGATATTTCATTGATCTCCTTGGCTTTCAGTCTTTCCTCCTTAATATTGTATTTCTCAGCTAAAATATAATGTCAGAATAATGTAATGGGTTATTACTTATTGTTTACAAACTTACAGAATAGGGAGAGAATGTAAAAGCTAAAACTATGAAATGTTTAGAAGACATTGTGGTAGAATACATTTGTCTTCTGAGTACATAAAGTTTTTGTTTCATTTTGTTTTTAAGACAAGGTCTCACTGGCCTTGAACTCTCCATCCTCTAGGCTTTGCCTCTCAAGTGCTGGGATTACAGGTATGAACCACCATGCCTGGCTAAAGTTATTTAACTATGTAAAAAAGCAGAAGACATAAAGGACAAGATTAATAGTTTAACTTCAACTAGATTAAAATTAAGGACATTTTGTTCTTTATGGAAATTAGGAGCAATTTTTTTTTGTTTTTCAAAGACACCATGGAGTGATAAGCCAGAGGGGCAAGTATTGCTTGTAACACATGTAACAAAGAAATAGTAGTTAGAACATATAAAAAAAAAATTCCTTTAAATCAATAAGATAACAGATAACTTAATAGAAAACTCAGGCCAAAATTATGAGTAAACCCAAATAACACATAAAAACAAAAAGTTCCTTAGTCTCTGATAGTCAAGTAAGTGGAAGCTGAAGTCATAGTGAGATAGCTCTGTAACCTTCACCAGATTGGAAAAAACCAGAAAATCTGACAATACCAAGTATTGGTGAGAATGGGAACTCTTGTGTACTGTTGAAAAAGTATAAGTTGGCTAAGAAGGAGGGCAGGGTAGGGTGGGGGGAATGAGGAAGAATGATGGAGGGGATCAATCTAATTAAGATACCTTGGAAGCACATATGTAAATGTCACAATGACACCCCCCTGTACAACTAATACATGGTAATAGAAATTAAAAAAAAAAAGAATGTAAGTTGGTACAGCCACTTTGAGAAGCTCTTGGGCATCATCATCTAACATCAAAGTTACTTACATTGTATAACTAGCAGTAAAACTGTAGAGAAACTAGTATGTCTGTGTACCAGAAGACATGTAGAAGAAGATAGCATTATTTATACTAGCAAAAACCTGGAAACAACCCACATGTCTATCAGGAAAAATGGATCGGTAAACTATGGTACAGTCACCCACTGGAACACCAAGTGTTATAATAATGTGTGAAATCAGAATGTAGTAATATTCAACATGAAATAAGATACTGAGTGAAAATACCAATTTGCAGAATTTATATCATATGATTAAATTTATGTAAAATCCCCAAATAGTAAACAATGTATTACTTAATGATTCATACATATCTCGTGACATAAAGAAAAGTTGCCAAGTCGTTAACTGGAGATTTTGAACAGCAGTGACTTCTGAGTGTAGAGAGAGAACATAGGGGCTTTAGAGGCAAGGTCATGACCCATCTTTTTAATCACATTAAAAAGGGCATTTTTACTATAATTCTCTTTCCATTATTCTACTTAGTACTTCATAAAAACATTTAAAAGGATAAGTTATGATATTTAGTAAACTTTTGAAGCTTTTGGTATTTTGGAATCCATTAGTCATTTTGAGTTTTTTTGGTATGTACCTAGTAATTTAGCGTAAAAAACAAAGCATGTACTCATTAGAAGCTTCAATTCCTTAAAGTTAGAATTTGAAAGTTTTTTTAATGAAAATTTATAAACATCTAACAAATAATTCTGATTCTATTTGGAGAAAAAAAACCAAAAATCACTGATATGTTTCCAAGATCTATTTTATATTTAAATTGAAATTTGAATATAAAATATTTTAATGAAGCTTTTAAAAAATATTTTCTTGTTCAAGTACTTTAAAATTTTAGTTCACAGCTCTTAAAGTGCACGAAGGATATTTCTCTAGTCGTAAGAACTCTTAAAACCAAAGAATTTAAAGGAATGTAAAGAAAATAGTCAAAAAAGTATTATGACCTATTTTTAATTTTGATTTTATTTTTGAAAGATTTTTGTTCCAGGAAGTTTTTTCATGTATTGTTTCATCTCAGAACTAAATTTGGATAATTCACAAATGATCAGTTTGTATCTATGCACACAGATCTCAAAAGCTAAAGACAAATAACCAGTGAAAATTAAATTAAAATGAAAACTAAGACTGATACTTTGTGCTTTTGCTATCAAATTGTTAGCATTAAAAGCTTAGTAAAATATTAGCATTTTCCTTTATAATAGTTAAAAAAGTGTTTGTGTAGCTAAGAAAAAAATTGAACATTGATATTATCCCAGAGTTAAGCTGTCAAATTACTAGTGCTACTCCAATTTGATTCCCTGAAGGTGGATACAGTTTAATCATCTCATAGACATTTTTTTTTCATGGACATACAGGCTTTATAAAACCAAGGTTATATACATTTTATTTACATTTTTAAAATTTTAGATTCCATAATCTGAACCATTGTTTTTCTTGGATGCTAAATCTGGTTTTCATTTGTTAATAATTTATCATTAGGAAACAAGATTGTGTACTATTCATTTCTTATACAGATTATACTTAACAACTATAATAGGTATGCTTCTTGTGGCCCACTGTAGAGTGTCTTGAATGAGGAACAGCTCTCTCTGAAAGCAAATACTACTTCTGTTGTGGCACCATAATCTATTTAACACATACATTGTATTTTGCCAATATTTTTTTCTTTCTGTATTTAGGTGTTTAGTCAGCTTGGATCTGTGCTGAAAAATTGTGACATTTCAGTACACTTGGTAGAGGTGAGCCAAAAATTAAGTGAGATTCAAGCATTGACACTGACTGAAGAAAAGATCCCATTAGAGAGAGATGCCGAATCCCTAGTATATATGAAAGGTGTTACTAAATCTGGGATTCCAATTTCCTGGTACCGACATCTACAGGATGTTCCAAAAGGTAATTATATTGATTAATCAAAGAATTTTAATTATAACACCTCATGATAGTAATAGTAGCTGACCGTAACCACTCTCTATATATGAATGATTGAATTAGTGCTAATTTATCCAGATAAAATACTTTATCCAGATAAAATAATTGACTTTTTTTTCTAAAAGAGAACACTAATAGAAGATAAAATTGCTTAACATTAAGGAGAAATGTATTTCATGTTGTTTATAAAACAACAACAAAAAAACAAACTGTAAATCTCCACTGTACTTGTATTTTCTTATAGCTAAGAGAGTACTGATGATGAAGCAGTCTAAGGCAGCAGGGGCTGAAGGAAGCAATGTTAGTGGATGGGTTTAACTGTTTACTCTTTGTGGTGGTGAAACACTTGTACTATCCAGGAATCTTTGACAAGTCCTACTCATTCCTAAAGTGGTGATATGATCTTGGGAAAGGCATGTAAAGCCATTCCTGACCTTCACCAATGATTTTACGAAATTCAAATTCCCTTCCAATTGATAAACTTGAGTTCTCATTTCCTTAGGCTTAGTGATAAATAGAAGATTTAGCTGATAATTCAGGTATTGCAGTTTTCTCATCATGTGGAAAATCAGAATAGATGTTAATTGTTCTGTAGTTAGTTTTCTATGAAGAGAGGGATAATTCTTTGCTATTGATGACTGTGGAAGCATCCCAGTTTTCAATACTGAAGAATTAGGCATTTTCTTTTTTATAGTTAATGTTCAAAAAGAATTGTGTTGAAATGCTAAATATTTTTTTCTTGTATTTTTAAATAGGGTACAGCTTTTATCTTGCACATGAATTTTTTGATGTCCTCCCTGTGCATAAATTTCAGGTATTGATTGAAAAAAGTCATGTTTATATTTGAGTAACAAAAAGCCTTGAGTTGTAAGAATGCAGTATATGAATGTTACTTGTTGAAATTATTTTTAACTATTATATTTGAAATTTGATGATCATAAATAATTGAGAAGCAAAAGTGAGATACTAATTAGAATTCGTAATTCTCCTGAGACAATTATTAAAAGTTCTTAATTTTTCTGGGATAAAGAAGAGAGATAAATGTGCAATAAAGGCTTTATTTTGACAACCCTTTTTAAATTCCAAAGTTTAAATTTCTTTTTTTCTTAACAAAAGTGTCTATTTGGTCACTTGTCTTTAGTTTATTTTCCATGTTTTGGGCAGTTTCCATGCTGCATATTTTCTTCTCTATCTATTCATGTTCTTCAAAAAAAAAAAAAATGAAGTAAAAATGTATTTCAGTAGTGTTACACAGTAAAGCACTCTGTAAATGTTATTTATGACAGGAAGAGAGAGCTAAAAGTTATTTTTGGTTGGTAAAGAAAATTTTGAAAACTTGCAAAAATTTGTTTTTATGTGTTATTTTGTTTAGAAAACACCACAGGGATGGAGAGAAGTATTCATTGATATTGATCCACAAGTTTCTGATAAACTGAGGTTTGTCTTGGCGCCTTGTGCCACCCCAGCAGAAGCCTTCATACAAGTAGGAATGTTTTTTTTTTCCTTTAAGTTTCTGTTCTTGCTAACAGAATACTCCAAGTCTTGTTTTCTTAGTTACTGTCCTTCCCAGGGGGAGTTGCCAGAGCAACATGTGAGGTGCTTTGTATTGACAGTGGCAGCAGAAGTGTAGAGAATCCACAGCCTGGAGAATGTTGAAATCATGCAAGGTGTTACCTCATGTAACTGAGAATGTTAGTAAGCAGTTCATAGCCAAATCCCTCCCCTCCTCTGCTGTTTCTTGACTGAAATGGTGCCCATGTGGCCTCCTTTATAGAAGAGTTCTATGCTTATGAAGGCAGTATAGTATAGACCACAATAAAGTATCAGCTCACACTTATGGGCACTTTGAAATTCTCAGAACAACCATACTAAGGAAGTTCTGTTATCTTCACACTTTCTGGGCTAGCTTCCACCCAGATCTAAATGTCTGGGCTTCAGCATGCACCTCCTTTTTATATTCCTTTCCCCCTGCCCCCCACCTCAGAAAAAACTTTCTACTTTCTGGACCTTAAATAAGAATTTCCTACCTCAGAAATTTAGTTTTAAAAGTACAACAGCTTTAAACTGCATACCTATGAATTAAGTTTTGTTTGCAAAGTGTAAGTTAAAATATCAGACTAAATACTTGTGAACATTTCTATTTCTTTGTGTTATTTTTATATCCTATTTAACTTTACCTGACTGAGAAGCAGATTTATAAAGCTAAAGTTAATACCCTAGTCCTGAGAGTTGTGATTCTTTTAAATTCTCGACTTGATTAGCATTCACTTATGTGGGAGGGCCAAGTGGTGGTATCACTTGCCATCTTAAAGAACAATCTGATGTGATAAGAATGTCAGAAAGCGTCAGGTGATGGATAAAGAGGCTGGCTTTGTGATTTTTATATTTAATAGCAGTAGGTGTTAAATGGTTTCTTTTATGGAATCACAACAGATTTACAGTATATGTAGTAGGCACATGGACTCAGAAAGGTTAAGTAACTTGTCTACCAGTAAGCAAGTTGGTGAGCTGAGATAATGCCTGTGTTGTCCTAGACATCGTGGCAGGTCATTACCTCATTTTTAGTAGAGTCCTAGGAGGGAGCAAAAGTTAATGTATTGTTTTCATAATGAAGAAAAAATATCAAAATGTCAATCATCTCAGATGTCAGTGAAAATTCATACATACTAGTCAAGTTGACAAATACTATTTATTGTCATTTCACTTTTGAAGCTAATAAGCACTTTTTGTGACCCATAGTGGTTGAACATCTTGGGTAATAAGGGTCTCAGGAATATTGGCTTTACTTTGCAGGCTGATGTTTGTAGATACAGGGCTATGTTTGTAAATACATTGGGGTATTTTCTGCCCCAACAGAAGGCAACACAATATACATAAGAGGATCTGCTTTGTTACTGGATTCATATCATTTGTTCTTTTAGGCACAATTTTTTGAGGTAGTGCTAGGCATGTTGTAGGCAGACAAATCCCTTTCTTATGCTTTCAACCCAGTGATTATAATTAAGTATATTTATATACTAAATATAATATACATTTATATTATGAAAATACTTTTACAATAAATAAAATGGTAGTACACTTGGCCACCTGGAGGGCTGAGAGGGCATACAATTTTAATAAAAGATTAAAATGTCTGTAAACTTTTCTTTCTCCTTTTATTGTTTTTACATTTACTTACATGTGCATGCATTGGTTGTGTCACCACCCTACCCCTCAACCCCTGGCTTCTAGGCTGAACCAGTTCCACCCTCTTCTCTGATTTTGTAGAAGAGAAAACATAAGAGATAATAAGAAAGACATAGTGGTTTTGCTAGTTTGGGATAAAGATAGCTATACAGAGAGATTCCTAGCGTTGCTTCCATGCACATGTGTATTACAACCCACATTGGTTCATTTCTACCAGACCTCTTTGTTCCTTCTTGGTCCCCTTCCCATAGTGACCTCTGCTAATTTAAGATTACTTTATTCTCTCCTCAACAGGGAGCACTAGTGTCTGTACACTTTATGGATAGCATCAAATAACCAAGTTTGTAGAGTACAGGATGTCATGTGAAGCGTTGAGTGTAGAGAGCATACTCATTGAGAAGGAATTAATTTTTATTGCAAATAAGAAATTTCTCATTGTAGAGAAACCCTAAGGAACAGCTCTTTTGAATGATGTGTTATTATAGCTAACTGTTCCCTTACCAGCGTGATGAAACGAGAGACCATGTTGAAGTATGTCCTGGTGCTGGCATTATCATTCAAGAACTTTCTCAACGCATTGCGCTAACTGGAGGTGCTGCACTGATCGCTGACTATGGTCATGATGGAACAAAGACAGATACCTTCAGAGTATGTACAGTTCAGGAACGTGATTTATCAGAATTTGATTGTTAGATTTGAAGCTCATTGAAGATTTGTCTTACCTTTGGTTTTTAGTGTCTACCATTGTTTTATTACATAATTTTAGATTGTTAGTTCATGTTAAAATTACCTTTAATCCTGGATCTTACTCCTAAATGCAGTCTATTATCTTATGAACAGGGTCTGAATTACTTACCTTCTTCTTTAGTTGTAGAACCTAACTGCCAGTAAGCATCTCAATAACACAAATGGAAGGATTTTCTTCTGGTTCTTTAACTTTGCTGCCTTGCCGTCATTAAAAGTTTTTAATCTTTGCAGATTTAATCTGTTTTTCGTCTCTAGGCATATACCATCACCCTTCCTAAACTTCATTTCTGAATGTTCTTTAAGTATGATCAATCCTGTTGAATATTCTTTAATTGAAATACATTTAACAAGATGGCATTAGTCATTTTCTACATCAGTGGTTCTTAATTTCTACTTTTGTTATTGTAAATAAGAATAACCTGGAGAGTTAGGTGAGGCTGACCTGTAGTTTCACCTCCAGGATTGATTGGATGGGTAGGTGGAGTCCAGTAACATATTCTCAAGTGATTTTTGAGTGCACATGTTGATAGGTACACTGCCTGGGTTTTGATAACATGAATTCACCTACAGAATTAAGTCTCCTCAATTCCGTCATCACAAGCATTACTGGAAATGTTAAATAACCACGTAAAGGGCAACATCTTCAGGCATTCTGACTTTGCGCATTCTATTGGGTTTTCTTACCTGAGAAAGGGTGCTACTTATTTAGGCCATATTTTTAATGGCTGCTATGTAAAAATGTACTAATGATAATAGCATTTAAAAAATCTTGATAATGATAATTATTAAAGATACAAACTTATTTATGTTCAAGGGGTTTTGTGGCCACAAGCTTCATGATGTCTTAACTGCCCCAGGAACAGCAGACTTAACAGCTGATGTGGACTTCAATTATTTGCGCAGAATGGCACAAGGAAAAGTAGCCTCTCTGGGTCCTACAGAACAACAAACATTTTTAAAAAATATGGGCATTGATGTCCGGTTGAAGGTACTGGCTTATTTCACTATGATTAAATACCTTAATTTCATAGTATTTAAAATTATTTAAAGAAAGTTAATCTGTCCCTAATGCCTGTGTTAGTTATGCAGTTCCTTGGTGCTCTAGTCTTTTTAGTAGTGTAGGACTTAGTGTAACCAGACAGCTGATGTGTGGCACTGTGTGGTAGTTTCCATGCAAGATAAGAATTAAAGCTTTCAAATAGTGTTCCTATTCATTAAAAAAAACCAAGTTCATGAGTATGAATTTTAAAACAGTTCTTCCTAGGGCACTTAGAACCTTATTATAGAACAAATCACCTAGGGATACTTGTTAAAAATACAACTCCATAGGCGTGGGTCACAGCAATCTACATTTTTAATAAGTACCTCATGACCCTTAGGCAAGTAATCAGAAAATCATATTTTGAGCATCGCTTTATTGAAGCATTTAAGTTATTAGGATTGCTGCATATACATAGGAATTCTTTGATTACTTTTGCTAAGAAGTATTTGCTTTTTAGGTTCTTTTAGATAAATCACATGAGCCATCAATGAAGCAGCAGTTACTTCAGGGATATGATATGTTAATGAATCCTAAGAAGATGGGAGAAAGATTTAACTTTTTTGCCTTGCTACCTCATCAGAGACTTCAGAGTGGAAGTCCTCAGATGAATGCATGTCAGTCAAAACCCTCTGCATCATTGCCAGTAGCTGGGTTTGATGAACTTGCTTGGCGGTAACATTTCAGCTTGGACTTTTCACCTCTCAGTCTACCTAAGAAATTAAAATAAAAGGGAACACATACATTGAAGATATGTGAGTGTTCAAAATATTCTATCTCTTCACAGTCAATAAAAATAGCCTATTTTATATAGACTACAATAAAAATTGTAGAGCTTTGATGGTTGTGACTGATTCTTGGTACAAATGTGTGTTCTCAACTTGGTGAATTAACTTGTAAAATTGAGTTCCCTTAAATATAGTTGCTGTATTTGTATTTTATTTAAAAAATATACACATGGGTACTGAGTGGTTTAATAGAAACTGGAAACAACCTAAAAGGCTATTCCAAGAAGATTAAATAAATCTGTATATTATTTTTAAAAAGTCAAGATAGAGCAGTATATTCTGACATAGAAAAATCTTTTAAGATTTAGTAAGTGAAAAAAGTAGGATGCAGGGCTGGCATTGTGGCTCAAGTGGTAGAACGCCTGCCTAGCAAGCATGAGGCCCTGAGTTCAAACCCAGTTCTACCAAAAAAAAGTAAAAAGTAAAATGCAAAAGTTTCTAGTTATGATTCTGTTTTTGTTGAAGGAGAAAAGCTACACTTGTAAGTAATTTCACAGGAACAAGTATGCTAGTGTAGACGTGCTGTTTTCTGTCCTGTGATAACTGCACAGAAAAGGTAATTAACTAAGACCAGCATTAACATTCTGTATTTCACTCTAAAGTATAAGAAGGCCTTATTTGTTTAGATACTACCCGGCGTTGGGTCCTTTGTAGTTGCTGTTACTCTATCGTATTTCCTTTCTTTTTTTCAAAGACTTGGTTGGGAGATTTTTTCTTTTTTTTTTGGCAGTACTGGGGTTTTGAGCTTGGCTTCACACTTGCAAAGCAGGCAATCTATTGCTTGAACCATGCTTCTAGTCCATTTTGCTCTGGCTATTTTAGGTTCTCGCCAACTATTTGCCTGGGCTAGGTCAAACTGCAGTCCTCCTGATTGCAACCTTGCAAGTAGCAAGGATTACAGGTATGAGCCACCTGTGCCTAGAACTGTTGGGAGAATTTTTAAAAGATGAAAATGCCCACCATAGTTAGTCCCCTCCAAATATGCAATAGTTTTTATAATTAAGGGGAAGAGTCAGTCCAGAAAATTAATTTCAATTTTAAGTATTTAACTTTTTAAGTCTTCTGGTAATTGCTGTAGTTGAGTACTTGATGGTAGTTACCAAAAAATTTGTAGTTGTTAACTATACTTTTATTCCAAGAAATGAGCCCTTCAGATAATTACCTCAAATTTAGAATTCTAATGAGTTTTAAAAAAATTTTTTGATGAGTAAATAAAATCAATGCTCATAAATATAGCATGAGTTCTGTTTACAAATAGTATTTTCAAAAATAGTTCTATTACCAAGGCCTGGGAAAATAATGCAACCAAGTAAAATCTTCTTTGGATGCCTGTAGTAGAGATAGTTTAAGACTTCCACATAGAAAAGTATGGTGATACAGAAATACATTTTATTATCAAGCTTCTTTGAAAATATTTACAAAAAGTGGGATGTAACAAAAAAGTATAAAAAGGTACTGGACAGTGTCATTATAGAATACTTTGTACATTACCAAATGTTTCTAGAAACAATTATTTCTTATACAAACACAAGTTGACTTCAAGACAAAAGGTTATGCAGGTTATACAGTATGTGGAGTAATTATTCAACTCCAAATGACCTGACAGTGCCTTTACAAATTTTTTAAGAAACTTCTTAGGCATTCAACAAAACAAAAAAGAGTGCAATTAATTTCATGGCTTATACAGTCTGATTACATAAGTATATCAAATGAATGTTATTCCAGTTAATTTTCACCTTATGTAGTAAAACCACAGTAGGTTGCCCTAGTGACTCAAAATTATTCCATCTTGTGCATGTTGATATAAACAGACTTACTTTGGACTATGTGGGGAAGTCATCCTCTATCACAGAGAAAATCTATAAAAAGGTTTCTCAAAATTAATCTTTGTGGGGCCTGTGGATTGGCTCAAGGTCCTGAGTTCAACCTCGGTAAGTACTACCTATATATATATATATATATATTTTTTTTTTTTTTCCAAAAAGATCTGAGAACAAATTATGGAGATATGTGGAATGTCTACTGGTGATGTATATACACAGTACAGCATGATGACCATGATGGGTAAGAGGACTCTGGAGACATACTGCCTAGGTGTTTAAATCTACATAATGACTATATGAACTTTGATAGTAACCCTGTACCTCTATTTCTTTATCCATAAGTTGAGATTCATGATGTACTTACCACATGGCTATTGGAAGGATAAATTTTAAAACATATAAAGAATACAGAGGCACTGAAAATTGTTTCTATTCTCAGTATTTTTAGATATGATTCGTCTGTCCTTTACAGAGATGCTAAAAAGGCCCTCTCTCTTAGTCTGTTCATCCACAAAAACATGTTTTCCCTTTGATACCTCAAATTCAGTAGGCAATGATAATTAACAATTTTATACTTTTCAAATGATCAAGTAATTACATTCATACATATGGGATCTACATGACCACACTGTGAGGAAGACAGAGGCAAAAAATTTGATCTTCATTTTATAGACTGAGGAATTAGACAAACTGTTATGTGCTGAGGCCAACAGATAATAAATAACAGAGCCAAGATCTTGAATCAGAAACCCAAATTTCAAGACTCCAATTTTTTTGTTCTTAGAATGGGAAAGAAGCAAAACAATAGTTCACGGTGATTTATTGCTGAGTGAAGAAACAAAGCCACTATATTTCCTATGGTCTCAGGTCTTTTCTTTGAGGAACATACAGATTCATCCTTATAAATGAGTTCTTCATGTCTATCCCCATCCTCTCCTTCAAACTGCTTAAAATAAAATGCTGATATAAAAATACTCCAGACATCTGCAAAGCCCTTCAATAGGCTAAGGGAAGAAGAAAAAGATACTGTTTTCTATATAGTGACAGTGGCAATAACTGCCTCTAAACTGACCCTCCATTTATCTTTTTCCTCAAATTATTCAACCTGGGTAAAGATGAAATATGTAATTAAAGTTTAGCTCTGTACCAAATGAATGTTGGGATATTGTGCATCACAATGGTGTCAGTTGGGAATATGACTGTTTAGCAGCAGAGTTGAGCTATGAGAAGGCACACATAACCACTCAGAATTTATACCAGCTGTTCCTACTCCTTACCTTGTTATACCAATTGTCCCAAGTTATTCTAGTGGCTATTGAAACATACACAAGGTGGCAACTTAATTTTTATGCTGTAGAGACCATATTCAAATTTATAGCTCTAAAAAGGTTAGGAATAACTGTTTCAATGTTTTGAAAGTCAGCATTCCTTTTAGAGGCAGCTAGAAAACCCTTTAATGCCATGATGTCTGGTTAGACAAATGTTTAAAAAGTTCTACAGTAAATCACATTGGTAGCCTCACAGTCACTGCTTAAATGCAAATGTGTTTAGTAATCAACCTTACCATTTTTGTATGATTTGGTTAAGCTATAACAATAACTGGACAATCACAGGCTTTTAAAAGAAATGATGTAAGATCAGGAAAGGGAAGATAAATTAAGTAGCATTACTGTACTTAAAGTGAAGGAGTAGAAAAATATACAAAACCAGTTATTGCTTATGGTACAAAAATTCATAGAAAGTTTGATTTTGATTCCATTATGTATTTCTTTCCCTTCGTGTACCTACTTATTCTGAACTACAGTATTGATGCCAATTATCTCCTGTTTTTGCATCCTTGCTAATGACAACCTACAAAGAACAACAGTTAAACCACAGCAAAATAGCAGTTTATAAAATGAAATCCTTCCTTGTTCAAGTTGGCTCACTGGTAAAATTAAGGATCTTCTTCCATATCATCTGGATTGGGAGCCATAATGAAATGCTTTGGGTATACAAGGTTGTGTGTGTATGCATGTATTTCCCAGCGAGCATCATCACTTTCATGTGTAATGTAACGTTCTCCAATGCGAGTTTCAAATTCCCTAAGGTCAAGCCAAGTCTGATAGTCCTAGAAAAAAACGGAATGATTATGAGAGCCATAAAACAAATGAAATATTTACAACCTCCCCTCTTTTTTCTTTTGCTTCACACACTAGTGACAACTGATACCCTTGCTTATAAGTTCCTGCTATACAAGTTCTCAAGTAATATTTGAAATTAACAGTGTTAAATACTTTTTCAAATCCAGAGTCTACAATAAGCTAACTTGTTTCTGAAATGAAAAGAAGTTTTTGTCATGTCAGGCTTCTGGAATAGCTAATAATCATCATTAAAACATTTTTGCTCCATGTTGTTACAGGCATAAACCTTACTCCTCAAAATAAGGGAAAGTGCTTGGAATGGTTAATTTAATTTTGGTGAGCTTATGAATGCATTTGTTTTGAAGTTAATTCTACCTCTTCATTCTCTATCCTTACTCTGAAGCTTACGCGGTTTTTTTTTTCTTTTTTTTTTTTTTTTTGCGGTACTGGGGCTTGAACTCAGCCTACACCTCAAGCCACTCCACCAGCCTTTTTTTGTGATGGGGTTTTTCAAGATGGAGGGGGGGGTTCTTGTGAACTATTTGACTGGGCTGGCTTTGAACCGCAATCCTGCTGATCTGGCTCCTGAGTAGCCAGGATTACAGGAATGAGCCATTGATACCTGCCTAAGCCTATAGTTTTGTCTTTGGACAAATCTACACAATAACTTTTGAAGGAATCAAGTCAAAACATATTTTAAATGGCTTTTTTTGAGTCTCTTTAACGTAAAAACAAACCTTTTAGTGGACATTTAAAATATACTGAACAAAAATAGTATGTCAAACTAATCTTTAAAAAAGTGAAAATGAACATGTAAGCACCTATAAAAAGCTAAGTAACTGCTTTCAGTTCATGGGAGTTTAACTGCCCATTGATCTGACTTGAATGATACACTACACAACTTCCAGAGATTATCCATAATACAAATGAATCACCAAAGAGCATTTAGACTATTCTAAGAAATGTGTAGATGCTGCTCTTAGAGTGGTTTCATTTTGTAAACACATCACAGTAAACTACTTAAATGGTGATCACCAAAGAGAGAAAAATGTTTTCTTTTTTTTTACCTGTAGCCAGGGATGACTAAGAGATTTGTCAACACTGTAACGTTTTCTCATTTTCACTTGAAGCAGGTTGTTTATCAAATCAATTGCTAAAGAAAAACACAAAATTAAATGCATGAATTTTGGTATACAAAATACTCCAAACCTGTCACTCTGCCTGGAGGAAGGCAGTTCAATCCATAGAAAGACATTGTTGAGGAGGATTTGGATTTTAACACATAAAGTGATCTATAGATGTTTCCTGAATTAAGTATACTTGACAACTTTTCATTTTTAGAGGGCAGTATATAGTACAGGTTAAAAGTATACCCTAAAGACAGACTGTCTGGGCTGATTTGTAACATTGGACTTAGCAATGTGATAGTGGGTTAGTTACTAAACTATGCTGTCCCCAGCTCCTTGATCTATATAATGAAAGTGTAAAGAAGATGAAATTAGTTTAATACACATAAAAGGCTTACAAGAATGCTTAACACAGTAGTGCTAAGTGAATATTAACTATTACTATTTCAAGTGAATGAAGTGACTGATTGCAGGTGAGTGTTTTTACCCTTTTCCAATGACACCATGACACCAATGCTCTGCATTCCCTGGCTTAGTCTGGAGAAGCAGTGAAACCCACTGCCTTGCCTTGACAGATGCAGTTAAAATGAGGTGACAATTTATTACCAAAGTTCAAACTCAGCAGGTTTTAGCAAATAGGTTTGGGGTGTTTTGGTTCCTATGGCAAGATCTTAACATATATATTATGCAATTATTTGTAGAAACAGGTCCACTGCAAAATCATGGGAACCATAAAATAATATTGTCACTATAGCTCAGTTTCACAGTATGTTTGAAGTATTCATATGAAAGCCTAGACCAAGGGAACAGCTGGATGCAAGGCATATCACACCAATTCTATTTCTCTTTCATATGCCACCAAACTGGCAAAGACTTTCCATAAGTACTTTAATTATGAATTTCTGTTTCCCCAATACTTTGAATCCTGAGCTGTTGTTCCTTAAACTGTGGTTCACTATGTGTATCATGTCAGGTGTTTATTTAAAATCCACATTCCTGGTATCATTCCAACTAGTGAATCAGAATTTCTGGGATATGGCCAGGATTTTTTCTTCTAATCTCATCAAGTGAATCTGATACAATAGGTCTATAGATCACACTGACTTCAGAGCTCTGAAACTACTTTGGTACCATTAAAAAAAAGCTTCCAATGGACTTCTTCAATCAGTTTTTTAAATTACCAACCGAACCTGGTTACTGTCTTTACATCTTGTTCCTCAAAATTTTCCCAGTATATAGAATATTAACCCCTATGATTAAGCCTAGTACTTTTGGAAAAGCCAAAAAGACCTACCTGTTCCAAGGGTTAGCTAAATCCAAGTGGAGATATACCCAGCATTGGCTCTACTAAATTCTAGAGAAATGTTAAATGTTTTAAGTGATATATTCTCTTCCTATCAGTAAACTGAAGAGGATCACCCATTTTTTTTTTTTTTCTTTATAAGGCCCAAGCTGGCCTTGAACTCATGATTCTCCTTTCTTTGTGAGTACTGGACTTAGAGGCATGTGTCACCACATCCAGATTTTTTTTGTGACACTGGGGTTTGAACTCAGGGCCTATACCTTAAGCCACTCCATCAGCTATTTTTTGTGATTTTTTTTTTCAAGATAAGGTCTCATGAACTATTTGCCTGGGCTGGCTTCAAACAGCAATCCTCCTGCTCTCTGCCTCCTGATTAGCTAGGATTACAGGTGTAAGCTACTGGCACATGGCCCAGCTTATTCTTGACCAGTACAGAACCAGGTGGAACAAACTCAAAAGACTTCACCATGCAGGAGAATAAAGTGTATGAAGCTTCCTAGTCGAAGTCCATGGGAAAACTGAAAAATCTAAAGGTCATTCTAGGTGTAAAGAATGTAAGCTAGTCAAGGAATTTACAATCTTGCTCCCAAGATTTGAACAATTTTGGAGGCTTTGACAATTATCAAAACATAGTATGCTTAAGAAAAATATGCCTATTAGCCTAAGAAGACCTTACTTACATAGTTTAGAGAACGGGTAGATCAGGAACATCTTCACTGGTTAAACACAAGTTAAGGGGTCCATGAATAGTTAGGATTTTAACAGGAGGAGGGACTGGAGGCAGCGGAAAAGGCTTAAGCAAAATGCAGAAGAGTTCAGAAGAGTGTGCACAACTTGGCTTGTGTGTGGAGAAGTGGGTGTAAGAGCTCCAACTGCCCTGTGGTTAATGTTTGGAAACAGAATAAGATGAAAGCAGTGTTTCCTGAGATGGATCTGGCAGTCATGATTGGGAAGAACCAGAAAATGGTCTAATGTGTAGGACAATTAAAAGATTTTAGCAGTTTCCAGATGAGGCCTGGATTACTGCTATGCCTATAAATTAAAAAGAATGCAAAGACAGAAAAGACAATGTAAAAGGAGAGTGTTCAAAAATTGGTAACTACATAGGGAAATCAGAAGAGAGGCTGATTTTCAATCAAAAGCTTTTTAGACTAAAGGGCAAGAGCCAAAACTTGTTTTTTTACCTTCACTAGAAATTTCTCTCCAGGGATTTGGTGGGTACATAAATGCAGCATTTTGGATTTGGTCATTTATATCTTCATCCTCATTGAATGGAAATGTGCCACTCAGGCTCACATAGACAATGACTCCCACTGACCACATATCTAGAGATCGGTTGTAACCTTTGCTCCTGAGAACCTCAGGGGCTAAGTATGCTGGAGTTCCTACTACCGATCTCCGGAATGACTTCTCACCAATGATGCGTGCAAATCCAAAGTCACACAGTTTCACCTACAAATGGAAGGGTGATGTTAATTTATACTATATGTGTAACTGTCAATCTACATATAAATGCCCATCCCTCACATGATTCTATATTTCCATGTACACGCGAATGGTACCAATAATGAATACAAAACAGCTATAGATAAACTGAAAGATCTGTTCTCCAAAAGGCAGATACATCTGTAGCCCTGTAACACTAACACAGTATTAAGAGCTTTCCAAGTGCTTTATTTAAAAAAGAAAAAGTCTATATTCCAGCTCCAAAATGCCAACAACCAGGCTGATGTTATAAGAGTTGTTTTATTTTTTTTAATGAAATGGAGGGTGCTGATCTTTTATCACTTGTCTTGTAAGAAGATCTAGTTTCTATTTCCTGTGAGTAGAAATTGTGTCTGTGAGTGCTAATGGTGATGGGAAATGGAATTCTGAAAATTGGTTTTGGTGAAAATGTTTGCAGTGTAGTACTTTAAAGAGAAAAGAGGTTGGTTGCTTGCCTCAACCAATTTTCTATCACCCATTTCAAGTAATACCTCTCAGTTTACATTTTTGGGGAACTTGTCCTGAGTACCAAGCAGAGCAAAGATTGGTTATTACCACTTCATCTCAGCCCGTGGGGAGAGATGAATTGTAGAGTTTGTGCAAAAAGTTGTTTCTGGAGAACTGGATAAAAAAGCCTTAACATAAGCAGTAGTCAGTGAAATATGAATTCATATTGTTTGGTTATTAATCCTCACTGGCAGTCATACAATAAGATGGTATATACTTTGAAGCTACAGCACTTAGTAGACTGGTTTTTTTGTTTGTTTTTGAGGAACTGGGGATTAAACTCAGGGCCTGGTGCTTTTAGGCAATTACTTTACCACTTAAGCCACACCCCCAGCCCTTTGCTTTAAGTTGTTTTTCAGACTGTTTTATACTACCTTTGCCCAGGCTGGCCTTGGGACATAATCCTCCCACCGCCTCCTTGGTAGCTGGGATTACAGGAGTGTTCCCAGTACACTGCTTTGCATTTGTGGGTACTTTTTAAGTGTTGTTGGATATTTAAATTAAAATGATTCTCCAAAAGGTTCGAGAGAATATCTCACCTGAGGAAATGGCTCTGCTGATGCAAGCAGCACATTTTCTGGCTTTAAATCACAGTGCACAATATTCTTAAAATGTAGATTCCTCAAAGCAACAAGTATCTGTAAGTAAAAAGGGTTTTTGTTAATGCCTGGAAAACTGGTTAAATCCCAATGTGACTTCTTGAATTTAATTTGAAAACTACTATAGCTCATCAAGATGTAGCTAAAGCTGTTATTTTATTCTTTAAGGATAACAATCCCCATAATCTCCCAATATGTAAAAATACTCTTTAATGGTTTCAAAGAATTAAAAATACCTGTGTAACCATGAATTTAGTAATTCTTTCTGGAAGCCGACTTTTCTCACTGGACAGAATCATTTCCAACATATCTCCATGTAGCTTTTCCATTACTACAAACACACGTTCTGGGGTTTCAAACATACATTCCAGGTTTACAATCCCAGGATGGTGCAAATTCTGAAGAAAGGTTTCAGGATATTCAAGTGACCAACTTTAGTGGAGAAAGTCTTACTATGCAAGCTTCTAACCTGCTACAATTGTATGACATTCACAGTACAAAAACACCTTAGAAAAATAAACTAAAAACAAATGAAATAAAAGCTACAACCAATAAAAAAGGAACATAGATTCTGATTTTCCAAATTGTGCATTGGAGAGTAGATGCTCTGAGGGGAGAGAATGTCTTCCATTTCTCCTGTGTATGTGGTCCTCTCTCCAAGATGTTTTTTTCTTTAAATTATTATTAGCAGCTCAGGTTGGCTACTTATTTTACTTTTGCACACTCCTTCCACCTCCCTTCCAGAGAACTGGCTTCTGGATTTATTGTATTCTTTATTTATTATTCCATCAGCAACAGCACTTATAAAGGAAAGCCAGAAAAGATACAAAGAGAAGCAGACAAACACATTACTACTCCACAATACAGACAGCAGGCAAAAATGATTAAGAACATGCAAAGCCTAAACAAAATAAAGGTAGATTTAATTGCTTTATACTAAACTCTACCAAAAACAAAGAACAATGAACTCATTAATCCAAAAAAGCAATGATGTAAATAGTGTGCACACTTCTACTGTTAAAGCCCCTCCTTCATTTCATTTCATTTGTCATGACCCTCTTGGCTTTCTTTGGTCTGGGGAAGGGACCTAAGGAGGCCATCAAAGCTGTAGATCTTAGAGAAAGCCAGCAAAAAGGCCTTCCACTGAGGCCCCTCTTGCTGTGTAAAGCCTGCTTCATCCACTGTTTCTGAAGTCTATTTTGAGGTCTGAACTCTTCTATTTTTTTTTAAAATTAAAGATAGAGTATACACTTCTGTTTGTCATTATTCTTATAACTTTCGAGTGATTTTGAAGAGGAAAAGGGGAAAATGCTGAATTCTCAGCATAATGTTCAAACCAGAAAATTACTAAGTTTCTGATAATATTTTCCCATTTGCACAGGCAGCTATGAAAACGCTACACCCCCTCCTATTATTTACCTGCTTTGGACAGCAGCAAAAGAAACATTTTGCATTGCTACAGACCTAGGAAATAAAAGTATACCCCCTCTTTACTTCTCCCTTGTTCCACAATGTATTCCTAAAATGTGACCATACGGTAGTTTATGTAGATATTAATCCTTTTCTATACATAACAATAAGTTGATATTTTGTGCATATTACTTTAAAAAGTTACCCAAGAGGAAACATTCCACCTTCCCTCTTTTCATTTAACAATATGTTGTAGATAATTTCCCACATAAACACATCTACTCAGTAGATATTATCGGTGAATGTTTGTCACGTGTGTAGTATGATATAGATAGTCTGGATTCATTAACAAATGAACTGATAAAGAAGTCCTGTCTCATGGACTTTATTAATTCCAGCAAGTGAGACAGACCATAGAAAGCAAATCTTTAAACTACCTGGAACAGAAGTGATATGGAGAAAAGACAGGGTGAGGGAATACAGGGGTGGGGGGGAAGGTGAGTTCAATGCTGAAGAGAAAGACTGTGAAGGCTTCACTGTGGAAATGATGCTTGGGCAAAATCTTAGAGCAAGCAAGGGAGTATGCCATGCAGACAATTGATGAGGAAGCATTCCTACCAGAGGGTACAGCTAACACAAAGTCCTTGACACAGGAACATTTCTAACATGTTTGAGAAACAGCAAGAAAGGCAGTCATTCGGAAAAGAGATTGAATTTGTTGAGTGAAGGATCTACAGTGGAACCTTTTCAGATTTTTTTTTTTTGGTGGGATAGGGGTTTGCACTCAGGCTCGTGCTTGCTAGGCAGGTGCTCTTACCACTTGAGCCACTCCACCAGCCCTTTTTTTATGATGGGTTTTTCAAGAAAGGGTCTTGAGAACTGTTTGCCTAGGGCTGGCTTCGAACTATGATCCTCCTGATCTCTGCCTCCTGAATAGATAGGATTACAGGCATGAGCTCAGCTTTTCAGATTTTGGTTCTATTTAATACATAGTAATCACACGTGTCCAAAAATGGCATGTGCAAACATTTCTATTAAACATAGCAATACAGAACTGATCAGCAACTGCTCAACAGAGGCACTGATGTTCCTGGGTAAACTCTAGGGTCAATTCTAAATCAGTGATTCTATGATGTTTTTCCATCTCTGTTCTCGGAAAGTCCAAAGCTGTGGTCTCAATTACAGGCTCAAGTCTTTACCCTATCCTTACTTCTTAAAGATGTGGACCTGGGAGGATGCCACTGGTGCTGCAAGTGAAGAAAGCAGCACCAGGATCAACCATAGGAGTTCACCTGCCTTTACATTTGCCTAATGAAGACCATATACAACAACAGAGAATAAAGATGAAAAGCCAAGGTTATACAGCTGGAGGAGGATGAGGAGAGCCAAAGAGGGGTATGAATGTGAGAGTGTAGTAGGTTCCTTTCAACTCACGTGAAAAAAATCTACCTAGAATGCTTATATGGCTAAGTCTTGTGGAACTAATTTTAGTAAATGAGGTATAATTTGAAAAATTTTCCTTTTAAAAAGCATACTTGCTGCATGAATTCAGATTGTACTATACTTCATATACAAAGAAGGTTAAAGTCCATCTTTATACTGCAAGTACAGATTTTATTGAACTTATACATTGCAGAGAAATACCTAAAGTCACAATTCTATATGTGTACATACATACACACAAACACAAATAGGTCCAATAAAGTAAAGAACACAGGGCATGTGGTTTGGAGACAGATTTAGATTCAAATTCTGAAGCTTCTTCCTGCTGAATGATGTTGACAAAAACATACTTCAAACTTTCTGGCATACAGTACTAAATATAAAAATGTAATTTTTGGGCTGGACACTCCTGTAATCACAGCTACTTCAGAGGCAGAAACAGGAGGATTGTAGTTTGAAGTCAGTTCACACAAAAACTAGCAAGACTCTATCTTAAAAAGAAGTCGGGCATGGTGGTACACGCTTGTAATTCCAACTACTAAGGAAGAGGAGGAGATGGGAGGATCATGCTTCAAGGTCAGGCCAGGCAAAGCTGGCACAAAACTGAAGAGCAAAAGGACTAGGGGTGTGGCTCAAGTGTTAAGAATGCTTGCTTAGCAAGCAGGAAGCCCTGAGTTTAAAACCTAGTACTGAAAAAAAAGAAAAGTAAAAATAAAATAGAAATATTTTATATAAACAATTTAAAGAGAATCTGTAACAGAGATAGTGCTGTATTAATTTAGTATAAAAACAGTGTATTTAGAGACATAACTGCAATAAATTCTATTGCCAGTCGGACAGTATTAATGAAAATAACCAGAAGGATAATTATTTTTCACACTGTGCACTAACTGAAAATTCCTAAATTCAATTATTATGATCTACAATTATTCCTAAATTCAATTATGAGCTATAGCTGAGAGCACGGTGGCGAGGGGGGGCGGAAATGCTTCAGGTCTTATAGTATAGAGCAATGTTTGGGATCGAAGTATTAAGGAGAAATAAATCCTTAGGAGTATATCCTTAATTTTTAATTTTTTGAACATCAATTGGACTATAAGATTATAAAATTAAATATGCAAAAACAGTCTAAAGACTATTAATACTCTAGTTAAAGGTAATTTTATAGGAGGAAGTGGGCTTGATGTGGTCTTAAGTACCTATTGACCAGAAACTTTTGATTATCATTCCTCTGAAAAAAAAAAAAATGAGGTAAATGGTTACTAGTGACCAATAATGTAATACATATAACATTAATCATTTATAAACTTCTTACCTTCTTCAAGGAAGTCTAAGTTCAGTAGTTTCCATCTTCTTTATTTTTACCCACAAGCAAATGGGGGTCTGAGAGCATTAGCTATTACATGGCCATTTCTTAATAATATGCAAAAGCTACATAGTGAATTAATAGACATTTGCATATTATCATTATTTTCATGATACTGAGAAAAACGATCCAAGGATCAAGATAATTTTTAATCTTTTAGATGACCCCCAAAAGATGTAAAAATGTTATATGGAAAGAAAAACACACAGCAATCTCTTTTATGGGATTTAAATCATTACTAATATACCTCTTTCTAAAATATAACGTTAAAATTTTTATACACTAACTCATTTCAAAAATAATAAAAAACACAACTGTTAAAAGGAACATAATTTTTCATCAGCCTTTATTTTTATAGTAATTTCTATAGTGATCATTTGTGAGAATTTGGTGGACACAACAATGATGTAATAAAATGTAGTGTTAAAAAGTATCAAAGTGCTGGGTGCCAGTAGTTCACACCTGTAATCCTAGCTACTTGGGAGGCTGAGACTGGGAGGATTGCAGTATGAGGCCAGCTAGGCAAATAGTTTGTGAGACCCCCATTTCCAAAATAAGCAGAACAAAATGGAATGGAGGTGTGGCTCAAGCAGTAGATTGCCTGCTTTGCAAATGTGAAGCCCGGACTTCAAACCCTAGTCCCACCAAAAAAACAAAAACAAAAAACAGATTGTATTTACAAAAATATGTTCTAAACAAACTGGTAGTATAAACTGTTTGCCTTGTTAACACCTACATGACTGTAATCTTAAAAAAAAGCACTCAGGATGCTTTTAATTTGGATTCTTACCAGTCTCTTACTTAAGAGCCAAAAAGTAAGAGCAAAACATGCATGTTCTAAGTCGATTCGAACTGACAAATCAAAATTAAAAACTACATAAACCATTCTTTTTTTACCTGTAAAATAGCCACTTCATTACGGAGTTGACTTTCCTGCTTTGTGGGGAATCTCATCTTATCAATTACTTTAATAGCCACATCCCTTCCAGTCTTCCTGTGTTTTCCTATTTAAAAAAAATAGAAAAGATAGAAGCAAATTAACAACTCACATAGACTACAAAAGCTTTAATGGGAAGCTGTATGTGTTTAGTCTTGTGTTTTTTCTTCTGCTCATTTTCCTTCTCCACACTCCTTCATCACTTTTAATTTTGAGAAATGTTATATTTTCCCTCTATACTACTGGCCCCTAATAAAGGCAGTTCCACTATCTGAAATGGTAGAATATTTGAATGAGCTTATTTGCTGAAAAGCAATCTACCTTGTCAAATAAATAACAGTTAAATATTTTAAGTGTTTAGAGACTGTCAAAGTGAAATATTGTAGTAATGAATGAATTTTATTCAAAGTTCACGTGAGTCAGCACAGAGTGATACTTATTAGACTCCCAAACTTCAAGTCCCTATATTCTAGATACAAAAGATTTACAAGGTGGAAGTGTGCAATAAATAGTCACTCATTCATTAATTCGAACTAATTAGTTATTCTGCACCTATCATATTCAAAGCATAGATTTGGATGCTACCAATTAAGCAGTGAAAATGCCAGATTTTTTATCTTTTTTTTTTTTTGGTTTTTTTTTTGAGATGGTCTTACTATGTAGCCCATACTAGCCTTAAATTCAGGACCTCCTCCTTCAGCCTCCTGAGTGCTGCAATTATAGGCATGTGCCATCACACGACGACTTGATATTACTTCTTTTAACCTGTATGTGACTTGTTCTCTACATAGCTATTTACTTGAAAATAACTCACAGCTCTTTCAAGGGCATAATCATATAACTATTACTACCTAAAAAGACTGGTAAGAGGTCAAAGGTAAATCATTTTTCTGTCTCCTCAACAAGAAGAGGTCTTCCAGGGATGTCACTTGTTACAACACTGACAAATTTGAAGTTGCAAACCACAGATTCTGTACATGCATGTAAAACTAAAACATTTTCTGGGTGATGTATGTCAAACACAATGATAAATACTAGGAATAGCAAAAAAAAAAAACCAAAAAAAAAACCAAAAAAACCCCAAAAAACCCAAACCCAGACATCTCTCAGCCTACCCTCAAAGTTCAGGACAAAGACATTAGAAATCCAAAGTGTAATGGATACTGTGATAGAAGTATGCACCTTATGCAGCAGGAGCTGCAAGGAGAACAGTCTTATCTGATGGAGAGGTGAAGATGGGGACAAGAAAATCTTAGCGGAAGCTCTTTAGTTGAGCCTGGAAGTAATAAATGTGGATGCAGAAGGAGTCTAGGCAAGGTATGCAGGCATGCAGAAGAAACAAAAAGTGAACTGCAATAAGACTGGAGGCTAGAGAAGCTGGGAGAAATCACAACAGCCTTATATATTCTGCAAAGAGCACTGGCCATGAACCTGTGGACAAGGGTTCTATATGAAGTAATACTAATATCAGATGTGGGTTTTCTGAAAGATTCATCCCAAAATGGTGTGAAAGAAGGGTAAGACCGGAGGCAGAAAGGCAAAGGATTACAAGGGGTTAACATTTCTTTCTTATTTATCTTGGACCATAGCTTACAAAGTACTTTTTTGTTAGTTTCATTGAACAGATGAAGATGCTGAGATATAGTGAGGTTAAATGACTTCACCAGGATCCTAATGCACAGCAGGGTAAGATTTCAGGTATTGAGAACCGATAGAACATTGACGCCAATAGTAGACAAATGTTGCCATTTGTGTTGAAGAACTAGTGGGGAATATACTTCAGTGAACCAGTCCATATACCTTCAAGCCACCCTCCAACCATCTTTATGTATAAGCTACAAGAAAAGATAGGGTATTATAAAATTAATTTTCTGATTCTCAGTTAACTTTTACATTTTGTAGTTGAAATTAAAGAATACTCAGTTTTAGTAAAAAACTGACTCGGTTGAAAGAATTCCAGTCAGCCTTTGAGAAAAAGGTCACTTGATAAAATGGTGAGGTGACAAAGTAGCTGGCAGATGTTTTGTAATTTCTCCATTTTTCATAATATGTACAATATACAAATGACTGTAGTTGCTTACCTCCATAAACAATGCCAAACTGTCCTGAACCAAGCACCTCATCTGCAAAGATCTGGTAAACAGTGCTGATGTCCTATCAGGAGAAAGTAAGCAGAATTATTTTTATAGAGAAAATAATGTCAGTGTTTCTGACTCTATATCTAAATACATTTTTGCTTTTATATCAGAGGAAATAAATTTTCATAAAGCACAAAATATTTTATGAAACACACTTTCTATATTCTAGAAAAGTTAATCCAAATTTTATACTAAGATATTAATGTATACAAAGTATTCCAGAGGAAGACCTATAGAAAAAAATGCTTTGTTGGTTTTTTTTTGTCTGTTTTGGCAGTACTGGCGTTTGAACAAGGTCTCAAGCTTGCTGGGTTTGCTAGGCAGGTGCCCTACCACTTGAGCCACTCTGCCACCCCTGGAAAAAATGCTTTGAATAAAAAAAACCTATAGTGATCTATACAAGATAAATAACATAAAAATTAGGAACAAAGTTTTACCTATTTTACCATTAAAGAGACTCATATCTTGGGCTAGAGGAATAGCTCAGTGGCAGAGCATTTGCCCAGCATGTGCAAGGCCCTGGTTTTGATCCCCACCATGAGAAAGACAGAAAGACAGACAGACAGACAGACACACACACACACACACAGACAAGAGACAAAGAGACAGAGAAGAGAGACTGCTATCTTTGATTCAAAAGAAAAACTCAAGGCTAGAGTTACGGCTCAAGTGTTAGAGTGCTTGCCTAGCAAGCATAAGGCGTTGAATTCAAACTCCCGTATTTGTTTAAAAAAAAAAAGGAAAAACTAGGGATTGGGCTAATTTTGAAAAGTGTGTGAGACAAAGAGAAAGTCTGTAACTCAACTCTACTCAAACTTCCTCTCTCCTTTTTCTGTTAGTGTTTGTTGTTATCAGACTATTTATGAATTAACTTGGTGTGGTGGGGGGAATGTCAGAATTGCATTATGGGTGTGACAGAAGGAAGGCCAAAGAACTTCATTTAGCAAACCCACATTTAAACACAAAGACCAATGAAGTTTCATACACAAGTTGTTATGATGAAAATTTTAAGGTCTATGAGAACCACATTCATATGCTTATTAATTTTAATTTAACCAAATTTTGGTTCTAATCAAATTAGACAAGGCAGCATCTGAGGTAAATAAGACCAATTCTGAATCTTTTTCCTCCTCAGACATGGATGAATATAACCTAAAGTCCTGTGGGATTATTTAGAGTTTGTGCTACCACCAGGACAGGAGACACAAAGGTTATTATCACCTTGAATTTCTCTACCCTATAATACTAATAGATGTCCAGTCTTCACTGCAATCTTAGAAATTTCCAAATGTTACATGTTAGAGAACTCGTTCAGCTTGATGTACCAAGTGAAACAGAAAGACGAATTTTTATTAGAAAAATTATACAGCACAATTTTCTGACTTTGTTTTCTAGCTTTTTCATTCTGATCCAGGAGTTAGTATATTATGGCCTGTGGGCCAGATCCAGCCTGCTGTCTTTTTATATGGCCCCAGATCTAAGATGGGGAACACATCTGTGTTCATTCATTTATGTATTGCCCATGGCTTCTTTCCTGGTACAATGGAGAAGTGGGTAATTATATATGGCCGATCAAGGCTAAATAATATATAGTTCCTTTCAGAAAATGTTTGCTGACCTATTATAAAACCCTTCTTGTGGGCTGGAGGTGTGGCTCAAGTGGTAAAGCCTGCCCAGCAAACGTGAAGCCGAGTTCAAACCCCAAACCAAACAACAAAATCCCACTAAAAACCAAAAACCCTACTTGTTCTTACATTGACCAGTAAACTTAATCTATTTACTATTCCTTAAGTTCTGCATTTCCTACTTCCATCTGCTCATTCTGTGTGCCTGCATGATGTATCATTCCCCTCATCCCCTTAGCACTTCTGTTGAAAATCCATGCCATCCTTTCAGCATAGCTCAAGTTTTACTTCCTTTAGAAAGCTTTCCCTGTTGTCCAGTAAGAAGTAACCCCTCTCTTCTTTTTAACTAATCTTAACATTTGTAATAATCTCATGTTACATTTTTAAGTGAAAAAGTTAACTCTATTTTTATAATTTTAAAAATCTACAGCAGGGCATGTTGGATATTGCTTGTAATTACATCTACTCAAGAGGCAAAGATGATAGGATCCTGGCCAGTGGAGGTGAGTAGGAGGTAGTTAGTGAGACCCCATATCGAAAAATAGGCAGGGTGTGTGGTGGCCTGTTATTGAGGGAGGCCATAGATATGAGGATCAGTTTTGAGTCCCATCCTGGCAAAAAATTTAAGACCTTTCCCAAAAATAACCAAAGCAAAAAAGGGTTTGGGGTGTATCTTAACTGATAGAGTACATGCCTATCTAGTCCAAGGCCCTGAATTCAAACCTCAGTATGTTCAAAAAACAAAACCAAAACAAACAACAAAACACACACACACACACACACACACACACACACACACACTTAGTTTCCTTCATAGAGCAGAACACCTTAGGGAAGGTATCACCCACAAAGTTTAGCCTCAGCAAATTACTTCAAGTTATAAACCTATTTCTCTAATGAGACTTCACATTTTTTTTTCTTATTTTAAGCACCCATTCTGCATGTGCTGGCACTAATTATTACTTACCACATTCTCCTGGACCTGACAATTGGACACAGAGATACTGGTAGCCAAATCTTCTGCAAAATGTATGAGAAAAGAACAAAAGTATTAGTATGCCTTAGCAATATTAATCTTTACTGACATGTGAGTGCCCATGGTATATAAGACTTAAAAAAAAAGTTAATATACAGGTATTGGCACCTGCTTGGTAAGCACAGGGTCCTGAGTTCAAACCTCAGTACCACCAAAAACGACAAAAAAAATATAGGTTAATATATGTCTTATACATTAAAAATTGATACACACAATACTAACCCATCAACAAGAAACTGATTAAGTAAAGAGTAATACTCTAAACATTTAATAAATGATATAGAACTATAAATACTGAGTCAGGAAGCTTGTCATGATATCATTTTGAGTTAAGAAGGGCAGTTGCAGGTGTAGCTCATGATAGAGCACCTGTCGTATATGTGCAAAAGTTTGGTTTCTGTCAGTAGCCTAGTCAAAAAAAAGAAGTTGCAGGGTAGCAGTATCTGAAAATATTACTTCTGATGAGTGAGAGGTGAGGTGGTGAGTGAGGATTTTAGTTTTTGCACACTTCTATACTGCCTGCCATGTCTTTTGTAGTCTGTGGTTTGAACACAGGGCTTCATGGTTGCTATGCAGGTGATCTACCACTTGAGCCACTCCACCAGCCTTGCTTCCATTTTTTTAAAGCATAAAAAGTATATACCACTTTCATTAAACATTGGTCTCCTAGAGCACAAATTCAGGATTGGGACTGGGAAAAGTTTAGGAAGCCTTTCTCATTTTATACTACATATTTCTACAAAGTTTAAATGTATTACTTTGGTAAGCAAAGACAGTAAGTGACAAGGAAAAAAAGGGAAAGAAGGAAATAAGCAAGAAAATAGTTATCAAACATCTAGAGTTTTGGAGACAAATCAAAGAAGTAAATACGAAATTTTCCTTTTAGTTCCAAATATACAACATAACTAATACAGAAATACCATCAAAAATAAGTAACATGACTGTCAAAACCCCATTTTAAAATACCAAGCCAGTTTAAAGCTTTTAAGTAATTCAAATTTTAGACATTAAGGATTAAGAAAAGGCATGACATCAACATTAATCTTTCTAAAACTGCTTTCAGTAGTTTGTTTCCTAGTTTAATCTTAATCCTTACTTTCCTTCAAAGTCCTCCTCTATTTAGATTCATCCAGTTTTAATTTCTATCTGTTCCAGAAAAGTTGTTAGGTGGACAGCAAGAACAATGAAACCATAACAATATCACTTATGTGTCAAGCCACTGTGTTAAAGCTCATTGGTGTATATTTATTATTCTTCCCACTTTAGAGAACTGTGGAGTCCAAGATCACATGGCAAGTAAGCAATAGAACTGGATTTATATCCTCTAGAATATTCACTCTTAATAACTCGTACAATCATGCCTTTAGAGACTCTGAAATCTAGGAGAAAGGTTCATGTGCGGGCTTGGAAATTACATATAAAATGTGTGTGTGCTTGTGTCTGGATTGTTTTCTGGGGAAAGAGTCTTTTGTTTTAATTAGAATCTCAGACAGTTCTGCCTAAAACTTCCTAGAAATTAAGAACCAATGTGAAAGAACCATCTACTTATCCTTTCCCAAATCAGTATTAAACACCAAAATGTACATGGTCATACCCTCATCCCTTTCACAGTACCCATACTTACTATCCCCTCTACCTTTGCCATTTAGCTTTATCCCATTCCTACCTGAATGAAGTCCACAATCCAAATCAAATTTGTTATTATGCAGTCTATCTACTCTTTATATCCACCTCTGAGTTTTTAGAGTAACACACTTATGTTTTGCATTGTACTGCATTATGCTGTCATCTAACACTACGTATGACACATTTCCTTAAACAGCTTTTACAATTTCTGTAGTTCTTTCGTGTTCTAGCTCAAGGCCTAGCAAAATGCTAAGAGCAGTTGCACAAAATATAGATTATTTGAAATAAACTATATTTGGAAAGTGGGTGATACTTATTCCAACATAAATATATTTGTCTGGTGAGTGACATCAGACATAATATAATGCCAATGGGTAAACGTGGCATTATGGCTCTCTGACTGTTAATCATTCAATCACCTTTGTCTAATTTTATAAATTTTGTGACATAGAACATGTGCTTCAATAATTTGTAGTATTTCTGAATGTTTTAATTCACTTAAAAGAAATACAGCACTTCTGACTTCACAGATTTCTTGAATATAAATATAGTCCTTTAATGCTTATTTATACCCCAACATGAAGCAAAACACTAATACTAGTTGGATACTTAATCCACTGAGACCTCACAGATGTTAAACACAGTTATTCCATAGGTTCCCTTTCATTTAATACTAACAACCCTATGAAGTAGGTACTACTACAGAGAGGTGAAGTACTTACCTAAGATCATATAGCAGGTTGGCAGAGATATGAGTTTAAACGTAGGAGCCTAGCAGTAGGCATTGTATGAATATATGATAACCAACATAATATAGCGTAATTAACTAACATTATTAGTTTCTAAAGACAAAGGTTAAAACAAACATTAAAAACACACAAAGGAACAGTTACACCCCAAAATGCTTCAAGTGAAAGATGAAAAAAGCCATCAAGCAGCTTGTTGCTTACTGTGATCTTTCCCTTGCCCTGGAGAAGTGCAAACACTTGCTTGAGGAGTCACAGGCATAAGGGCTTGGCAAATTGCTTTCTCCCAGCTCTGTGCTATATCAAGTCCAACTCCAGTGGCAGCAAGAACAGGATTGTGAGAGCTGTCCCCATTGTTCTCACCAACAAAGTATACCATAGTATCAGTGATGATTTCAAAACAGTGTGGGTTGCTGCCTTGTGAAATATTTGTGAAATCTCGTGGTGAAGATACTCGGAGAATTTCTGAAAGTGGAATTTCCTGAGGTAAAAAAATTAAGCATTGAAAAAATATGAATATACATTTATTTTTATTTTTCAGTACATTACAGAATCAAAGGTAGATAATTTTATGAATGCATATGAAATATAAAAGCAAGTCTTATAATAGTGTCCGCCTAAATGACTTGCATGTCAGCAGTGCTAGAGGCAGAGCCTGGGATATGACATGTATAATAAAGAGATTCTCCCTGCAGTAGGTCATGAAGATGCAGGAGGAAAGAATTTAGGAGGGTAGTTTGCCACTATATCTAACACATCTCAATTTCAACTTGATACTAAATCAACTCAACAGCTATTTCTCTAGTGGTTGCTTTTCTCTAGGATATATCTCTAAAGTGAACTACAAGCAGAAATAATGGCAGAAAGAGCAGGTATCTGGATCACAATACATTGCTTAAGCACTCCATTCTGGTTCTTTCCATTGAATTAAACTATCAATTAATTATTTAATGTTTAGTTCAAACATAAGACCAAAAAAAAATCCCAAAACACTCAGGTTTCCATGATCCATGAAATGGCTTAAAAAACAACAACAATAAAACAGGCAAAAAACTTATTTTTAAAAAATAACTCATTAGCATGATCTCTCTTCTAAAAAGATGGGGTCTCTTAGGTTTCCCAGGTTGGTTCTGAACTCCGGTGATTCTACTGCCTCAGGTCCCAAGTACCTGGGACAGCTCTAGGTAGGATACCAGGTTTCACTCACTAAATATTTTTACCCATTCTTTAATTTTTAGCTGTCTTTCCTTTAGAAACCATGTTTTAATCCCTTTTGTGGACAGTATTTGTATTGAACATCAAACTGACATACTCTGAAAGAGCAACACAAGATGAAAATTCTCCTCTGTCCAGCTCCTATTCTGCTACACTTGCAATCTTATCTGGGGTCAGTATGCGACAGCAAAATGCAAGGCATGCCAAGCAAGGAAGACAGTACAAGGAAGATGAAGAGCCAAAATAAGCAACTGCAAACTGGAGCTAAGATACTGTGGCCTCTTCTGCATAAGAAATAATCATGGGCCTTTCTAAGTAGTCTAATCCAAATCACAGTATCCAAAAGCAAAGCAGGAGCAACCTGATAGGCTAAAAAAGGCAAATACAACAAAAAACAATCCAGTAGTGGGGCTGCTGTGGCTATGTGTGTGTATGTATGAAATGAAGGGGTGGAGCTGCTTCAACAAGAACCTTAAAGTGACTTCTATAAACTGTTATCATGCAGAATTACAACAGGCAGACTTGCATGAGCAATGAATATTATTTGGGTATATTTGGAGAAACTATAACATTTTAATATTTTTTAAATAAAATGTGAAACCCTTACCTTATAATACTTTGATCCAGATTCATTTTGAAACAATGTTAGACATTTGCTGTCAAGTCTCCAATAATGCCTCTTTCTCTATAAAATAGAGGCCAGAAAACTGTGAGGTTCAAAAATAATGATTCTTCCAAAGTACTTGTACTTTCCTTTTCCTTTAATTCCAATTCACAAATCTGTATTTTTGTATAGGTTGAAAGTTCATGAGGTTCAAAATTCTCAAAATATAAAAAGATACATAATGAGAAATATCACTCCAGTCACTTTTATCCCACTCCTCACTCTTATTCCAAGCAAGCAATGTTGTTAAGATTCAGGGAATCCTTTCAGAGAAATTTATGCATCCACACATCCATATTTATGTGCTAAACACATACACAGATACATAATTTACCTATAAGCTAAATTTATAGAAGGTGACATGCTGTGTCAAAAGATATGTGCACATGTAATTTTTTTATGGTGTTAAGTTATTCTACACAATATTTGACCCAATTTATAGTGTCATTAGCAACATATGAGAGTGCCTATTTACTAACATAACTTCACTCAGTATGTTATTAAACTTTTTTTTTGGTTGGTAGTACTGGAGCTTGAACTTAAGTCTTCACACTTACAAGGCAGATGCTTGACCCATGCCTCCAGCCCATTATTAAACTTGTTTGGTCTTTATATACTAAAAAAAAAAAAACTGGCATTTCAATGGAAGTTTAAATTAGCATTTCTTTGATTATAAATAAAATCAAGCTCTTATATATGAGCATTTTTATTTCCTTTTGTGTAAGCTTTCTGTTTATATTTTTTTGCCCATTTTTATATTGACTTTTCTCATCAGTTTGTATATATTATGGAAATAACTGTTTATGGTATGAGTTGAAAATACTTTTCCCAGTTTGTCATTTGTCTTGATTTTGATTTATGCCACAAAGAATTTGTTTTTATGAAACCGTATTGATCCTTTACTGTTTATTTTTCCACTGAGAATTTATGAAATGATTCTTCCAAGGTTTCTCCTATTGGTTTAGTTTACATTTGGATCTTTGCTCCATTATTTAGATTACATGTAAAATGTGAGATATGTTTACAAATTCATTTTTTTCTAATATGTGTATTTGATTGTCCTAGTATTCAATGATAATTTTCTTCACCCCTGCTGATCTGATATAGCACCATTCACATACCACTAAATTCTCAAATATGTACAATATTGCAAGTTCTATTTGGAAGGATATGGACTATAAATTAAAGAAAAAATGCACAACTGAAGACAGCACTGTTGTTACCATGTAAAACTTTACTGAAACCAGCTGAATGTATTGTGTACTTTACTTTATTCTTAAAAGGCCTCTTACAAGAATTTATTCAGCAAAATTTTTAAAAAGTAATAAAATAATGGCACTAATTTACTGATTGTTTTATGCCAAACATTGTTCTAAGCTCTTCTCATATATTAGACTCATTTGGATGGACAGGTAATATTATTATTATGCCAGTTTTATAGATGAAGAAAATGAGGTATAAAGAAAAACAAGTAACTTTCCCAAGCATATGGTTTTAGTAAGTCAGAGTCCTAGTCTAGCGCCAAAGTCTATGTTCTTAGGTATTATACTGTGCTGATTACCACCACACTATGACTTCACCATTCCTCTTCTTTGAAATATAGATTTAAAAGATAACTTGTATACTTACACCAAGCTAAAACCTACATAAAAACAAGTGTAATGACTTAGGATGACTTTTCAGATGAAGTTCTAGTTCATTCCACCTTTATTTGTACTCATTACATTTCAAGTCATTACTCTTCACTGTGGCATAATACCAGATCCTTTTTGAATCTTGACTATCAACATTAAATATTATGCCTTTTAAAAATTCAAGTATAACTATAATTTGAGTATAACCTTTAGATATTACGCTAGTGTATACAACATCTTAATATATATCTAGCTCTCCTATTTTGATTCAAAATGTGCATAAAATAAAACTCATAACCAAGTTTTCCTAGCATATTGAAATGCATGTGATTACTGACCAGGTTATCCCTGCTGGTATAATGGACCATCCACCCTTCCTTCACCATTGTGCTGCTCTTCCTCTTTGTGTGCTTGATGGATTGTACAACCCTCATTAGCGGAATATTATTGCTTGTTGATGGACTAAAAAAATTTAAAATTTATGATAAATATTTGTAATATCTACTTTAAAAAAAAATCATAAAAACTGTTGTCTTGTCAAGTCTTTTTAAGATAGCTAAGGTAAATTTTTACAAAATCTTAAGACCACAAATAACTGAGAGCTGGAATTTAGAAATACTGTTGAGTTTTTCTACCCTGAATAGCATGATAAATCTGAAAATTTTTAACAAGGCAAAACAATTCAAGTTACATGGCTCAAGTGTCATCAAATTCAGCTGAATGTGTCAGCAAAAAGTACTTCTAGTAGAAGATATTTAATGGCAAATGATTTACAGCTATTAAGAAAATTAAAAAATACACATGAGTTAAATCTGGTTAGACTGGAATATGGGTTAGTAACTATGGCTGAAAAAAATGAGCAATTTGGTGTATATATATGTAAAATATACTGTTTCGCAATTTGATCTGAAAACAGTTAAATTCTTTCTCTTAAACTATGAAGTATTTATGACTAGGAAACTAGATAGGTTCTCCAAAACAGGTAAATATCAAAGTTTAGCAATGATGATAATAGCTATAATTTAATGATAAGCCAAAGTGAATAAATGTTGACTCAGCCATGTGAGACTGATAAATGATCCATTTTCTCTAAGTAACTCTGCATTGCCAATGAAATAACTTGTCAAAAGGGTTACATTTTGCTATGAAGTAGGCTATCCTACAGGCTGCAAATACTGAATTTATATAAACACAGTGGGCTATTTAAAAGTCTTATAGTCCACCAACACTTTAAGTGCTAATGGATTGTGTCAATACGAAGACCACCTTCAAATTCATCACCATCATCTTTATGAACATTCTCAGGAGTATATTCTTTACTGCTTTTCTACCATCAGGTAATCTACCTGTGTGAAGAACTGGCTGCTTTAACTACTGGCACCTTATGGTGGCTGCTCCACTACTAAACACTGTATCTAGATTATATTTAAATAGAACATTTTTCTTTGTAAGAAAATTAGAATTATCATACTTTCCCATTTTGAGTAGATAGAAAAAGTGACAAAATTTATTTCAGAAATGCTGTGGTGAATATAAAATAATCAGCCATGATTTAATTACATTTTAAATTACACTTAAGGTCCACTTAGAGATACAGCTTTTTCTTAATGGAGATTCTGACCTGACCTTGCATTTGGCAATAACTTAATACCTATACAAGTGCTACCTGATTGTTTTAACAGGTTCTTCATCTCGTTCCACATCAAGATCAGATGGATCCAGGAAGAACATTTTATCTTCTGGGGGAGATTGTTCTTCTGTGTCATCCAAGCCCCGGCTACCATCACTATTCATGTCATTGTTGTCAATGTCCATAGGTATATCCGTATCTGTTCCCAGACTAGAAGGTTCTGGAAAGTGTTAAATGAATTTGTTTTATATTAATGGAGTATCAATACATCTAAGCAGAATAGTCTATTAAACAGGAAAAAGTTTTCAAAGTCTTAAAGGAAAATATCTTTATGATCAAGATAAGCAAGTTCTTTCTTCTTTTTATTGTTGTGCTTGGGTGGGAGGATACACTGTGGCATTTACAAAAGTTCTTACAATATGTCATAGTTGAATGCACCTCCTCCATTGTCCCCCCTCCCCAATTCCTGGAGTAGTTTCAACAAGTACCATTTCCCATTTATATACATGTGTACACAATATGTGCACTATATTCACCCTCCTATACCCTTTCTCCACATCCTCCTACTGGTACCAGCCCTCCCCCCAGACAGGACCTATTTCACCCACCTGTTAGGAAGATATTTCTTAAAGATGATACAAAATGCACAAATCATAAGGCACACAATCAATTTGATGTTAGAATTTTAAAAATTTCCCTATGACAAAAGATACTATATATAAACAAAAGAGATAAAACCCATAATTTATGGTCAACTAGTTGTCAACAAGATGCCAAGACAATTCAAGGGGCAAAGAACAGTGTTCTTAATGAAGGATGCTACTACAACTGTATATATACATGCAAAAGAATCAAGTTTGACCCCTTCCTTAAATCATGTAAAAAAAATTAACTCAAAATAGATTAGGACCTAAAATTAAGAGCCAAAACTTATCATAAAACTCTTAGAAGTAAATGTAGGATAAATCTGTGATCTTAGGTTAGGCAAATTCTTCTTAGATACAACAAAAACTTGAGTGACAAAGGAAAAATAAATTGAACTTCATCAAAATAAAAAGCTTCTGTGGGGCAAACTACATCTTTTGGTGGGCCTGGGATTTTCACTCAGGGCTTTTGCACTTGCAAACCAGATGCTCTACTGCTTGAGTCACACCTCCAGCACATTTTGCTCTGGTTATTTTGGAGATAAGGTTTCGTGAACTGTTTGCCTGGGCTGGCCTTGAACCTCGATCTTTCTGATCTTAGCCTCTCTAGTAGCTAGGATGACAGATGTGAGCCACTGGCACCTGGTTCAAACCACATCTTAAAGTGAAAAGACAATTCATAGCATTATGGCATGGGAGAAAATAAAAGAATTTGTATCCAGAATATTTAAAGAACTTCTACAACTCAATAAGAAGACAAAAGTTAAAATGGGTGAAGAATTAGAAAAGACAGTTTTCCAAAGATATAAAAGCAAAAGAAAACCACAATAAGACATACCTCACACTTACTAACTAGATGGCTATAATCAATGAGACAGATAATAACAAATGGTAGAAAAGATGCAGAGATATTTGAATCCTCTATACTGCTGGAGGGATGTAAAATGGTGAAGCTGCTTTGGAAAGCAGTTTGGTAGGACCTCAAAATTTTAAACACAGGGTTAACATATGGCTCACCCTTTCTACTTCTAGGTATATACCCAAGTGAAATGAAAACATATGTCCACAGGAAAATTATAATAAAGTATGCACAGAAACATTATTCATAATAGACCCAAATTCAATACAACCCAAACATCTACTGACTGGTGAATGGATAAATAAAATAGAGCATATATTTCTGCAGAGCAGTATTATTTCTCAATAAAAAAAGAATTAAGTATTGACGTAGTCTACAATACAGAGGAACCCTAAAAACAGTATGTTTGAAACAAAAAGATTAAGTCACTGATTGACAGAAGGTATTTATATCACATATAACTAAAAAAATTTGACTGTAGAATTATCAACAACTCCGGCAAGTTTATAATAAACAAACAAACAAAAAGCATTTGAGCAGGCAACTTACAAAGGAAAAAAACCTCTAAATAACCAGGAAGCATTTGAAAGATATTCAAACTTACTAAAAGTCAGAGAAATGTACATTAGAATACATGTAAATATGTCATATCCAACTTGTCAAAAGGTAGAAATGATTAAAATACAGTTCATGAGCTGTAAGTCTAAGACTTTATTCGTATGAAAAAGTACTTTAATTAAGATTAATTGAAAAATAAAACTAATCATACTCTGTCAATAGTGTTAACTAGCTATGATGCAAATGAGTAATTCTACTGAAAATTCCTATGTTGAAATCCTAACTCCCAAGGTAATGGTATTTTGAGGTGGGGCCTTTGGGAGGTTTTTATGTCATGAGTGCTCTGTTCTTATGAATGAGATTAGAGCCCTTATTATAAAGGCCCAAAAGAGCTCATTTACCCATTCCACATTTGAGCGTGCAGCTAAAAGGCACCATCTATAAACCAAGAGATGTACTTTCACCAGACAAGAATTTGCTGGCACAATAAACTTCCTAGCATTTAGAACTATGAGAAATCTGTTTCTGTGGTTTAAAAGCTAAATACCCACCTGTAAAATTTTGCTGTAGCAGCCTAAACAGACCAAGATAACTAGCAACAGAAAACAGGCCATAAGAGAAAATGTTAAACTCTCAAGAGTTTAATTTTCATTGCTTATGCTCTTCCTACAGAATTATATTCATTTTTTTAACCAGTAATACAAATTGTTAAAGGAAATTTGTGTTGTAAACTTAAAGCCCTTACTCTTTCTTTAAAAAAAAAAAAAAGTAATGGCTTTGCTTAGTATTATCTTGAAAAGAAAAAAAAATGGTTAAAACAAAAAATGTTTGGCTAAGGATTATTTGACAGAGAAAAGGGACAGAGAGGCAGTATAATAGTGTATGTAATGTGTTCTAATGACTATGGACTGAGGAGCCAGATCATATGGATTCAAATATAGCTCTGCCACTTGCTGGCTATATTACTTGGACAAGTTATTGAATGTCTTTGTGCCTCAGTTTATTCATCTCTTAGAACTTACCTCAAAAGGTTGTTATGTTTAAATGTCAATATAATGAAAAAGTTTATGTGCATGGCATAGTAAGCAATAAATTTACGAACTTCAAAAGAAAAAGGACAACAACAGGGTATTAAAACAAATTCTCTTACGTCCACACATGGAAGAGGATATGCAGCACCACTGCCTATCTTAGACTAAAAGTTGTAGGTGGCTAAAGCAAAGATGGAAAGGCATAATTATTAACAAACGTACAGCATCACTGACTTGTATATTTTGCTTGCTTATTAAATAAGAAAAATTTAAGGAAACAAAGTAAACAAAAAATATATAAATACAACCTTATGTAAAGATAATACACAAAAGAATGTGACCTTTCTGATCATTCATAAAAATTAAGAAAAATAATTTTACCTCCATTGAAAGTAACCTCTCCAAGGCAGTCTCTTGGCACTTTAGATGCACAGCGTTTATGGCAGTTGAATTTGCAATCTAAAAAAAAAAATAAATCAGTTTATTATTATACATAGGCAATATCAGATATGATTAGACATTCTTTAAATCACTCACAGGTGGAATATCATTAGTAATGAGGATGCTGTTGCTAAAATTACAATAGTGTTTTCTTTTTACCATGAACTCAAGTCTTGGACCAACGGTCTGTTTTCAACTTTTGATGGTACTTCCTAATAGTTGTTTAACCTTTCACAAGTCACATAACTCCACCAGGGATCAATTTGTTTTTTCTCTATAATGAGGCTAAAACCAGTTGAATGACACTGTAAAAACGTCCTGGCACTTTATTTCCTTCTCTTACCCCACATTCATCTTTCCACACCCTCTGTAAGGTCTTTTTAACTAATGAAATTTCAATCCAATATGTCAGACTTATATTTTCAATTCCTAAATATTAGGATCGGATGCATACACAAAAAGGCGACCAGATTCAACAAACTTATATAAGGAATCTAGCAAGGGCTTTCAGATACAACCTGTGAGGAAGGACTGAACTTCTCAGGCACAAGGTCTCCCATTTTTGCATATGCTCTCTTCGGCCTACCAGAACCTCAACATTTATAGCACTGAAGATCAGGGCCGGTTATAATATTTTCAAGACTACTGAGTAACTCAGTGGTTCTCAAACTGCAGCCCCTACATCAGCAGCACCAGCATCATTCAGCAACTTTTTAGAAAAATTAAGTTCCTAATAATGAAATCTCTTAAAATTTATATTAAAAAGGGAGAGGAGAAAGAAGAGTAATGTACATTACATGCATGTATGGAAACATCATAATGAAACCTCTTTGTACAATTAATGTATGATTAAAAACTCTTGAGCCCCACCCAGACCTACAACATTGGCAGTTCTGGGAGAAATGTGTCCTTCAAGGATCTCTTTAAGCGACATAAAAATTAAGACTCTCTGACATGACTACACCTAACACTACCTCTGAAAAGAATCTACCAGCAGTAAGTGGGTAAAAATATTGAGTGCTGAGTAAGGATGCTTTATAACTGCTATGAGTCAAGGAATCCTACTTATCATGTTAAGAGCATGGGCTGAAGGTAGTTATAGGAAAAATCCCCATGACATGGTCATTAAAAAAAAAAAAAACACGGCTTTTATGAGAGGCTCTAGGAAAAATCATACATGATATATTAATAGCATGCATATTTCTTAATACTCTTGCATCTCATCCATTTTACAAATTTTGAAAGTAACATGGTTACACTCTCCCTACAAAAATTTAAAGCCAAATTTGTGCCTCATTTGCAGCAAGTATATAGGTTCTAATAGAATTTTTATTTTTCTAGGTTCTTATCCATATTTTTAGTAGTTTGCTTATGCTTTCTTATATTTTCTATATCATGAAGTTTTCAAATAGCAAAAGAGGAAATAAAAGGATGAATGAATGAATTAATCAATCAATAGTTGTTCTTGATCTAACGTATTTTTGTTTTATTCTAAATTATTTTTTCTTAGCTTAATGAATGAAAATGACTACTTTTTAAGGGTCTTAGTTATAAAAACACATGAATCACTGAAATAAATTATGATTTTCTTTACTGATCACTGAAAAACTTAGTTATTAATAAACATAGGCTACCATATTTCTGAACCAATATAAGTACAAGACATTACTCATCTACAATCCTAAAAGGTTAAACTAACAACCTAGTGACAGAATTAAGAGGCTTAATTTGTCAGTCTACATCTTTAAAATTTATTTATTTATTTATTTTTTAGCATAGTACCTGGTACATAGTACAAACACTGCAGGCAGTAGTGTTAATATGCACACATATTTTTAAATATTTTTCCTCCTTTTTTACAAGAACAATCTCTTTAGTAAATACTTCTGAAATACAGCTATTTAAACCTGCATCTATTAACAAAAATTTTTCTTCAGGAAAATATGCAATCATACCTTTACACTGCATTCCTTGACGAAAAAGGCCTTTTAATAATCGCTTGCAGTACTGACATATGGTGGGACGACCGTAAGAGTGGACAGCAAATGTGTGTGGAACCTTCACTCTGCACATTACCATCTTCTCCATCCAGATTGGGCGACCACTCCAGGATGGAATCCTCTTACTTGGTTCTTGATGAACGTGTGACTACAACATACGTAATTTCCATAGGTATAAGTCAAAATTAAAAACAAATTATTGGAGGCAGAGCTTAACCACAAGTCATTCATTTGGAATGCAAAAGGCAACAATCTAAAAATGTGGATCTCAGCAGTTTCCTTTAGAAAACTTAATTTACCAACTCTTGCATGAGAAAGAGTTTTTTATACTTTTATGTTAAAAAACCCCAAGGTAGTGAGATACACACTTATATATATATATATCTCCACATATGTATATATATATATATATATATATATATATATATATATACTCACTGATTATTATTATTTGCCAGGCACACACTATATTTTACAAATAAAAAACAAACACCTTAAAATGAATTTATAACATGTTCAGATCTACTCAATACCTGATCAAGGAATTAATCATGGGAAAAGCAAATAAATTCACAAAGTACGGTTGCTGCTCATGTTGCATTACTCAACATGTCTGAAAACATCTTAAAACAAATCTTAGATTTTCAAATTTATTTCAACAAATATTAAAATATGTAAAAATTTAAGTCTAGTTTTGATGAAATAAATAGTAGCAAATACAAAACTAATTAAAGCAGCATTAGCCCTGGTAATTAGGTTTTAAGTAACTCTGATACCGTATTTTTCAGTTCTTCAGGTTTTTTTTGCCCCATCAGCTGAACACAAAAACAAAATTAAAGAAAGAACAATTAAAAATTTTGATATAACTTAAGAGACAAATGGATTTTCAAAATTATAGCTGTTTCTATATAAAGGAAATAATCAAATGAAACTATAGGTCAGTTTTATGTGGCTCATTCCATTCATTCAACAAACATTCACTGATTACTCTATGCCAGGCCCTCTGCTAAATATGTGGGACATAAAAATGAATAAAACATAATCTGTGTTCTCAGCATAAAAGCCAAGCACCTTCAAAATGGTTCAAGGATCTTAATATCAGACCACAAACTCTAAAGTTGATACAGGAAAGAGTAGGAAATACTCTGGAGTTAGTAGGTATAGGTAAGAACTTTCTCAACGAAACCCCAGCAGCACAGCAACTAAGAGACAGCATAGATAAATGGGACCTCATAAAACTAAAAAGCTTCTGTTCATCAAAAGAAATAGTCTCTAAACTGAAGAGAACACCCACAGAGTGGGAGAAAATATTTGCCAGCTACACATCAGACAAAGGATTGATAACCAGAATATATAGGGAACTTAAAAAACTAAATTCTCCCAAAACTAATGAACCAATAAAGAAATGGGCAAGTGAACTAAACAAAACTTTCTCAAAAGAAGAAATTCAAATGGCCAAAAAACACATGAAAAAATGCTCACCATCTCTAGCAATAAAGGAAATGCAAATTAAAACCACACTAAGATTCCACCTCACCCGTTAGAATAGCCATCATTAGCAACACCACCAACAACAGGTGTTGGCAAGGATGCGGGGGAAAAAGGAACCCTCATACACTGTTGGTGGGAATGTAAACTAGTACAACCACTCTGGAAAAAAATTTGGAGGCTACTTAAAACGCTAAACATTGATCTACCATTTGATCCAGCAATACCACTCTTGAGATATACCCAAAAGACTGTGACACAGGTTACTCCAGAGGCACCTGCACATCCATGTTTATTGCGGCACTATTCACAATAGCCAAGTTATGGAAACAGCCAAGATGCCCCACCACTGACGAATGGATTAAGAAAATGTGGTATCTATACACAATGGAATTTTATGCAGCCATGAAGAAGAATGAAATGTTATCATTTGCTAGTAAATGGATGGAATTGGAGAACATCATTCTGAGTGAGGTTAGCCTGGCCCAAAAGACCAAAAATCGTATGTTCTCTCTCATATGTGGACATTAGATCAAGGGCAAACACAACAAGGGGATTGCACTTTGAGGACATGATAAAAGCGAGAGCACACAAGGGAGAGGTGAGAATAGATAAGACACCTAAAAAATTAGCTAGCATTTGTTGCCCTTACCACAGAGAAACTAAAGCAGATACCTTAAAAGCAACTGAGGCCAATAGGAAAAGGGGACCAGGAACTAGAGAAAAGGTTAGATCAAAAAGAATTAACCTAGAAGGTAACACACACGCACAGGAAATCAAAGTGAGTCAATGCCCTGTATAGCTATCCTTATCTCAACCAGGAACACTTGTTCATTCCTATTATTGCTTATACTCTCTCTTCAACAAAATTAGAGATAAGGGCAAAATAGCTTATGCTGGGTATTGAGGGGGTGGGGGGGAAGGGAGGAGGCGGAGTGGGTGGTAAGGGAGGGGGTGGGGGCAGGGGGGAGAAATGACCCAAGCCTTGTATGCACATATGAATAATAAAACAATAAAAATAAAAGCCAAGCACTTAACTACTGTCTAGATTTCATTACAAATACTTGTATCTTTACTGCCAAACCTGAGGTCCTGAGATTGTTGACGTGCTTTCTGTAACTTTTAATATTTATCAAGTCATTCTACATGTATATGTCCAACCAAGGGAAGCAAAAGAAGGCAGAAGAAACCAAGAAACAGGAAAAATGTAAGGAGACATATAGGAAGAAGGAAAACAAAGCAAAACAAGCTGATGGAGTGGCTCAAGTGGTAGAACATCTGCCTGGAACTGTGAGGTTGTGAGTTCAAACCCCGGTACCACCAAAAAACCAAAAAACCAAAAAAAAAAAAAAAAGGAAACACAAAGCAAAACAAAAATAGGAGTAAAAGGACAGACAAAACAGATGAATGGAGAGTTCTAAAAAAGGAAAGCAAATATAGCTTCAGGTCATTACTTTTTCCTACTATATACCCAGAAACTAAAATGAACTATGAAACAGTTTAGTTTTGCATGCTTCAGATGTTCAAAGGTCACCTACTGGCTCATCCTTTCTGCTGCCCTGTACAGACCACCTTCAGGCAGAAGATCAATAAAGGGCTTTTGCAAAGCTAAGAAAGAAGCCAAAGGGAATGAGAAACAGATGTTCTAGGTCTTTGTTCATTCCTGGCTGCTTATTCTAATGGTGACTCAACACCGCTTCTCTTGCTCCTTCTTCTACCACTTTTGGTCTCTGAAGTTCAAAAGACACAAGGTGGAATAAGACTGACTTAGCCAATCATCATTAAATATCCAGGGTATGCCTGTAGGAAAGAGTTTTCCTATGCAATGGCCCATTTGTGTGTTTTAGTTAGGACCTACCGAGATCAGAGCGCTAGAGACATGGTATAGAGCCATGTATGCTGACACTACTCAGAGGACTATGGTTGTGGCAGCCACCTAATTTGTCATTTGTGTCAAAAAAAAAAAAAACAAAGGGATTAATATTTCCAAGTGGTGGTATCAGAGTCAAAACTTAAATTTAGGCCTTGTACACTACACTGCAATCTAGAGTTTCTTAACCTTTTTTTGCATCTCAATATATTGTTTTGCTTAGAATACAATCCCATCAGTAACCATGGTTGTTTGCCTCTTTACTGGATGAGGAACACAGTAAAGATATGGCAAACAAATAAGAATTTGGAGAAAGGAGGATGTTGATAGATTTAGCTATCAACAAGAGACCACTGAGACTAAAGCAACTAGAATTGAGTGAAAGTTCTTCTGACCTTATTTTAATGTTCCTTATTTATAAAACAGCACTTAGCTTAAATTGTTGTTTCTTCCCTCTGTAGCCACAAATTTTCTGAAAGTACTCATCTGATTTTTTTCCAGAGCTTAGGTTTAAGCTAACATTTGCCAGTTAATTACTCACAAAACTTCATAGCAATACTGCCAATTCTCTATTTTAAATAATAAGTGAAATAAACACATTTTAAAGATCAGTAATTCCTCAATTATGTTTTTCTTCTTGGTATTTTGAGACAGGATCATGTTATGTAGCCCAGGCTGCCTTGAACTGGCAATCCCCCTGCCTCTACCTCCCAAGTGCTAGGATTATAGGCAATTACCACTATACCTGGCCAGCCATGTATATTTAATTGGCATTAGAGTATTGCCTGGTGAGAGAAATATCTCCACTTTTATGCACATACTCAGAACTGACATTTTCTTTCTATTCAACTGTGTCCTGTTTTAGCCCTTCAGAATGTACAGGGAAGAACACTTGTGTGTCTCATCTTTAAATAGCCAGTGCTCAATTCTCCAATCTTAATGGTCCCATTCTAGCTAAATTTAGTATTTTCTTCCATGGTTTCCTTGTCTTCAGATTGACTCCTGATATCCTAACAGAAACTGCCTTCTTAACATGTGAACAAAGACAACCTCAGAGTCAAATTCAAAGGTTCTATTTCCAACTTGCCTGTTTTCAAGCTTATTTCAGTATTCAGTGAAGCTTAATATCTTGACTTCTCAGAAACTTTGCTTCCTCATTTTCCCTACCTATGAAATCAGGGTATTATACCTATCAGGATTGTGATTAGGTACATGAGAAACAATAAAGCTCTTAGCAGAGAGCCTGGTACATAAGAGATGAAAAGACTCTTAATGTGTAGGCACTCAGTTCTTCTCTATGCTTGGTTCAGCATTACGGCTGCTCTTGCTTCCTAATTGCCTTCTCCTCCATTCCTATGGAGTGTCCTTTCTTTCCACTCTTTCTTCCCTCTAATTGTCTCCATGAGCTCTTTCCTTACTCTGTAACGCCTCCTTCTTGAGACTTCATGCAAACCTTTACAGACAAATCTTCTTCAGACTTTTCACTCTACAAGTTCTACTTACTCTAAAATACTGACAGTCAAACCAATTCAAACATGTCACTCTATTTTTTATACTCCCTAGGAGCTTTTGTTCTTAGGATAAAATATAAACTAATGAAGTTAAGTGTAATCAGTCAGCCTTCTGTATTCACAAGTTTGGTATCCATGGATACAACATACCCTGGATTGAAAATCTAATTAGGCCTAAGATGGCAGCATCTGTATTGAACATGTACAGTGTTTTTCTTGGCTTTATTCCCTAAACAATAAGAACAATACCTATTTACATAGCATTTACAATATATCAGGTATTATATGTAATCTAGAAATGATTTAAAGTGTACAAGAGGATATATGCATGTTATATGCAAATACTATGCCGTTTATATAAAGGATTTGAACATCCATGGATTTTGTTATCTCCTCGAGGTCCTGGAACCCCTGTGGATACCATGTGGTGACTGTACTTATCCATTTGGTCTAAACTTCTGCTATTCTCTAATCCTGTAATGCTCAACTGCAGATAGCTTGCATAACAGTATCATTGCTGTAGTTCTTAAAAACATGCCTTTGTCCTACAGTGCTTATTTCCAGATAAATTCTTTGTGCAGTTTAGTGTATAAAATCCATTAACATTTCTATTACCAATCTTCTTCCAAGCTCTTCCACGTGTTCACACACAACCCCTCATTCTTAATCCCTATGGTACAGCATTTTCTACTTTAAAAATCTCACACTAGAGCTAACTATTATGTAAATATGAGATTTTTACTCTGCAATCTCAGTTTAGCAAATTTTGTGAGTAGGATAATGAAATAGATAATGATGAGAATCAAGCTAAGAGGAACAAGAGTGTGTTCAGGAAATGTTGGAACAGTACAGATTGTCAGGAACATACAATGTATAAAACTTTTTGTGATGCGAATCCTAGCTGTCAACTTGACTGGATTGAGATTATCTACAAAATCAGTAAAGCACACTTCCAAGTGTGTCTGTGAAGGTGTTTCCCAAGATAATTGGCATGTGGGTCAGTAAACTAAGCAGGAAAGGCCCAACCTCAATGTGGACAGCACCACTGAATAGGCTGGGGGTCCAGATAGAACAAAAATCAGAAAAAGGGGAAGTTTGCACATACATGCTATTCTGTTTCTGAGCAGGAGAGTTTTGACTTCAGATTCTTCAGCCTTTCTATAGCAACTCTCCAGGGGACTTGTACCAGCAACTCTCCAGGGGGCTTTTAGGTCTTCAGTCTCAGACTGGAGTTGCATCACTGGTCTCTCTCTCTTTTTGATGTTTCCAGCTTCTTGGACTAAGCAGCTACTACTGGTGTCTTCTTTGTTACAGCCTCTACAGGCCATTGTGGAATTATCCAGCCTCTAATCATGTAAGCTAATGTAATAAATCCTGTCTTATATTGTATGTGTATACTCTACTGATTCTGCTTCTTTGGAGATCCCTGACTAATACAGTTTCATAGTAGGGAGAGATATATTCAGAATTATGTTCAGGAAACTTGATCATGCAGTTACATATAAATGAAATATGGAGACCAAGAACCAGGATATGGGTTAGGAACCTAACACAGTGGTTTAAATGATAAATAATACATTCCAAATGTGTACAAAATGCAATTTGTTACTATTGGTAAGCCTTGTTTTCATTGCTACAATTAAGGTTTCTTAAATATAGGAACATTACTATATTTCAGTATATAACTTATGTTCTAGGATGATATAATATGCACTGAAGAAACACTAGAATAATTAGTAATGTGTCCTTATGTTACTTTAGCATACATACCTCTTCATTGAGAAGGGGTACACATTCAGGCTGTAAGGGTCTTGGAATGGAAAGACCAGGTCCTGGTAGAGACACATTTGATAGACGTCTTTTTCTTACTCCACTACAGTTATTTGGAATCTTGAAGGCACACCGTTTATGATAATTTAATCCACAGCCTAAATATATTTGAAAAGGTAAAACCAAAAGATTTACTGTTTACATGTAACACATAAAAACCAGTACATCTTTAAAAAATTTATATTCTTTGGTAACAATTATCTATACAATTACATACTAAGTAAATGGAAGTTAACAAATTCAAGAATAAGAAATGTGTAAGATTTATTTAGAAAGGTTAAATTAGCTAAAGCAGGAGATCCAGGCAATTACCTGGGAGTTTGTTAGAGGTGTAAATTACTGAACTGTATCCCAAATCTACTGAATTAGATACTGTAGGGATAAAGCCTAGCAAAGACTGTTTTGTGATGCCTGGTAAAGTATGAGACCACTAGCTTAAAGCACTGGTTGGCAATAAATTATGGTCTGTGTACCAATTCTTTTGTATGATAAGAAAATTATATGAAACTCAAATTTCTGTGTACATTAAATACAAGTTTTATTGGAACACGGTCATGCTGTTTGTTTACATATAGTCTATGGCTAGTTTCACACTACAATAGTGTTAAGTCACAAAGGAGACCATAGGGCCTGCAAGCCTAAAATATTTATTTGCTGGCTCTGTACAAAAAAAGTTTATTGGCCCTCTACATTAGAAGACTGCTTCTCAATCAGAAATGTGGACCTGCAGCCTCCTCTCTAGCAAGTCTAACTCAGAACAACTTTGACAATTTTGTAGTTGTATGTAGAGACTTAAGTTTCTAAAAAGAGTAAGAAAGTAAGGAGGTTGATACTTATTGAGCTACTACTTTGTGCCAAATATTTTTCCATATTACCTTACTTAACTATTTATGAAACTGGTGAAGTAGAACATCTATCACAGAAAAATCAGTCCTCAGAGAGGTCTAGTTAGCTGCCTAAGGAAAGGAACAACTAGGTGTCATAGGAAGGACCAGAGTCCTGATTTCTCCAATTCTAAAGCCTGGTTACTACCTATGTAGTAACCAACTATGATCTAGTTCCCGCTCCCCACCATTGGTAATTAAAAAATGCAATCGTAAAATCTTCTTTCAAATCACTACAAAAATTTAAAAACACATACCTTCACATTTTAGTCCCTGACGTACCAATCCCCAAAGCATCTCACCACAATAATCACAAAAAGTAGGAGCTTTGTAAGAATGTACATAGAGAGTATGTGGACGAATCTGGAAGTCTTCTACAGTGGCCAAGGCTTTTAAAAAAGAAAGGAATTAAAATAAACTTTATGTTCATTTATGTCAAAACAAAATAACTTTTTTCTGAAAGCCTCATCTGAACACAAAAATAATTTTCAGCATTTAATACTATTATTTTTAAATTCTACTTTAAGGAGTCCATCAGCTTCAATTAAAAACTACTTAGATTATGATACATTAGGAAACAGAACAATAAAGTAAGAAGTAAAAATAGAACTGCTGTGGCACTTAACCACAATGTATCACAATGTTAGGGTGAGAAGATACTGAGTTCTAACTTAGGATCCCAGAAGACATTATGTGTGTTCTCCACAGTAATTTCTACATAGTGGCTAAGAGAAAGAGACTCCTCTCCTTCTCAGTGAGCAATAGACACGAAGAAGTTCCTCTCACCTTGACCTACAAAGCACTGGCAGATTATCTCTGTGGTCTGATGAACGGTCCATGGCAAAGAAGAAATGGATGTGAGCATGACCTCCAGGGAAGACATGGAGTGAAGTTCCTCACAAGTGAGGAAGAAGCCAAAGTATAGGCAGTATACAGATGGTTTGGGGTTCTAGTGTAGAAGATGCATCATCAATATTTATGGGCTGGCTAGTTGGTTAGGAGGATCAGAAATACAAGATGAGAAGAATGGGGACTAATTAGGAAAGGTGATGGTCAGAGAGATTTCAAGAACGGGCTCAACGATGAGTTTGGAAAGAGAGAAAAGTGGTAGCATAAATCTGGATGCTTGGTTGGCCAGTTTGCTTCCTTTCTCTCATCAGACCCCCTTTCTTACCAAACAAGAAGTATTACAGAACTACTATGAGCATCATTGTGGCAGCCTTTCTTCCTTTACTGTAATAATCTTGCCCACATGCTATTGGATAAGACGAAATAGTGGGAACTAAGGAATAAGTGATGGCAAGAACGGGTGAGGTAGGAAAAGGAGATAGGAAAATGCCCACGAGGAACAAAAAAGGGAAGAAGAAATATTTCCTTCCATATCTTAAATATTTCTTTTATCCTAATTCTCCTTTCTGAACCTCAATTCTTCTCGATACTCTTTTACAAATGGGAAAAAGGAAACAGAACTTTAACAGTTTTACTTCCTTGACTCAGAGAAAAAGAACATATTCCTCTTTCAGTTTAACCAACAACTCTCCTAGCTTTATAACAATGATAATTCACAGTTCATTTTCCTACTTTCTAATCTGTGATATAACTTTCCTGAAAGTGAAAATCACATGGTAACCATTTCTACAGGTGAAAGAAGCAAGCAACTATACAGTACCAAGACCAAGTGTAACTTGAACACAGCACTCAGTAGAGAAAATGAAGCTCTTTGGCAAAATAAATTAATTAACAAATTAAATAAATAAATAAAAGGAAACAAAGAGTTTTACTTACCTGAAAGAACAACTTCAACTAGATCTCCTTCACGTATTTCATCTGATGTAGTAATCAGCTGCAAAATATTTTCTGAGTTCATGTCATGACGAAAGAGAAGAATTTTATCATACATGCCAAAGAATCCACACTCTGGAAACTGTAGGAAAATAGTCCTATATCAATATATCCAAACCTTTCTATTTTTATAAATAAATGTCTCAATATTACAAAAGAATTTTAAATATTGTGTTTTTAGCTTAACACTGTTTACTAACAACTTTATTAATATCTAAAAGGTGAAGCACATATTCAAATATCCTGGTTAATTTTTATTTTACGATACCTCACTTAGAAATACAGGACTGGAGGTGTGGCTCAAGTGGTACAGCACTTGCCTAGCAAGCACGCAGCCCTGAATTCAAACCCCAGTATCACAAAAAAAAGATTGCTAATTGGAGAATATATATAATCTTGCAGTTACTACTACTCTATTTTTAGATACCTGAAAGGCAAATAGTTTTTTTTTCATTCTTTAGAACTAGACTATCCTATATACAGTTAGCTACTGCTTTAGTTTGGATCTTAAGTGCCCCCAAAGATCTGTGTGTTAAAGGTTTGGTCACCAGGATGGAGCTACTGGGAGGTTATGGAGTCTTTATTAGCATGGGAGGGCGTGTTAGTGGGAGGTTTTTAGGTCACTGGGGGTGTGTCCTTGGAAGGGGATTATGGGACCCTGGTTTCTTATCCACTCTTCCTTGCTTCCTGACTACTAGGTGAACAGTTTTGCTCTGCCACATACTTTATTGCTTTGCCCAAAGCAACAGGGTCAACTAATCATGGACTGATACCTCTAAAACTGAGAATACAATCTTTTCTATGTTGATGATCTTGAACATTTGTTATAGTAATGGAAAGCTGACTATTGCAGCTACTAACCATATGTAGTTATTTAAATTTGAAATAATTATAATTAAAAGTTTAGTTCCTTGCCCTAACCATATTAGAAGCACTCAATTGCCAACATGGCTAAGTTAGCATACTGGACAGCACAGATATAGAACATTTCCATCATTCTAATAAGTTCTATGGAACAGTGCTAGTAGAACACCAGCAATTCTCATTAGTCACAAGAGTACAAATTTCAGTATTTTTTCAGATGCTCCTACAACCTCTAGCATTTGTCTAGTATTTATCTGCTTTAAGTCTGCTTACTACAATTACAAAAAAATGATTCATTGCAGTACCTTTCTTTAAAAAAAAATCTTTGACCAGAGCAGGAGACTTGCAGATTTGTTCACATATACTCTATGTGTATTATTCCAAGGCTTCTACATTTTGTGACTATAGTCCCAAGACACTTACAGGACACACAGCTAATTTTTTTATAGTAAACAGTTTGAGATTAAGTTAAATTTTGAATACTTGCATTACAAAATAATCATTTAGTTTTCAAATCAATTTGAGGTCATCTTCTAAATTACCAGTGCTGCGCTTGAAAATTCTTCAGGACACATAATTATAAACACTCATGGACTTATTTTAGTTCCTTATAGAGTACCCTTTAGTAAGCTTTACAGTATGGCACTGCCTGTGTGGACTGGCTTGACATGAACCAGTCACACTAAACTGCAAATGCACTTAGTGTAGGGATATTGGTAATGATATGACTCACTTACTTCACATGGTAGTCCTGCTTTGTGAGGACTCGTGAAAGAAATTGCTATGACTTATTTTTATAGCATGACCAATTTGATCATATAATAATGTTTTCTTGTTCACTTGTATACTGGAAGAAAGCAGAGCCAAATTTGTAGCCCACTTTTGGCAGTCCAAGATCTTATATCAGCTGTTTTAAGTGCAATGACATATTAGCTTCCACTGATCTTCTGATTTTAATTTTCATATCAGAAAAACCCTATACATCTCTTTAAAAGAGTTCTCATATTATTTTTCAAAGTTAAACTTTTAAAAACTGAAAACGATGATTTCATTAGCAAGTTAAGATTTTATTTAAACCTGGTAAATAAATACATGAAAAAATTACAAATATTTAGATTTTTTTTTTGAGATACAGTCTCACAATGACACCCAGGCTGTCCTTGAACTCATGATCTTCCTGCCTCAACCTCCCTTATGAAGGGATTACATATCCAGATAGAAATATTTAGAATATTTATAATGTTAATTCTATTTTCAACTATTTGAGTCACCAATTGTATTTACAAAAGTTCATAATATGCTTCAACATATGTCTAATGGTATAAAAATTTTCAAATAAGCCAGGTGCCAGTGGTTCATACTTACAATCCTAGCTATTCAAGAGGCAGAGATCAGGAGGATCATGGTTTGAAGTCAGCCTGGGCAAACAATCTCAAAAAAAACCCATCACAAAAAAGGGCTGATGAAATGGCTAAGGATGTAGGCCCTGAGTTCAAACCCCAGTACTGTGAAAAAAAAAAAAAAACTCAAGTGAAAAAAAGCAAAACTACAGAATCAGAAAAATTAATTTTATTTAAATTTTAAAATTAAAATTCTATTAAATCTGAGAATAAAATATCTTCCTAATTTAAAAAGGACCCCACACTCCATCCTTCTAAATATAAAATCGCTAATGAAGTTATATTAATGAAACTTAGTTTTAAAAGTCAAAATTCTTGCATGTCTTGTAAGTCCAAGGTATAAATAAATAAACAAATAAATGCTGATAGCACTGTGCAGAGGAACCAGAACAGGAATAGACCTGAGCAAGCTGCTAAAGAAAGGCTGAATATATTGGTCAGGAAAGAAGTGTCAGAAACAATTATTTTCTCCATAAACTACCTGTAACTAAAGAATTAAATAATATAAATTACCTACAGTTAACACAGCATTATTGATGTTGACTGAGATAGTGTTTGCCAGGATTGCCCACTGCAAAGCTGCTTGTTTTCTCCCATTTTCCATACCATCCTCACTATGAGTAGCCTTCACATAGCAGAAGAAAGTTTTGTTCCCTTTCCTTGAAGGTGAAGTATCTCATATGTTATTTGTGATTCTTCTACATGGGAAATGTATCTATTTCCTCCCATTTATTTTATACTCCATCATTTATATATGTCAGTAGGAACTCATGCATATTTATCTTATACTTTGGGACATTCTAGTCTTTTAAAATATAATTTTATTTTTGATTAAGCAATTATTCTCATGGTCCTTAATTCAAAAAGTAAAGAGAGAAGACAAAATCTGTGCCCTGGCTGTTCAGTTATCTAGCCTGTAACTAATGATGTTAATGGCTTTCTCAGAATTCTTCTCAAAATATTTTATAAACCATCAAGTAAACATATCTATCTTTTCTCTTTTGTACAAATGGTGGCACACTGTAAACACTGTTATGTACCTTGCTTTTAAATAATTTTTTTTTTACTTAGCAATATGTTTTAGCATTCATTCCATTAACAAAGAATGTTCTTTTGAGTTTTTTGCTGCTGTTGTTGATGTTTTATAGATGCATAGTTTTCATTTAGTAGTGTCTACTGATGGAATGTAAGGCAAACAGTAAAACTAAAGTCGAATTGACCTGAGTTCAAATCTTACTAATTATATACTCTTAACCTTTAATCTCTAAAATAGCACCTACTATTTATCATGAGAAAAACAGTAAATAAAGTTATCATGAAAATTAAATACATCAAAATATACAAACTTAGAACTGCTCATGAGTTGAGTGCTATATATTCTTAGCTATTGTTTCCAATAACTTGTTATTATAAAAATACCCAGTGAAGATTTTTTTTTGCTGGTGGTGGTGGTTCTCTACCACTTGAGCCACTTCATCAGCCCTTTTTTGCATTTTTTTTCAGGCATGATTTTACAAGCTGGCCTAGACCACAATCCCCCTATTTGTACTTCTCCATGTAGCTAGGATGACAGGCACACCAACACACCCAGATTTTAGTTGAGACGGGGTCTTGTGAACTTTCTGCCCAGGCTGGCCTTAACCATGATCCTCATGATCTCTATCTCTGGAGTAGCTGGGATTACTGCATCTGGATCTGAAAAGTCTTATCCATAAACCTTTCTCCATTTCTGGAATGTATGTATGGGATAACTTTCTGGAAGATTTCCTGGGTCAAAATGTGCTCACATCTGAAATTCCTGGATACTGCCTAATTACTCCTCATGGAAGTTAAACCAATATATACTTCTACAAGCAACAAAGTTGTTTCTCTACATCCTGTTTTATAGTGTATTATCACATTTGTTAATCTTAGGTAAAAAATGGTATTTCTGTGTAGACTTAATTTGTATTTCTTTAGAAGAAGTAAAGTTGAACATTTTTCATATGCTTGAGAGACATCTGCAATTTCCTTTTTTGTAAATTAGCTATTCATATTATTTGCCTGTGTTTAATAGATTGATACTAGAGAACATGTCTAGTAACAATTAGAAATGGTCAACGGCTATTATTTAGAGTATTCTTCTAGGACAAAGGCTCCCAACTAGGATGATTTTGTTCCCCAAAGTAAGTGGCAACATTTTTGTTTTTCACAACTTGCTACTGGCATTTGGTAGGTAGAGTATTGTAGCATATATAGGATGGCCCCACCACAGTAAGGAGTCCAAAGTATAGAGGGGTTGGGAAAGAAGTTGGCAACCTTCTGAAAACTAGACAAGCCTGTATTTCCTAGCCTACCTCAGTCTCAATTAGGAGAAAGAGGAAATGAAAGAAAAAAAGAAAAAAGAAAAAAAAAAAACACAAGACAGGAGCAAAATAGGCCTTTAATTTGGCCTTTTTCTAACAGCACCCTCCCTCCTGCATTTCCCAATTTACTTTCTACAGATTGTATCAACAATTCCTCGATTGTGCAAAATGAAGTCTTTTCCCAGTGCATATAGGAAAGTAACAGAATTTCATCATAGTTATCAAATTCCCTCTCCTATGCATCCTTCTTACTTCACTCTTTCTTTGCTTTTGCATGAAAAATGGCTTCAAAAATTTAAAAATATCACCTTATCTTTCTATAGCCATTTTATAAGAAGTTACTTTTTAATTTACACTTGTTTAAGTAAAAGGTTCCAACGTTTTCAAACAATTCTTTCAAGGAAAGTCTATTTTGAGAAGTCTTTAAGGTAAATACTTTAAAAGCTTATGTTCCTAAAATTTTGTCAGTAAAA